ATTTTTATTATTTCAATATTATTTTCTCATTTTCATTTTCGTATATGGACATTTTATATTGACATCATTTTATCGTTTAACTTTCCAGTTTTTATTGAATGTAATTTTTTAGTATAATGTATACATTTTTTTATCTGTATGTGTTCCTCTCTGGCTTATAAAGCACGAAATGGAGCGGCATTTTTGTAGACATGTATTCGCAATAACTGTGTTTCACGTACTGATGGTATTTTAACCCGGAGCTGTTCCGATACTCATTCGGTTCATTTCGGTTTGTTTATTTGTCTAATCGATATATTGATTTCTGATGTGGTTTTGAATGAATGGAAAATAATTTGACTTATTTTAGAGCTTTATGGGCATTACAGATTTTTATAAAATATTTGTGAGCCTTTTTTTCATAATTTTTTATAATTGTGTTCATTAATTAATTGTGTTTTTTTATGATTATGTTCATTAGGCAAAATTATTATTTTGTTATGTGATGAAGATTCTGCGCGATGATATTGTGATGTGATCATTTTNATAAAATATTTGTGAGCCTTTTTTCATAATTTTTTATAATTGTATTCATTAATTAATTGTTTTTTTTATAATTGTGTTTATTATGCATAATCACTATTTTGTTATGTAACGAAGATTCTGTGCGATGATATTGTGATGTGATCATTTTGTTAATGTTGAATTTTTATTTATTCAGTTTGTTCATGTTAATTTGTCATGTGTTGAAATGACGTGTTTAAATTGTTTTGTGAAAATTAGACATTGGGACCCTAGCGAGAGTCTACTGTGCAGTAGGGTCTCTCTAACTTCACCACGTCGGGGCTACAAATTTCACGAAATGAGCTGTTGCGGACATCCATACTCTGTTGCTAGAGGGGCTTCGCCTGGCTTCGTCCAAGTGAAGAGAGAGGGAGAGGTTATGGAACTTGGGACACACGTAGTATGAAAAACGTGCGGGAGCAGAGACTGTCTACTGCGCATTCACCAAGCGCAGAGGGATAAGGACCAGGTCAATTTCTGAACGAGGATTAGTTTCTGGACGATTTCAACTTGCATTGAATATTCCACAAATAAAATGAAAATTGTATTGATTATTTCACCTTTCAATAATATCACTTGTGTATAATCATGTGATCAATTATTTTCTTCTATTGATCCACATTTAATAAATAGAAATAAAATATGACCCAGTCGTCTAGAAATTGGAGGTTTCGGCTACATTCAACTATTTCTCAATTTAATTATTCTTTGTTTTGTTATTTTCACTTCAAACTATTTTTTTCTGCTAATTAAAACATTCTTGAAGGTATGGAAGCCATCATATCCCCATTTATGTGATTCGTTTATTTTAGATCCTACCACAAAACTCGAATTTCTTTTAACCGTCCAGCAATTAGCCTGGTCACCCTACACGTATATCACACACGTTTGGGGTGCTCAGAGTAAGGGAACACTCTCCCCACCATCGCTGATCACTGGGAAGTTGGAGAGTAGAGAAGTTAGGGAGACTCTACTGTATCTCATAGAAATAGTGGGCCTATTTCCACCGGGGAGTTGGACATGAGTAGAGTTTAAGTAACTTGTCGGTGGAAACACAACGATGAGTTAGTCTCGGTGGAAACGGGACAGGAGTTGGCTATTATTTCCCATGTAAAAGGAAATCCATCGAACTTCTTGTGAGTTTATGTCTACGGCAACAAGTTCGGCACGGTGGAGATAGGCTCAGTGCAAAGAACAAATAGAATTTTAACAAGAATTCCCGAGAATTTTAATAGAATCCCAATAGAATTTCTAGAGAATTCCAATAGCATTTTCTAGCGAATTCGGTAAGTTTTTCTATTGAATTTTTTCATACGTGATTCCCAAATGAGAACTCATCATGCAGAGTATATTTTTATTATTTCAGTCTATAATCTACTACATCTAGAGGAAAAAAATTGGGAAAATCTTATTCGTAACCCATAGAATTCTGTAAGGTACTTCGTCAATGAAACTCTGTCATGCGGAAGTATTCCCCACATTCTTATATACTCTGTAATGAAGCGGTAAAACAGTTAAAGTCGATTCAGCCCGTAGCTGAGTTTTCAAGGAATATCTCCGAATCTGAGGGAAATGACGAAATTTTCGCAAAGACCTTTTTTGTACAGCGAATTGATGGCCATACAATAGATCGTGACAAAAATTTTGCTATCTCCCTTACATTTCGAGATGATCATTGAAAACTGGCCAATAGCGAAAATCGACTTGACCGTTTTACCACTTCGCTACTGTACTGTCTTCATTGCTCAGAACTGAGGCTCAAATATTTCAAAGATGTGATAGTCGCAAATTTTGATGTGAATCGTGTTGTGACTCTTACGAGTATTAAAAACCCGAAAGATTTTATAAAACTAGCCTTAAAAACTTAAATTCACATTCTTCAAGGTATTTGCAAATTATTTCAGTAGCGAAATGGTCAAACGGTTCAAGTCGATTTTGGCTATTCGCCAGTTTTCAATGAATATCTCAAAATCTAAAGGAGACAGCAAAATTTTTCTCATAACCTTTTTAGTAGCACTTAATTCGCTCTACAAAAAAGGTTTGTTAGAGATGAGGCTATGATGTTAGGGTGGATTGGGGGAAGTGATCTAGCAAGGGTGAAAATTAAGAACACGCGGATTACAAAGCACTGGTGATGTATTTTATTTGTGACGTAAACCATGCGTCTAGAATTTTTAAAGGGTACACTATTTGTTGAATGTCTCGAGTTAAGAAAATAATTGTCTTTGCACTGCACTAGATAATATCTCCATAATAAACTTGATAATTGACTAAAATAATTGATGATTAACTCGAAATGAAGAGATAAATTAATGAAATAGAGACGCTACATCGAGGGGCTATTCACAGGCATAATCGTGGTGTCACTCGCTGATGTAATCAATTGTAATCTCAGTGAAATCAATGTAATCATGGTAATCACATGATTACCATATTTGTAATCAAGTTTTAATAATTAAGTGGTGATCATTTGTAATCACTGTAATCATTTGTAATCAGTGCAATCTTTTATAGTTGCTCCTGGTGAGACCGTGAATTTTGTTTTTGAATTTTCGAGCGCGTCATTTCTACCAACGGTAAGTCTCAGAGATCCCTGGATCAATTTTTCTTGGAATCCCAGATGTTTATGGTTCAGAACCTTGCATAGCTAATGCGTTTTGCACAGAGTATTTGTCCGTAGAATTGATTATCACATAGGCAATGGTAATCAGTGTAATCAGTCCCGTAATCCTGGGTAATCGATTACATTTTGTAATCGCGGTGTCATCCATTTCGCCTGTGAATAGCCCCTCGCGCTATATGGAGCGCTAAACTCAATATACCCCGCTGATGTACTCGGTTGAGCGGTTACATTGATACTGTACTCAATAGGTAACTCTCTGACTAACAGGTGTATACTCTTTGATGGATAGATTGATACTGAAAATTCATATTTGGCGATATGCTTCGTGATTTGCCCGTGAACCAGTAGGGTCCCGAAGTCGTTCGAGATTTTCCGTTGAACCCGGTAACTTTTAATAGTGAAATATTTGCTGCGTTTCAAACAGCTTATTATGAACATTTCGCCATCTCCCTTAAGGGGAGACCGCGGTGAAATTTGAAAGTCTCGGCTCGGCCTTAAGAGCCATTGGATGACTTTTGATATATGAAGGGATATATAAAAAACTGAGAAAAATTTCGGACCCGAACCGTTTTTTCGAACCCGACCCAAAAACGTAATTTTTCACGTTTTTAGCTTAAAAATGCTCCTTGGACCACAGTTTTCATCCGATTACAACTTTTTTTTTTAATGTTCGTTATACTCCAAGGAACAAATCACAGTATCCGTTTTACTTTATATTTATTAGATCATGAGAAAATGTTTTTTTTTAGTTTTTATTTTTTTTCCTCTTTTTAGCAAATGCTAAAATTCGTTGTTTTCCACCCATTTTTTTTGTTATAATATTTCAATTACGTATGATTACAACGTGGAATAACGAAAAACAACTAATTTTAGCATTTGCTAAAATGAGGAAAAAAATGGAAACTAAAAAAAATAATTTTCTCATGATCTGATAAATATAAAGCAAAACGGATACTTGGGTTTGTTCGTTGGAGTATAGTGAACATTAAAAAAAAAAAAAGTTGAAATCGGATGAAAACTGTGGTACAAGGGGCGTTTCTAAGCTAAAAACGTGAAAAACGACGGTTTTGGTGGATATACGGGGCAAAACGGTTCGGGTCCGAAATTTTTCTCACTTTTTTATATATCCCTTCATATATCAAAAGTCGTCCAATGGCTCTTAAGGCCCAGCCGAGACTTTCAAATTAGACCGCGGTCTCCCCTTAAATTCGGAAATATTTCTGGAAAACTCAACTACAGACTAAATTGACTTAAACCGTTTGACCACTTCGCTACTGATTTCTAACTATTTGAGATCTTGAAATGATCAAGATTATATCGAGAATGATCCTAGTTCGCCCTCCTACGTACTTCAAAATCCTAACCAGCAATAATCTCTGACGTCACAAGATATGGAACGCTATATAAAGTCGTCTCTTCAGTAAAAAATGATTGCCGTATGAAAGGACGGCGGAGTTCGATACATAAAAGAAATTTGAAATGAAAAAGTGGCGAGGAGTCGGACAACTCAGTTGATAGCGCACCCGATGTATATTATAATTGGCATTCATTCATCCTCGATATTTGAATTTACCAATAGAATTTTCAAACCACTAATAATATTTTCAATAGAAATCCAATCGATACCTTAGTTAAAGAGTAACATAAGTGCCAAAAAATTGAAACTCATAAACAATTGATAAACAATCAGAAAATATTTCCAGAAACATCAAATATTTAATTTTAGAGTGATACAATTCTTTGGCAGTTATGTTAGTCTGTTATTAAGGTGCCACAATAGAATTTACTAACGAAAGCATTAGCTTCTTCTATGAAGTTTTTTCGTGCTTGTCACCTTTCATGGAATCTACCAAAATCTGCAAGCCCTCTTGATACAGCACCAAAGCTAATGTGTATTGCTCCTTCTTGTCCATTTCCACCGCCCTAGTTAGGATCGAAGCTGCTGTGCTCTCCATGATTCATCTGCCAAAAAATCATCGCAATTGAGAAAAAAAAATTCTCATTTTATATTTTGTGACGTGGAAAGTTTCCGGCCTGCCTTAATCATGTCGCCTTTCGACTTGAAGAATATGCCGCCTTGGTACGATCTCACGGGGAGTTCGCCCATTTAGGGATGTTTAGGGGAGGATTGATAAGAGTTTCTTTTCAATAACTGAATCAGTGATGCCGCGAGATGAGACGAGACGAGAAATGGCATCTTCTCGTCTCGTTGTCAGGAAACTATTCCCTCGTCTCGTTTCGTATCGAAATAGGAGAGCAATTTCTTCTCTCGTCTCGCCTTATCTCGTCCCTATAATCCAATTTGCACGGAAAAAATATACAGAGGGGGCAGAGAGAGGGAGGCTCTCTCGATTCTCGTTTCTGTCATTGTCCCGAATGACTCTTCTCATCTCGTCTCGTCATGTCTCTCGTGTCTTGCGGCATCACTAAACTGAACACCTGTTAAAATATGATTAATATAATTAACTGCGAATAATAATTGAATATAAAATCAAACTGATAATGAGTTCGGTATCGCGCGCAATGCTTCGATTTTTGGCGAGAAGTGGAAATCCGTTCAAATCCAACTCTTCCCGTACTCAGCTTTGTTCCAGAGGTACAAAGCCGTTGCTAGTTCAAAATGCTTAATCAGCATTCACGCGGTTTTTTATTCCTAACTAATACAATTAAATAAAATCACTGACAGTGCCGCTACATCATGAAACAGTTTCTGGACAGAAACTGGACTTATAGAGCTGCGGGACACCCTCGATTTTCATACATGTACCGCCCATTCGCGTTCTAACGTGTAATTCTTGTTTTAAACAATAAAATATGAACGTCACGTAAATAATTTTCGACTAATTTTAGGCATTGGAATTATTTATTACTAACAATTGAATTGTTCAAATCACCCGAGCACCCAAACTATGAAGAATAGACGAAAATTTTCAAATCATGAATGATCTAGAATTTAATAAGGAATAATTTTTGTCTGTTTTAAATTTTACGTATCTCTCGTAGATTCCGAGATGTGAGCAATAAATTAGTTACGCGATCCGACATAGTGCTCTCTGCTTGCGATGCGCGGTGAGCTTGAGGGCGCTCTGTTGGATCACGCAACTCTTTGCTTGCTCATATTATATCCAGGGTTGGGCATCTGTCGATAACCGCAGTTTTTTATGACATTGTAAAAAACCCGCAATTTATGCAATAGATGTAAAAAATGTAAAAAAAACAGCCGACGTTACCTTTTATCGTAAACCGTGAAGCTTCGCAAAGATTATACCTCGCGAGGGTGATAAAAGTCACGAGGTTCATACTTCGCCAGGATTATACGTCTCGAGAGTCACACGTCGTAAGAGTCATACCGTGTAAGGGATGAATTTTACAAGGGTCAATCTCATTAGTTATCGATCTCTATTAAATTCGTCGCGCCATCATCTTTTGTCTTGACACTAACTTCTTTCATTTAGCATCCCAAGCAGCACAGTTCTGGAGGGTATCTGCAAGTATACCAAAAAGGCTGTCTAATGTCCGTCCAAAAAGGTACCTTGTGTCTAGAAGTTACCTAGAAGTTAACTAAAAGTTATCGTATGACTGCAAGATACCTTTTGGACGGACATTAGTCAGGCCTTTTGGTATACTTTCAGATATCTTTCGCAAGGTTTGCTACTTGGGATTCTCCTATGACGAAACTAATTCAATTGTCTTTGGTAGCCTTTTTGAACTCTTCAGAACAAAATAGTTCTTTTCAGGTCCAACTGGGCTTTTCCGGGGCTCCAAATAATAAAGTGTCGACTCCAATAAAGCTCAATAGATAATGAGATTGACTTTCTCACAATGGTGATGACTTGTGACGTTGGTCTTTTGCAACGTTTGACCCTCGTGAAATTTACTCTTTATGAGGTATGAGGCTCATGTTTTTGAGTTTCTTAAAATGCCGTAAATCGTATCACGTGATGTAATAGTACATTGTCATCGGGCGATGAAAGTATTTTCTGACGAATATGGCTTTATAATCCGAGCCGAAGGCGAGGATTTTAATCACATGAGTCAGAAAATTGTTTTATCGCCGTGTGACGTACAATATTTTATGTCTCTGGGCCCGGAAACCGCGATTTAACAGAGGGAATCGACGTTATAATCGCGGTTTTACGGTCCTTGGGACTTAAAATAATATTCTATGCAACAAGTACTGAGATACGCGTTCTAACCGAACAAAGTGAAATTAAAATTCACGGCTGAATTATATTTTTCACCTGCTTTTCCGTATAGCATAGCAATTCCCACCTCAAACCTTATGTTTTCACCCAACCCATACCCTTTTACTCATATATGAGTAAAAGCCCGAGGGCTGAAACCATGTAAAATAGCCGTAAGTTACACGGAGAGATATATTCAGTCAAAATGAAGGAACAATTCACGTAATCGGCAATGGGAAATTGTTTTCCGGCAATTTTTATAGGAATGGAAAAGAAGAAATCTGAAACGTTTAGTGAATTCTCAGGTTCATCACCGAACAAAGTACGAAATTGTCACGCGATTTTTCCCGAAGAAGTAAAATCTTACATAAAGTTCCCGACTTATTATACCTCCAAAATCAAAAATTCTTAAACGTTCAAGAATTTTTATGAAGCTGGTGAGTTAAAAATTACGAAACGACTTGTCCTCACAGCGATGAGTCTTCTGACGAGTGGTTAATTTTTACGGAAGGAATCGTAGAATTTACGTGGCGATCCGAACAATTTCAGTTCCGACTCACACTTTTTACTGAATTTTACTTCGCTCGCGGATTACGTTTCGAAACGTAATTTTTACTTTTTTTTTCTGGTAATTTTTAATTGAATTTTTATCTAACAATGTTCACTCCGCTGCCTTGTTGTATCATTGACGTTAATAAAAATCTTTAAAAGTTAAAAAAAAAATTCATGGTTCATCTGTCCGTGGGACATAATATACTATTTCTATGATATTTGTATCCAATACAATAAAATAAAACATTCTAGTAACCAAAAATTGCAAGTTTGCCAGAGTAATGTCAAAAAATGTAAAAAACCCACCGAGGTAATTTACGTAAATTACGTCGGTAAAAAACGGTGTAATTTACTAACGTAATTTACACGCCCAACCCTGCTCATATCCCGAAATCTAAAGAAGATATGTCAAATTGACAAAAGACTCTAACTAGACTTTTTCTTATCAAATTCTAAATGATTCATGATCCGAAAATTTTCCTATATCTTGCAGAGTTTGGGTATTAAGTCGATTTGAACAATTAAATTATTGATAATAAATAGTTGCAATGCCCAATATTGATTAGAAATAGTTTACTTGACGTTTCGTGATCATATTTCACTGTTCAAAAAAAGCATTACGCATTAGAACGCATGTAGTCGGTCGATCAATTTTGAAGCTCTAGATTTTTCCTCGACAAAATGGTTAAATTAATAAAATCGCCTTGTGAAGGTCTCCACACGTCACAATTCGTATATTGAAAATTGCCGGTTCTCTCAACGCATGCGTGAACCTTGAAGAAAAAAATCCAAAACAATATGGCGAATTGTTGAGTGAACTCGGCCATAACCTTGAAAAGTCGAATTATGCAGAGAAATCACATAAAAACAAGTGAAATAAACAGTTTTTGGGATTCAGTGCAATAAAGGATTCTAAAGCATGAGATAATGTATGTTTTAAACGTTAATTGAGCTATAATTACCTGCGGGGACCGAAGAATTGTGACACAGCAGCTCTTGTTTCTTTTTTGACCAATCGCCACGTTATACCGAGGGGTGGGAGAAGTTGTTGTGCTCATGTGGGATATGAGTAAACATTTTTCAAAGTCCTTTCGATAACATCAAACATGTTGTCATAATTAAATCGGAGCAGGTGAAATGTGAGGGGATGTGATAGGTAGATTCAATTGTTAAGTTGTTTGTTGATTTTTTATTAATACTTGGAATACAATTATATTCCAAGGGTAAATAGGGATGAATTAACTCGTGCGATTGAAAATCAGTACTGTTTGAGAGTTTTTGGGGGGTGAATCCAGGGATTATTCTGGTGAATATGAAGTCGAGCAAGAATCTGAGCTCCGGAGGACACTGGGGGGAGTTGCCAGCCAGGGAGACGCACAAACAGGAAGTTATCACTCCGGATATTATTGAGAATATATGGAGACAGGTGCTTGATGATTCTAATGGAGCTGACTGTGATTATCAGACCGAGAGGCAAACGGAATTTATTCAGTGGGTTTGCAATGATTTTTTTATATTTTGAATATACTCATGTGGGATTAAAAATACTTAATGTTTTTGTATCATTTTCATGATTTACAGACTCCCTATGGATAATCCTCATGTGCTGAACACAATCCAACTCCATAGTCAACTGAGTTCGATGGTAATTTCAATTTTTGATGATTCAATTTAATAATACGGTTCGCCAAAATTCGGACATCGTCGACCACAAAAACTAGACTGACCCCACTTTATAGATATTTTCATGTTGATTTTAAATTCATTTTAGAAAATCTTTCTAGCACGTCTAGTTTTCGTGAAAAAAACTAGACGTCGGTTTCGAATTTTGTAGAAACCGTGTAATGGAACAGAGTAGATTCTCTTAACATGAATATTTTTAGAAAATATCGTGGAATCCAGAGCAGACTGAGATCCGCAACAATGTTGATAGAAGAAAAAAAGTTTTCATTTTCAGAAAATTATCAGTTACTTTGAGAGACTCTTGTCGTTCATTCAAATTAAGGTAAAAATCAGGGATCATCTCATGGGAACCTAGAGATGAAACTCTGAAATTCAGGAAATGTCACTGAATCAAAATGATAAAATAATACCATTGGATGGATTGAAATGCTGGCAAATGTCCGTGAAATTATTTAGAATTTAATGGAAAAAATACTGAAAATAAATAGTTTTTGTCTGATATTGAGGATCATATCATTGGAGACTAGTGTAAAAAATATTATTTTGAGGATTTTCTATTAGTTTAATTTTAGAATCGTGGGTTCTTAGGTATTACGAATTTTTTCAGGGAAAATCAACTTCTTTTACAAATGAGAAAAAATGGTTTTAGGCTGTTCTCAAAGGGTAGGGTATTTTTTTCTGGCTCCGATGTGAAGAACATGGGGACGAACGAAAGTGACATTTTACCATACCGCGTTTGGTAAAAAATATAATTCTCCGCAACTGAAAAATTCCTCCACATATGTGAATGATTGATAGCATGAATGGTAAATTTTCCAGCTTCGACACAAATTACCCTCACGTTTATAAAATTTTCTGAAGTCATGGGAGAAAAATTCAGCGTTTTCTCGCATTCTTTGCCCCGATATAGGGTGAAAAAGACCTAGGAATGAATTCTATTCCACTATTACACGACTTGTTGGGTAATTTTTCTCCAACTTTTTTCTCCGTGTAGATTAGAAATCTGCTATTTTTTCAGAACGAGGGAACACTCATTCGAGGAGTGTCAGAGGTAGATGAGCAGGAGTATCCACAGATGAAGAAACCGTCAAATCCGTTCAATTTTTTATCACCTAGACCAGACAAGTATATCAATTGCTCTAAAATTGAATTAAATATTCTGTGGTGGTATAATTATGAAATTTTCTTCTTCATGAGTAATATCAATATCGGGTCATACATGAAAAAATTCAATAGAAAAACTTAGCGAATTCGCTAGAAAATTTTATTGGATTTCTTTAGAAATTCTATTGGAATTCTATTAAAATTCGAGGGAATTCTCGTTAAAATTCTATTTGTTTTTTGCGCTGATGTGTGATGTTTGATAAGAAAAAGTCAATAGATTTTGATTTTTCTATATGAATATTCTCTTGGAATTTTTTTCTATAAGAATACTTGGGCATGAATTTTCCGAGTTTTTTTCACTCGGATCCTGTAGTGCACAACAAAACAAAATATAGCGGAAAAAACTTGGAAAATCCGTACCCAATAATTTTAATAGAACACATCTCAAGAGAAAAATTTTAACTGAAAAATCGAAATCCATTGACTTTTTCCTATCTAATATCTAATAGAATCAAATATCGAATAGAAATATCTAATAGAATCTGCGCAAAAAACAAATAGAATTTTAACGAGAATTCCCTAGAATTTTAATAGAATCCTCATAGGATTTCTAGAGAATTCCAATAGAATTTTTTAGCGAGTACGCTAAGGCTGTCTATTGAATTTTTTCGTAAATGCTTCAAAAAATCTTCGTCAACAATTCGTTTTACAATCAACTGCTTCGAAGATAAATCCATGAATAGAGAAGTTACATATGAGACAATCTCATAATTGAACATTTCACCACTGAAGTTTCCACAAAGATAATTATGTTTTAAATGAGTGATTAAATTTCTAGAGCAGAGTTGAAGAACGTTTCCACGGTGCATCATTTGAAACCCTCGACGGCAAGAAGTTTATTAAAACACGCGGTAATCGTTCTCTCAGCGCATTTAGGATACCAAACAGCTTCTGATGTTGCCATTGAGACGTTAACAGACGTTGCCGATCATTTCCTGAGGAAAATGACGTTGCTCCTGAAGGTTGCATCTGAGCAAAGTGAGCATGGCTTTCCAGTGAGTTCAAATACCCCTTCTTATAGTCTTGAATGTAATAAATAAGTAAGTTTTCTTCATGGATCTTTTAATATTTAATGCTATTTCAGGATGACATGGAACGAGTGCTCGTTGAAACTGGTATTGGTGGTGTAGTTGATCTCCATGATTATTATCGAAATTACGTGCTACGTCATGAGCAGAAAGTCAAGAAGCAGGTGGAGATGAAGATGGAGGAGCAGAGGGAGATGGAGCTCAGTGCGAGTGTCAAGTGAGTAAGCGAGATGAGTATTTTGAAAAAAAAAATGGAATCTGATCAGTAGTTTTGGAGATATTTTGAGTATCAAGTGAATGAGTGAATGAGATAAGTATTTTGAAAAACAAAAAAAAAATTACCAGTAGTTTTGGAGACACTGACCAAAACGCTTTGTCACAAAAAATTGAACATCTTTGGAGCTACTCAAAATCATATTATCACAAGAAATATTTTGACGAAAAAAAAGTTAGTTCAGGCGTGTAGTTGAAATATTGACAGAAGAAGAATTTTGGGAAATTGCTGTATCTTGAAAATTCCTTGACTGATTAAGCTTCAAGTTGCCCCAAAAGTGCATTGCCAATACCAATTAAGGATATCCAAGCACTTTGGCTATTTTTTCTCCAGTGAAATGTTGTTCTGATTTTGTAGTCAAACATCAGAGCTTTCATTTGAACCCCATTTGAACCCAAGTTTGCGGACATTTTAGAATGATTCTATTTTTTAACCTCTGCAGTTCTCGATATTGAATCGTTAGAAAACATTTTAAAAATCTGAAAAAAATTTAGAAAGTTTATTTTTGAAGGAAAATTGATGAAATAATTGAAAAATTGCAATTTTTTAAAATTACGAGCATTTTATATAAATTATTTACAAACAAACAATTTCACCATAAAAATCATTTGTTCGGAATTGTAACAAATTGATTCATATTCAGAATTTTCCCAGAAAACAATTTTTTGCCTACCAAAATAAGATTTCCGAAAATTTAAACATTTTCAACTATTTATTTATAAACGACGAATGTTTAAAAAATAATAACTCTGTTCCAAATGGAATTTGAATGGCGCTGCATATTCATGACTTCATTCCAATTTTTCTCGGGCAATTTAATTGACAAATTTGATGATTGAAAAAGGTTAAATCTATAGTGTGGTCCGTACCAAAGTGTAAAAGATGCTTGGATATCCTTAAGAGGTAACTCATGTCAATAACTATTAATTTTTGGAAACCAAAAAACTTCAGGCACTGCACAATAAAATAATACAGTGATTGAAGTTTTTTGAATTTTACAAATTACTAACTATGGACACGAGAACGATTTTAAAATTCAACACATGTAAGGAGTACTGTTACCTCTTAAGGGACAAAATTTCGCATCCTTAGCTTCTACTCTACTCTTTTTCTTGTGAACATTTATCACAAATTCCCGAGAAATTGGTACGCACCTACACTTTCTGAAAATATTACATCTGAACGTTTCAAGATATTCTAAATCTAATCATTTCCAGATAAAATTAGAAGACCACTAAATTAATGACTACGAAGCCTCTATTCGAAATACAAATCAACTCTTTCCTGTATTTTTCAAGCCATTTTTCCAGATTCATCTTCAAAACTAATAGGGGAATATGCCTAAATGAATGGTCTTATGGAAAAATTTCAAATAAATTGTAGAAGCTGAAAAATTTTCCACAAAAATGGTCCTCTGATGACTTCCTTGAACCCTTCGAAAGGAACTGTAAAATGAACTCCTTTGTCGTTCGGAACTCCTTGTTTCCGAATTGAAGCATTGTATTCGTCAAATCCGTAATTTCCAATTGTTTGTGTCAGGATAACTAATTTTGACCTCAGGAGTTCGAATGTACTATTTTTAGACCATATCCGGATGTATGTATGTGATTATCTGAAAAAGGAATTGTTTAAATCAATCGAATTGTGCCATATTCTTTCCAATGCCATCGTGATCGAGTTCGATCATGAGAAAATCCATTTTAAGGCCCGGGTGTACTATCTTTCGAATGTTATCGGGATTTTTTTTGTGTTTCGTAATCCAAAATTGTCAACTGAGTGGTACATCATGTAGAAATTCCCAAAAATTATGCTAGAATGATTAAAAAAATAGAAAAAATTCTGAGCTTTTTCAAAGAGCGTTTTTAATTGAGATTCAGAATGAGTTGAAAAAAGTGGAAATCACAAATATCTGATTCGCCGTGGCAAATTATCTATTAGCTGTCATTTTCCATGGTGGACGACAAAACACTAACTCTTCATGGGAAGTGACAGCTAGGTATCTCAATTTTAAATACAGTGATATATAGCCATCTGCCATTTTTATGTGATAAAAGTCTGAGTAAAAAAATCTCCTAAATATTACAACTTTTTTCAAAGAGCCTTTTCCGTAATAAATGTCTCTGTGCAGTGTGGAAAAAGATTTACGAAATCAGTCTTCCCCCTGCATGATATTGGGTGACAGGCCGCCATTTGTCAGCGTAAATCAGATACATTTTTCAATTTCTTGTTATTCAACTTATTCTGAATATAAATTAAAAATGTTCTTTGAAAAAATTGAGAATTTTTTCTACTTTTTTTGATTATTCATTCATAATTTTTCAAAACTTCTGCATGATGCAGGACTTAATTGACAATTTCAGATGATGAAAGATGAAAAAAAACATCGAGATAACAATCGCAAGATAGTACACCCGGGTCTTAAAATCAATATTTAGGTAAAGGTAAAAAATTTTAACGCTGAAACAATGTTGGCTGTCAGCGTTCAGGCAATTTTGAATGCAATGAATACTTCAACTCAATTTCAAATACATTGTCGTAGAAATTCCATTTGGAAGCAAATTGCCAATTTATTACCAAAAATATATTGACTATGCTGTGGTGAAAGCAATTTGCCACTTGTTTTTACTAATTATGCGTCCAAACGTCAGTACTCCATTTATCTTGAACAACTTAAACTAAATACGAAAATTATCATTTCAGAATGGAACTCGATGAAGCAGTGAATAAAATACAATTCGAGGAGCTAGACGAGTTCGGCAACACCTTCAGAGAAGCCCCAACGCTCCAGCTCCTCGACCCCGACATGGGTTTTCCCCCGAGTCTCGACGCTGGCTTCCACATTCTCCAGAGTCTCGAGCACGATGAATAACAGAACTCAATGAATTATACTCTACTTATTTATTCACGAAGTAATAATTATTTGATAATAAATAGTAATTTTTTACAAAGTTCCTCTCATATTTAATTCTCCCGCTCTGCGCAATAGACCTTTTCATTCTGGAAATCTAGGGGAAATATTTATTTCGTTCATTCAACGAAAAAATCTCCGAAAAAACCATGGGAAATTCTGATAAATATTGAATTTTATAATGATATACACTTGAGCGCTCAAAAACCATGATTTATATGTAAATTCGATAAAGTGTCCGCAAATCCTAGGGGAATTGACATGGGAAAAAAGTGTCCGCAAATCTAGTGACTCTCAGAATGAAAAGGCCTATTGGCAATTACCCAACCAATGGGGGAAATCCAAGCCACAACCACTTACACATTACCCACAATTCCGTTTGACTCACGTTGACAACTCGTCAAAAATGGCAGATTCAGGCCCCACTAAATCGGATATCGAGGAAATTTTCAAAAGATTGAGGGCTATTCCAACTAATAAGGTACAAATTTAATTGCATAAACTAAATCTAAACTTCTTCTCTCTAAAATAGAAAGAAAGGAATTCGACAAAACTGATGATTGAGTTGACAGTTCCCGACACAAGTCCAGTCCACGCACCACACATTTCCATCATTAATTACTTCTCACTAATCCTCAACAATTCATCCAAAATCGTAATTGTTAATTTCAATCACAATTTTAACAAAATCCCACTTGTATAAATTTTCATTCATTTCAATACAAAGAGGTTATGATAGGTTATTTTAGAATGGTCTTATGGACATTCTCTGACCTGCAACGTATTCAAACGATTTGTTTCAGTTAATTTTTTTCTCAATTTGTTAAGTTTATTTAGAGATGTTTCCACGCCTGCAACGTATTGAAATAATAAGGCAACAAACAAAGATGGTAGAGCTTCAAAAATCGAAACAAAAGATTTAAAAGTTCTTTCGTTAAGGATTGATCCTAATGAGTTTCCTATTTCCTAATCTAGTGAATTCATTAATTTATGATGCGACACAATTTAGAAGTTATTTTATTTGTCATAGACATGCTTCGACTGCAACGCAAAGAATCCAGCATGGTGCAGTGTGACATACGGTGTCTTCCTCTGCATTGATTGTTCAGCTGTTCATCGTAGTTTGGGTGTACACTTGACCTTCGTCAGATCCTCACAGCTGGACACCAATTGGACATGGCTTCAGCTGAGGAATATGCAGTTGGGAGGCAATGCTCATGCTGTAAGTGCACATTGAACCTCTTTGAGTGAAGAGGGGCTGATACTTTTACTCCAAGAACTCTTCGTCCAATGACTTGTGGTTCGAAATGACGACGACCACTAATAGGGAAGACTGGGGCAATATGAACTCTGGACTTTTTTGGAATGTTAATTCATTGAATTCTTCATGAAACTATTTTTGTTTAGATGAAAAAAATCGCAAATTAAAAATTGCTAAAGAAGAAATTGTTCGATTCGAAATTGATAGTTTTAATTTTATTTCAAAATTCATTTCAGTAGCGAAGCAGTAAAACGGTTTAAAGCCCGAGTGTACTATCTTTCGAATGTTATCTGGATTTTTTAAAATCTTTCGTAATCCAAAATTGTCAATTGAGTGGTACATCATGTAGAAATTCTCAAAAATTATGATAGAATGATAACAAAAAAATAGAAAAAATTCTCAACTTTTTCAAAGAGCGTTTTTAAATGAGATTCAGAATGAGTTGAAAAAAGTGGAAATTACAAATATCTGATTCGCTGTGGCAAATTATCTATTAGCTGTCATTTTCCATGGTGGATAACAAAACACTAACTCCTCATGGGAAGTGACAGTTAGGAATCTCAATTTTCAAAAGTGGTATATAGTTATCTGCCATTTTTATGTGATAAATGTGTGATTAAAAAATTCTCCAAAATATTACAACTTTTTTCAAAGAGCCTTTTCCGTAATAAATGTCTCTGTACAGTGTGAGAAAAGATTTACGAAATCAGTCTTCCCCCTGCATGATATTGGGTGACAGGCCGCCATTTGTTACCGTAAAGCAGATACATTTTTCAATTTCTTGTTATTCAACTTATTCTGAATATAAATTACAAATGCTCTTTGAATTCGCTCCATTCGCTCTACAAAAAGGATTATTATGACATTTTCATTATCCTCCTTAGATTCGGAGATATTCCTCGAAAACTCAGCTCAGGGCTGAGTCGACTTAAATAATTTTACAGCTTCGCTGCTGATTTCTTACCCGTGATTATTGAATAGTCGAAACGAAAAACTATCCCTTGTTTTGCATAAAACAAACGTTTTTCGGGAGCAAAATACCTACGGTAGTATCGAATAACGAAGGAGTATGTAGTGCTAGAAATTGCATTTTCTGGTTGGACAGGGAAAACATTTTTATGGGACAACTAAATCTATTTTTTGTGACAAGGATTTTTCATCTCACGACAGTCTTCAAATGAGCACTAAATTTTATTTTTATGGCAATTTTTGATTTGCCATTTTTGAAGTTCGAACAAGACTTGTCCGAGAAATTTTTTTTTTTTCTCTCAATGTCGATTAGACCAAAGGTGATTGGACGAACAATGGTTGGACGGAACCCGAGAGAAAATGAGGGAGTCTGTTTTTCTCAACGTTATGATTTTCTGGTTTCAGAGGACGTTTTTCTCTCAGCACAACTGCACGACGACCGATGCACAGCAGAAGTACAAATCTCGTACTGCCATGCAGTATCGGGAGAAATTGTCTCAAGCTGCCAACCAGGCGATGCGTCGTCATGGAATTAAGGTAATTAACCCTTCAAATGCTTATGATCAATTGATAAAATATGTAGTTCAGTGAAGGAGTGACGAAGCAGGAAAAGTCAATTTCACTTTGAAACAGATCAACTTTTGGCCAATATCTTAGAATCTAAAGGAAATAGCGAAATTTTTGTGATGGCCTTTTTCTGTGTCCAATGAACGTCGGTCTAACACACGAATGTGTTGCTAATCAGGCTGAAATTTTGATGCAATTTGTGATTTGGGCGTATGAAACTAATGGCGGATGTTTAAGGTTCTCCAAGTTTGTGCGGGGATTGAAAAAGCCAAAAAACTACCCCTGAAAACCGTTTTTTCGAAATAACTCGTGAATAACGCGCTGTACGTCCAAAAACGTGGTATACAAAGTTGTAGAGCACAAAATTCTACACAAAAAATGTTTGGGGCACTTTACCCCTATTCCCAGATGGGAAAAACAATTTGGTTTCCATTTAAAAAATTGAAGTTAATGAATTTTTTTTGTAATTCGGAATATCAGTGTTTTTTTCCATAGCTTGTTTATTTATTCAGAGTGAATTTAATGTATGTTGCTATTTATATCTTGAAATTGAATCGATGAATTTCTTTTTTTTTCTTCCATATTTTTTATTAGAACATTTACCACAAATTTTGTCTTGATCGTACCCGTGAATCTCCTATGGATTCAAAGTTAACCGCAATTTTCTAGTTCTAACCCCTAAATCCGGCGCGGTGAATGAGAACCTTTTGTGCGAGAGAGAAATCTCCGTCTCACTCCCACGCCCTACAGCTATTCACCCGACCGTTTGCGCATGCGCGTCGCGTGAAACGCCAATGCGTGTGTAACCTGTGACAACATTACCACGTGCAAAACATGTTTTTGGAGCAAAATATTTTGGAATAATGTGTGAGTGATTGTGAAAAAGCTTGTTTTTGGCAAAGTTCTCTACAGTTGCATGACAGAGTCATCCAAAATCCAAGGTAATTAATAATACAGTCCTCATTTTCATTTATTGCGCGTGCCCAAAGCATACTGTTTTTCCTTTGAACTTTAGGTTATATTTGGGTTATATATGAGTAGCATTCAATGATTTTTCAGATTTTTTTCATGTTTTCTAAAGAAATTTGTTGTGTTGAACTATAATTCACGAGTGATATGACAATAATTATTGTCATATCACTAGTGCTCCAAAATTGATCAGCTATTTTTTCATGTGACTTGTTTGCAACAAAAAAGATGCGTCTCTTGATGCAGGTGAAATATCTACATCAAATATTTTCCCACAAAATTTAAATATTTTTCCTATGCAACGACTTTGAAAAAGATAACTGATTGATTTTGGAGCACGAATATTATTCCAAAATTTGAACAGAATGTCGGGGACAAAAACAATAAAAAATGACTTTTCGTATAGAAACCAATCTGCTAATTATGTAATGTCAATCTGGCGATGATTTTTCAAAGAATACACTGTTAGAAAAAAAAAAAAAGCAAAATTTCATGGACAGTTGACTACCAATTTTGAAGGCAGTAACACTGCATTTAACTTCAGGGTGCAGAAATCATGAAATTTCAGGTTTCACTGAAAATTCACTGAAGTACCTCGGAGATGAGAATTCTTGGATGCATCCAAACTCTCATTGGAGTATGAAAATTTAGTTCCAAATTTCACTGAATTTTCAGTGAAATCTGAAATTTTATGATTTTTCTTTCCGTAAATCGCATTCGAAAATTAAGGGATATATTCAACTGAATTTACTGGATTTCTAAAGATTTTCGAGGGAAAGTAAAACTGAAATCTCTAGTCCTCATTGATTTTTCCATGAAATCCGGAATTTTCAATGACGAAATTCTTTGAAATTTCAGTGATAATTGAATACGATAATAATTGTCGAGAAGTGTACTGGAAAATTCCGACAAAATTTTTCAACAGTGTATCTTCGAATAAACGGTACATGAAAAATATTGCATTGGAACTTTTTTGTGGACCTAAGGAGGCTGTACAAGAATCATCCTCCCATAAATTACTCTATATCTTTTAGATTTCAAGCTACACTCAAAAAAATAAATACTTCTCACAAGTACCAAATGGTACTAGAGACGATTTTACTCGTGAAAAGTTCGGAAAATACTTGTCCCAAGTATTTTTCTGACTTTCCAACAGTAAATTCACCCCAAGTACCAATTTGGTACTGGGGAAAAGTATTAATTTTTTTTGAGTATGCAATTGAAAAACTAATGTTTTGGCAGCACAAAATTATCTTTTTCTACTTCTGAACTTCAGGACATCACAAATGAAGAAAAAAAAAGTGGTAAACAACCACCAAAAGTTGAAAAGACATAGAACACGATTTATATTTTTTCGAAAAGTAGAGAAAGTTTCCTACAAAATCTTCGGCTTTTTTTTTTATTGTGAGTCGTAATTACAATTTAAATTTTGGAAAATTGCTGAAGGTGAAGAGAAACAATCTTTAATATATTCGTCAATTATTGAGTTACAGAATTCCGGTTAAGCTCATTTTTACTGTTTAAAATTCTTTTTTTCGATAAAAAATCGAAAATGACTTTGGAAAATTTCTGACTCTGGAAAAAAAAAGATTTCTCTGCTTCTTAGACGCGCAGAGGGTAATTGAACGTTTTACATTGCAAATTATTCTATCTAATTTAACGTGTTTAAAAATGCTTAAAAATAAATAGATTTTGATCGGAAATTTCTTCAGTTTTTCGAAAATGGCGGTTATTTCGTCCCCCCACTTCAACTTCGTGGTGACAATTGAAACACAAAACTCCGAAAATCCATTTGGATCAGTTTATCCCCTTTTAAAAAAATCTTGTATTTTTTTTGTAGCATTTGAAACATTATCGATCAAAATAATCTTTGGGAAATGAATGCTAAAATAGAAAAAAAATAAAATTCAATCGAAATGATTACTGTGCCTACTTAATATTCCATTGAATGTTTCTATCTCATTTTTTTCGCATCTCAACGATAGATAAATGTGAATAAACCCTTGAAAATCAAGAGAATCTCACTGTTCAACTTGCCATTGTTTGTTTCTTTATTTCTGTTCTAACTCTGCGGCACACCAGCACGCTTTTTTCAAAGAGGATTTGGATTTGGATCGGAAATTTGCGTAATATTCCGGAAAAAATGATGAAATTATAATCAAACTCATAGTTTTCCCATAGTTTTTCGCTACTAAAACCCAGATTGTTAGAACAAAAAGGGGAAAAGCCCGGGATCTGTGTTTTTAAATTTTATATTTTCGGTCCCAATTTCCCCTAATGTTTGAACATTTGTAGTCATTATTACGTAATTCAATTTATTTGCTAAACGATATACGAAATTACATAAAAAACATAATTATCAATGGTAACCTCAGTGTTACTCAGAATATTCATGTTAATTTTCCCTAAGGATTAAAAAACTTGGGTCGGCGAAGTGAAAAAAATTCTGGAGAGAAACCTCTTGGTATGAGCAAAAGGGACATTGTTGTTCATTCTTGCATTTTTTTAATAATTGAAATATTAAAAGAAATATGAAATAAATTTTTAAAATCGTTGGTACTTGTGAAATGATCAGAGTTTATGTTAATAGGAAGTATGATTATAGAATGTTAATGTGTTACTTTCGGCCCATCAGTTAACGATAAGAATAAAACAATCTCTGAAATAATAAAAAGTGCCAAATTTTATCAGGTACACTAGAGATTTTTTCATTTTTTTAAATAATGGAATCTTGCGTTGCAAACTACGAAAGAAATAATTCCGTTGAAATATGAATAACTAATTCAGCTTCTTTTTTGTAAACGTTCCTTTTTTTATTATTTCTAAATAATCGTTTTTTTCACTTATTTCCATTAAAAAGTCAAGTCCATACTGATGAAATTTTCCGCAGGAGGCATTTGACTCAGAAAAATATGCATTCAAACCGCTCACTAATTCAATCGTACATTTTTTTCAACTTTTGGAAAACGCGAGCAAAAAAAAAGGATAAAAAACAAAACCATTCTTTTGTGCTCTATTGAATATCGAAATAAATGGCCCGGCATACCGTTATTCATTTACCTACATAATTTTATAAGTTTTCTAGCTGCATGTTATTTTTGTTTGTATCAGACTTGCACAATGGACCCCGTCTCAATCTGTTGCATTTGTGGAGAAGTAATGCAGGATAAGGACTCTCTCTCAACACTCAAACAAAAGGCACTCCAGTCTTTTAGTGAAAAGAGTAAAAAACGAGGGGATGGGCTTTGGGAGTCTTGGGAGAAAGGGAATTGTGCTACAGCTCATGAGACGTGCAGGAAGCGATATGGGGTTAGATCGGACCATGTCTCCGAAGCCAAGAGGAGGAAAACAGAACCTCTAAGACCATCACCAGCAACCACCCCCCAGCTGCAATCGGAAGCAGAGAGATCGACACAACAGACTCCAGGGACGTCATCGTCTTCCCAATCTTCTGACTTTGACTACAAAAATCTATGTATTCTTTGTGGCAAACGGATGTACTCTTTTCGGGAAGTGGTGAGGAGGGTACATGATCCACTGTTGAAGGACCGATTTTTACTGATGGCGGATACTATTGGTGATGAATTTAGTGAAGGAGTTATTCATCGACTGCAGAGAGATGTTTCACTTGTGGAGGCTCAAGCTGGCTATCACTTGGCGTGTTGCAGTCGATTATTGTCTTGGAAGTATGCCAGACCACACGTGGATAATACGCAAAATGAAGAGGCATTTCGTAAAGTTAGGAGTTATCTTGAGAATGCGAACAAGATAACTTTTTCGGTGAAAGAGTTACGAGAGATTATGGGAGAAAGCACGATTAGTGACAGGGTTTTATACAAGAAATTACAGGAGACCTATCATGACGATATCTTCATTGATATACATCAAGGAAGAAAAACTCAAGTCCTATATAAACACACAGATATTGCTAAGATATGTAGTGAGTGGTTCTGCTCTCGTGGCACAATTAGTCAAGAACGACGATCTATTTTGCTGCAAGTAGCAGCTGAGATGCTACATGAGGAAGTGGTCCAGACAAATTTCGATACCTCTTCGTATTCTCCACCGAATAAATTTCTGCAGGGTGTCTCTACGATCATTCCATGGAATTTACAGAATTTTTTTGGGCAGCTGTTATATTTGAATGATCCAAAGCGTGAGGATCAACATCGACGTTTGCGGGATTATCTGTCTCATGCTATTGTAACAGCTATAAAACCAAAATCATTCATATCGAATCTCCAGTTGGCCATTGGCGTTTACATTCATCGTAAAACCGGTAGCAAATTAGTCATCGATCTATTATCCACAATAGGTGTTTGTGCCTCGTGGCACAACATAAAACTTTTTGAAGTGAGTAACATTATGGATCCCCCCAAAATGAATGTCGATAAGGGTTCTTTCGTGCAGTACGTGTTTGATAATACTGATCATAACGCCGCCACTCTGGATGGGCACGAGACCTTCCATTGTTTGGGGGGTATTGCTGTTTACACTCCTGCAGAAAATGTGTCTTATCATGGAGGCTCCAAAAAATTGAACAAAATGCCGTCTACGGCAGTCATTGCTGCCCAGAAACCAATCCAAACTCTCCCATACGAAGCTCCCGAAGAGAGTGGGATGAAGAAGGTAATTCTGGAAGACATTGAAGATCTCGATCTTGGTAAACCAGCATTGATCCCAGTCGAATACTCAACGTACTTGTAGTGTAAATCCTTCAGAGGTATTGATTTACCATCCTGGAAGGGGTTCATGGAAGTTGTGACGTCGGAATCCGACTTGTCAGTGAGAACATCCAGCATCGTCTGTTTACCCTTCATAAATTCCCCTCCCTCGAATTTGACGACACTCCACACAGCTCTAAATTATGCAGCGACTGAAACTGCCAAGATCGGACAACAAACAACTTTCGTGACGTTCGACCAACCATTATATTGGAAGTCAGAATCGATGGCCATGTCTCTCGCTGATTCGTCAATGAATAAAACCGTTGTACTACTGGGGATCTTCCATTTAATGATGTCGTTTATGGGTGCCATAGGATACACAATGGAAGGAAGTGGCCTCGAAGACTTATGGTCAGTTATTTACGCGCCACAATCAGTCAAAAAGATGCTTTCGGGACATGCTTTTAGTAGGGCTCTAAGAGCTCACATCCTGACATTCACGGCTTTGGGAATGAAAATTTGTGGTTACGTAGATGAAGGCAAGAGAGAAGCATGCAAAGATTTCATGGGTGAGTTCATGTCTGACTGGCAATCACGTACGAGAGGTGAATTATCATTGTGGGGAACTGAAAATCATGACGAAAGAATTTGAGAATGAACTGTGGAGACTTGAGAATGAAAATGGTGCTACGAGTAAGTTGTGGATCCAGTACTTCAAATCTGTTGTCATCTTATTGCAATTAATTGAGGCTGAGAGATTAGGAGACTGGAAGCTCCACCTCCAATCGGTGGCAAATACCATTCCTCTGTTTCACGCTTCGGGCCACATTAAATACGCAATAACTGCTCATGTATACGTGCAAAGAATGGCTCATTTAAAAGACAAAATGCCTCCAGACGAATACGAATCATTCACTACCCAGGGATTTTTTACAATACGTCGAAACGATAAAGCATGGGCTGGCGTGTCGAGGGACATGGTGATAGAGCAGACTCTTAATAGATCATTTGGGATTGATTTGAAGCACGGGAGAGGGGTGACACCCAGTGTAGTGAACAGATACTTGCTCGCCATGCCCTCAGCATTCGCCATCATGGAGACTCTGGAAGAGTATTGTGGAGTTCGATCTGCTAATAGTGAGCAATACGTTGATCTGAGAAGCAGCAGAATGTCAAGAGATAATCAAGACATTGAAAAACTGCTGTTCTGGTTGAACTCTCATAATCCATTCTCTGGTCGCAATTCACTGATTTCACTTTCGACGAGGGTTATTGGTGGACCGTTCATAAATTGCCACGAAGCAGTATCAAAAGGATTAGCATCTATGAAAAGGGTCGTGGGTAAGGATGCGGAGAGTGCCTCAATATCTCCAGTTTTCAAGGTTAAAAACCTTACTTCTGCTGCACAGGCAATTCACCTCAACTCTTCTGACTCTGCTGTAGTTTGACACTTATCTCCTATTTCAAAAAATATCCATTCATTTGAAGGAAAATAGTCAATTAACTCAACAAGCTTTACAATACGAATTATCTTCTGTCCCACTGAGTCTATTTGATGAGAAATGCTGGTTAAGGCAGAATAAAAAGTCAGATCTTTACACCATTCTCACACCAGCAATTCGGAACCCTGGGTTGTTGAAAAATTGTCAATTCGTAGTGGACGGTGGCTGGTTACTGCGCCAAATCAATTGGCCGCATGGAAAAACGTACGCAGAGGTTTTGGAAATATACCGGAAATACATCACTGATTATTTCGGATATGATGCTGTCGTCGTCTTTGACGGCTACAAGAATGATATACTTGGAGTGAAGTCTTATGAAAGACTGCGCCGTAAGGAGAAATTTGTCGCAGCTGACGTTGACATTGCCCTCGAGAATCCAATCACAGTGACGAAAGAGAAATTCTTATCCAACGTAGTCAACAAATTCAAATTAGTCAAACTTCTGTCAACTTATTTACGCAATAAAGGCATTCTGACGAAAGTAGCAGAAGAAGACGCTGATACACTGATTGTAAATACTGCAATTAACATGCAAAGTCATCGAGAACCCACTGATAAACCGGTAGTAGTCGCCGGTAACGATGTTGACCTGCTAGTCTTACTCATTGGCCTGACGCCGATAGACTCGAATATTGATTTCTATAAAATTGTCTCCACCGGCAAGAAGGAAAAAAAGCTTTATTCAACTCGTGACAACAGACATTTGCAACCTTTCATTTTGTTTGCACACGCCTATGCAGGATGCGATACGACAAGTGCTTTTTACAACAAAGGGAAAAATTCGATTATTTCACTGTTACAAAAAGATCAAACCCTCTGTGACTCTGCATCAGCCTTTTATGCCGCGAATAAAACTATAGACGAGCTTTACGATATTGGCGAGAACATTCTAAAGCATCTGTATGTCACGTCTAACGAAGCAACTCTGTCTCTCAATGACATCAGGTATAAATTATTCACCGCATCAGTAGCTGGTGCCAAAAAGGATATACTACCTTCGCTACCACCTACAAGAGGTGCTCTCTTAGAACACATTAAGAGAGTGTATTACCAAGTCCAGCAGTGGAAGTCCAATAAACTAGATTCACTGCAGTGGGGATGGGAAAAACTAGAAGGTGAAAACTTCATCTTAATACCCAAAAAAACGAGTCTCCTTGCTGCTCCACCTGAATTGTTATCCAAGGTAAGTCATGATGGAGAATTCCCCATGCTGAGTCTAGCCCATCATAGTACTACTTTATTTTTTTATGCTTCAATCGCAATTACTCAATCATTCATGGAAAACTCGTTATGGAATTTGTAGTTCAAGACCTTTCTTTTTTGGTCTTTTATCAAATTTCCTTCACAACCCCTCAACCACTAAGGTCTCACCTTACCAGTGCAGACATTGTGCACCTTGAAACTCATTTAACCCTTTTGAACAATCTTTCTAACTCACCTTATTCCTTCGACCTCATTTTAAATGGGATTGAAGTTAGTTCAGTCAATTTTACCGGGAATTTTCCCCATTCAAATGTCAGCCAATAGAATTGCACTATTCGACTGTTATTTTATGTAGTCAACACGGTATTCAGCTGATTATTTTCGGTAATCGGTTCTGGCCTCCCCTGGGCCAATCAGAGTTCAGTATTCAATAACTTGAAGTACTTCCCAAATAAAAATACAGCAGTAATTTCCCTGTAGCTTTTGATAATTTCCCTCTACCTCTGCAATTGTTTCTCTAACCAAATAACTGTCAAATATTATACTGTGGAGTGAAAGAAAGCCATGAAGGAAAACGATCCGATTACCAAAAATAATCCGTCGAATACCACTCGACCTCCAAAATTAATCGAATATTTCCCTCATGTTTCCCTGCGTATCAACGATCGGGATAAGTTTTGCACAAAAATCCTTCGCGCTCCGCGCTCGGAATTTTAATCTGCAAAACTTCTCCCTCTCGTTGCTACGCAACAAAACAATCGGGAAGTATCAGATAATTTTGGAGGTCTTGTGGTATTACTACTGATAATTTTTGATAATTCAACTGGTAATTTTTCATGTTGACTCTATTTGTGGAAACCAAAAGATTCCGTGGTCGAGTGAACCCCTGGTTGGAACTGTCAGATCGATTTTGTCTCATTGTGCAATTCTTTTGGCCGACATTTGGCTGGGAAAATTCCCTCCCGAATACCACTCGAGCTTCAAAATTAATGGAATAATTCCCGAAAGGTTCGTTGCACACAAACGAAGTTGTCAAGTTTTTCAGGTTAAAAAATCACGAGTGCGAAGCACAAGTGTTTTTTTGACTTGAAAAACTTAACTCTTTCGTTTGTTTGCAACGAACCTTTCGGAAATTACTCGATATGTTTGGAGCTCTTATGGTATTACTTGCGGAAATTTCCTCGTAATAAATTAACTGTGAGATGCATGATGAATTGTTCAAAAATGCTTTCCAGATATCTTGCAACTGTGCTTCAAGTAGGAGTACCACAAAGAGATGTACATGTACTTGCAACCCACTGTGCAAAAAATGCCCAAATGAAGATGAGTGCTCCAATTTACCAGTTCAAGAAACAAATGAGACTCAAGAAGAAATAGATTCGGAAGGGGGTGAAGAAGAAGAGAATGGAGTTTATGACGAACAAGAAGGATTCGAAGAAAGAGATGGAGAGAAAAGTCAAGAAAAGAATGGCGATTACGACGCAGATGATGAAGAGTTTGAATACGGCTTTGATTATTATTAATATGCACGAGTGTTGCGTCATTTTTTTTTATGGAAGTAATTATCACTTTTACGAATTGGTTATTTGAATCATTTTAACTGTTCCTCAGGTGTTTGTTCCACGAAAAGTTCCGAAAACGGAGGAAAATTTCCCCTCCCAAATGATTTAAATTTACTTGAATTGAGAACCCCAACGCCCATTGTCAATTTTAGAACAGATTAAAAACTCACAAAATGTGATAAACTCTCCAAGATTTTTTACGCATGTTAGTAACAAATTATGAATTTGATTACGTCTGAACTGTATTATGCTCGTTGCGTTTGTCCATTACACTCAATACCCGGAGGGTTTGGAATATTTCAACTGATGCCATGTTGATGAATTTACGAATTGATTTTATCTATAACACATGAAAATAATATTAACTGTAATGCACTTGACAATGGCGGCATTTTCATTCTGAATTGGAATTGAAAAATAAATTAATTTAAGTTATTAAAAAAAAGAATTATTGCCTTGTCCTTGACCTTTATTTATGGCCCTTGAGATCCTTGCATTTTACTATCGTGTCCCTCACTTCTGACTTTCATGATCCTAGTTTTTAACCGTGATTCAACCGTGATCCTCAGCTTCGGCCTTTTCTTGAAACTGGTATTGATCATTTTTATTCATGACTTTTGTAATCCTCACTTCTGCATCCCTCAATTTTAATGTGAAATATGATTCATCCAAATCGCATTATTTGATTAGAATATACTCACGATTGACTTGTATTTTTTTGGTGAGAGGATCCTGTAATGTCTTTTTTTTTTTTACGGCCTCTGAGTCCCTTTTTCGGGTCCCATTCGGCACTCTATCCAACCCTATGCATGCGGCTGTGGATTCTACACTGTACCGCATTCGCACTTCTATAGAACATAGAAGTAGCATGGGGAAACCACAGAAAACCCATGCCGGTACAGGCGGTTCCTCTATTAGCAACCTCCCGCTCGCCGGAGCCTTCCATTCAAAAATATTTGTTATTATACCAATTGTGACCGTTCAATATTTAATTAATATTATTTCCTAAAAGGGGGATTTAGGGCAATTAAATAATGAGGACAAATGAGGGATAAAATTAACTAAATATCTATATTTCTAGTAATTTACAGATTAGATCGTCGTAAGACGTTTAAAATGCCTTTTACTTGGATCTAGGGTTATGGGTAAGGCCAGGCAACTTTTGTACACGTAAAAAGGGGAGTGACTCTAATGCAGAAAAAGGGGAGAAGCTAGTCGTGTCGAGGGAATGCAACTAAATATAAGAAGAATAACTAAATGGGGAAGAAACAAAAGAATGTAGGCTCACCGTTGGGGGGTATGAAGGGTAATATTGTGGGGACAAGAGGGAAAATGAGGGGGGTAACTCGTAAGGATCGGAGGGGGGGTATTCGCGGCATAAAAGGCTGATGCAGAGTCACAGAGGGTTTGATCTTTTTGTAACAGTGAACTCACGATGGGAGTTCACTCTGGCGAACACGTGGAATTCCACCGGCGCCTTGCACTCCTTCAAAATACCAGGGCGTTTTCCTGGAGAGCCTCCTTTCCACCTCGGGGTTTCCTGGGCACCAATACTAGAGCTGGGATGAGCTCGATGTATCGAAAATCCTCTTTTTATCCGCCAATACTTCCGGGCGAATTTTACTGTATTCACTATTACTACTTTCGGGGCACGTGGTGACTCACGGGGCAGCTATTGCACGAGTGACGGTCTCTTCTTTTCCTTCGCGATTCGTGGGGGTTCGTCAGGTGTCGATGTCCTTCGGGTTTTAATTCGGGAGCAATCGGGGCCAATCAGCACGGGTGAGTGGTGACGATGACCACAATCCAGGGATGTCTCGCAAGGGATTATTGCTGGTGTTGAATATTTGGGGGTCTAGTATGGGGAATTTCCAGGAGGCGATGGCTTCTCCAATTGATCGGGTGGGGCCGGAACTGATGTCTTCCTTCGGCTGATGTCTTCGTGATGTCCATGAGCAGGGTAGAAGGGCGATGAGGGGAAAAGTCTGGGGAAGGGGTATCCAACGGTGGCGGGATTTACCTTTTAGGGGCAGTGTGTAGTGGGTAAAAATATGTAGAAAAATAATAAAAAATAAATGAATATGCCTCGTCACACAATGAAAAAAAGGCACTTTTTTGCATGCTTCGCGCGCAAGTAACTGCCATTTCTTCACGAGTATCATAAAATTTTCTACAATACACGTGAAAAGTGTATTGTTGATGCATGTCATTACAGACCTCGCCTTCAGCTCCGCCAGTACCTTCACCGTCGTCAACAACCACTTTTTTTCACTTGTATCGTAATATACTTTTCCAGAAATTTCTTTATTTCTATCAATTTTCATGGAATGATTGAACTAACTACAATCTCAAATTTCCAAAAGCTTGACAATATTAGGATTCTCTATTATAGAAGAATAATAATGTCATTGCAGGAAGAAATGATGGAATGACAAATTTGTATTGAAATGTGTGGAAGAATCATTGTTCAGCTCACTGGAGTTTTCAAAAAACTTATGAATATTCCCTACTCAACGCCGAAATGTCAATCAATCGAAGGTTCAGCGTAATTTCATACTAAATATTCATTATTTTATTGAAAACTCATGTAAGCTGGCGAATTCATAAAAAAACTGGGATCCGATTGAATTTTCAGTAAAATGTGCAATTTCATAATTAATTCTTGAATATCTGTGAACTGATTGTGATTCCCAGTCATCTGCGCCTGACTTTTTCAAACCATTTCTATAAACTTCTTTCAGGTAATCGGAAAAATATTTGGCAATTTGCGGCTAAAGGTTGTATGAACACAGCCCCAAAGAATCGTAAATCTCCACATTTAATGCGATTTAAGGGGGAAAAATTCATGAACTTTCTGGTTTCATTAGAAATGAGTAGTCAACTGTCCATGGAATGCCATTTTTTTTCCTAACAGTGTATGGAATGACTCACGAAGTTTCAAAGCGGTGCAATCATTTTCCTGCGTTTTTTCTAAACGTTTAAAAGAAATCACGAAACTGTAGAAAAAACGCAGAAAAATAATCGCACCTCCATGAAACTTCGTGATCCATGAAATAATGACAAAACACAAAAACGTTATATTTTTTCGTGGCAATCCGATCGACAATTTGCCAGAAAAATAAAAAGAATGTGGATTTCGGCCGAAATAAGGGTGTAGAACATCCTTAAATTACGATATATTTTCTAGAAACTAATGTTTTGTCAGTATTTCACCCCTGCATTGATGAGAACATCTAAAAAAATCAAAATTATGTTGTGATTGGGAAATTTTCCGAACTTTACGATTAAAAAAAATATATAATACATGGAATATATAAAAAAAAATTGGGTTAATGGCAGTTGGAAACTTTATTCAGTTATTCATGCAGAAATGGATGGATACAAAAAAAATTCTTTCGGCAAGTTTAGAACTATCGTTAGAGAATGACAGTTCTATTCTTTTTTAGTTTCAATCATTTTTATCATTAATAAAAAAAATTATCATCGATCATTCTTCTATTATTAATAATTTTAATAATACTGATCATACACTAGCAACAAAAATATTGTCCATCAATGGCATTTTCTTATTTTCATGGCGAAGAATGAGCAAGGGAAAGAGAAGGAGCGGGTGTGGGTGAGAGGGGAAGGGAGGGGGAGAGAGAGCGAGCGAACGGCTGACGAAAAACCTCAAATAGAACCGTTTTCCACCCCGTAGGGAAGAAAACGTATATTTTAGGTCTTGCCGAGGCTTGACCCTTCGGAGATTACCTTCAGTATCCTTTGCATGCATGTGTGCCTAAACAATCTGAAATCCCCCCTATGGGAGACATCTAACGGGAGAGAAGGGTACTTCGTGAACGACTTGTGCCGGGCTAGTGGATGCGCGAGGGACGCGGCCATATTCTCTAGTAAAAGCTACGAATGACGGCAAGCCCTTACTCAGGGTGAAGCCTCGGCAAGACCTAAAATATACGTTTTCTTCCCTACGGGGTGGAAAACGGTTCTATTTTAAGTCTGTGCCTTCGGCTTGACCCTTCGGAGAGATGTTTGAAGTCTGCCGGCACTAGAAGGTGTACTGTGATTCCAGAATTGAGAGAAGAACTCGATATTTATTTCTTTTTGAAAATACACTGGAGATACATTCATAGAATAACACATAAAGACCAATGGTCTTGATATCGAACTTTATAAGTTCTACAAAATAAACTATAGTTATGACAAGAACGTATATAGATATGACAAGAACAGTGTTACACTGGTTCGAAACTACTTATGAGCGAAGTCTTTGGCTCAGCACCCCTGGGTTTTTCCACAGTCTTACAGTAATGTTTGAAGAAGGTACCAGACCCCTTCCAGTTGCCCCTTGCGAGTAGTTCATCGATATCCATGTTGTTACGATAATTTTGAGATGCTACTGCTGACCTGGTAGAGCCTGCACTTGCCTGAATGCCCGCTTCAGTGAAGGCGGTTCTGATCCAACCTGCGATTATAGATTTTGACGCCGCCTTTACTTGTCCTCTCGTTGTAATGAAGAGAGATGGAAGGCACTCCCGAGCCTCACGTCTCTTAGCCGATAGGACAATGAGCAATCTGATCCATTTAACTATATCGAAAATTGGATCTTTTGAGCTACTAATTTTCCAGCNCATTTAACTATATCAAAAATTGGATCTTTTGAGCTACTAATTTTCCAGCCAGATTGACGAGAGTTAGCCCTATCGGTTTTTGAACCAAACCTTGGCCAAAATGTGTACTCATCCTCGAGGGTATCGCAGGAATCTGGATCAATTGAGAGGAGAGTGAGATCATGGATTCTCCTTCCAGAGGCCAACAGTAAAAGAAGAGCTACGAAACGAGACACTCCAAAAATGCTGTTTTCGTCTGGAGGATGGTTCGCCATCCAATCCATTAAAGATTCTACGCTCCAGATTGTCCTCTTCGTTGGTTTGGTCTGTTTAGCTTTCTCGAATCCAATTGCCTTCAACAAGGACTTGACCAGGGGATCAGAACTTAGACTAGTTCCCTCATTTGCCCCGATCAAAGAGCAGATTATTGACTTCTGAGTGATGATCGAGTTGAAAGCCAGTTTTTTATCATGAAATAAGTAACTCAAGTATGAAACCAATTGTTGGGCGCTGGGTTTATCTGAAGGAATGTCCTTTGATTTACACCAAGCGAACCAGGCTTTCCAAGTTGACGAGTAAGTCCTCCACGAAGAGTCCCTCCAAGCTCCGCTCAGCAGATTGATCTCAGCGTCAGATAATCCCTTCACCCGATTGCTCCACCCCGTACCTTCCAGACCTCTAAAAAGAGGTTTTTGATGTCTTGAGGGGGAAGACCCGTTGATAAGTCCACCAGGTGTTCCTCCAAGTTCAGCAGCTGAAAAGGTGCTTCCAGACTCCTGTTCTTTAGATCTCCTCTCCAGAAGGTTTTGTCCCATCTCGGGACAACCATCAGGAAAATCCCCGAGGCTGTGTTCAGGTGGTGGAGGACTTTCGGGATTAATGGAGGTGGAGGAAAGATCCACGCCAATCTCATCTTCCAAGGTCTGCTGAACGCGTTTATGAACACTGCTTCTGGATCGGTCGCCTCCATCGAGACATACGATTGGACTACTCTGGATCGTGCTGTAGCAAAGAGGTCGATCTCTGGAGTTCCCCATTTCCGAAAAACTTTCTCCAAAATCTCGTTGCTCAAATGCCAGTCGGGTAATGGTAGATTCCTGGAGAGTCTGTCCGCTAGTACATTGTAAATCCCCGGGAGGAAGAAGGGCGTCAGGAGGATGTTGTACTGGTTCAGAAGCAACAGGAGATCTTTGGCTACATTCAGAAGTACCTGGGAACGTGTCCCCCCCTGGTTCTTGATGTATGCTAAGGTGGTCTTGTTGTCGGTCTGCAGCATCACCGATCTGCCCTGAATCTGGTCTTTGTATTTCTGAATTGCTATCACTACACAGTATAGCTCTTTGCGATTGATGTGCCATTCGGTCTGCTCTGGAGTCCAAGACCCTGCTGAGTAGATTCCGTCCATCTGAAATCCCCAGCCTGTTTGGGAAGCGTCCGTAGACAGGAAGATGTCGGGCTCTGGTTGGAAGATGGGTCGGGTCGAGTGGATATTCTCCTTCCACCACGTGCAATCCATTTTGCTCAGTTCGAGGAGGGGGAATCTGATCTTTGGGGACTTCTTTGATAAACGGCGAATCCCTCGTTGAAGTTGACGAGAGAAGAGACGGCCTAGAGGTATAACCATCGATGCAAAATTCAGCATTCCCAACAGCGATGCCGCCGCTTTCCAGGTCCAGGATCCGGATCTTAGCAGTTTCTCCAAACGGGATAGAATTCGTTCCTTCTTCTCGCTGGGTAGAATCATCAGGTTGTGGTGAGTGTCCCAGATAATTCCCAAGAACTCGATCTTGTGAGTTGGGGAAATAATTGATTTCTGGGCATTTACGACCCAGCCCAGTGAACGAAGGAAGTCTACTACTTGTAAGACTTGAACCTGAAGTTCCTGAGCATCCTGATGAGCCAGTAAGAAGTCGTCGAGATATACCAGGACTCTTATTCCTCTCTGACGCAGAGTATCTGCCAGCCAATTGCTGATCCTCGAAAATGCTATTGGAGCTGTCGATAGACCGAATGGAAGGCAGGTAATATTGTAGAGTTGATTCAAGTATGAGAGGCAGAGGTACCGGCGATGAGTCTGTTTTATGGGAATGTGAAGATAGGCCTGCGACAGGTCTATCTTGGCTAAGAAGTCCTTTCTTTGGAGGAATGATGGGACCTTGCGATGGCTTAGCAGACGAAACTTTGGAGGGAGCAAGTACTCGTTCAGGCAGCGCAGGTTGAAAATTTGGCGGAATTTTCCATCTGGTTTGGGGATTAGAAACATCGGTGATATAAAACCAGAGTCCCAATTTGCTTTTTCTAGAACTCCCTGTTGGAGCATTGATCTGATCTCTTTTGACATCTGGTGTGATATTTTTGTGGAGTATTTCTTTATGTTTGAGTTGGAGAGTGGCACAGTTGGTGGTTTTCGTATGAATGGGATTGAATAACCTTGTAAAACGCGTAGGATGTGATCTGGTGCTCCTGCCTCCACCCACTGAGGAATAAAATGCGTCAGCTGGCCTCCCTCGAACGGATAGTCATGCTTTGCGTGATCGAGAATCCTTCTTCCTTGGGTCACTCCTTTTGGGGACGTTTCTAAAAGACTTCGATTCATTCCTGCGAGAGTTCGAGTAAGATGAAGACTTGTATTTTGATGATCGAGCTTGAGGGGTATTCTCTGATTGTGAGTTGGGTCGTGGTTTGGAACGAAAAGTAGAGCTCTTGAACTGAGTGTATTGCTTTTTCTGCGGAGGGAAGACCTTCTGGAAACCACCCTGTTGAGTCAGGAAATCCGAAAATTGTTTCTCATCAAACAGGTGTGACTCAGATGGGGGAATTCCTGCCAACTTGTCCACTTGGTAAGGTTCGGCAGGCTTGAAGGAATTCCTCCTCAATTCGATGACCTCAGCTCGCCTAGCACACGTGTAATGGAGTAACTCATCCGTGATTGTACTCACATCAGATTCTCCAAAGAACAGTTCCTTCACATCTGACATAACCTCTGGGTGTTTTGCTATCAGTGAATTGAGTGCCACCGCCAGTTTTTCTCTTTGCAGTAGAAGCCCATGTGTCAGGGTACCCGTCATTAAATCGGATTTAGCCAGGATCGATTGACTGAAGGATTTTGAGGCAATGGATGACAGCTCACTGTTAGTTTTTAGTGTACTAAAAACCGGAGATGCTCCTAGTTTCTTCTGGACCTCCATGTAACGAATTTTATTCCATGCTGTGGAGCCCAGTTTCTGACACTTGATCCCTTGAGCTCTGATCGATGGGGTTGGTTCAGGAATAAGAGGTTCCGACTCTTTCACCAATGGATCTAGGGATAGAGGTAGGTGAAGCTGTTGGGGTATCGCTCGATCCACATCATTGTCTGATTGAACAGAGTCCTCGGAATCGAGGCTGTCCTCCTCGGAGCCAAATCTCCTCTTAGACCGACCCAGTTGTTCCGGGATATCCTCAATTTTTTCACAAAGTAACTGAAACATAGAGTCCATACGATTCTCCAGATCCTCAAGGCAACGGCTTTTCTCTGAAGGTTCACCTGATGAAGCCCCCTGACCATCTTCTGTATTTTGAGCCCCTCGTTGCAGTTCTTTAGCTGCTACCACTCGTGAAGTTAACAAATGTCGTATCGGTTTCAATGAATGAATGAATACCTGTGCCTCATACACAGAACCTCGAATTTTGTTGACTAAAGTCGGAGGACTGGTAATCAACGCCCTACAGAAAGGCCAGTTTAACATAGCAAGTTTATGCTGGCTAAATGTATTCTCATCGAGGTTTGACGCTAGCTCTATATAAATGAAAATAAAATCTAAAAGATGGCAAGATTTTTCTAAAAATTATCTGTTCAAACCAGTGAAAATTACTAAAAAGTTCCTTATTAAAATAAGCCTACTCCTCTCAGATACAGACACATTTAGAAAAGATCCACCTCAGTGGAATGAAATAATCAGCTTGATGTGCACATGAATTCAGAGAAAATTCATCTCAATCTGAGGAGAATCCTCTCGTATATCCTGAGATAGTCTTCACGAACTAGTCTTCAAGTGAAGTTGATTCATCCTCATCTCACCACTTCATCACTGAAATAATCGATTACACTATAGTTTTTATTTATTTATTAACAATTATAGGCTATTCTTCCATCAAATCCATTGAAATTGGTGAGCTCCGCAGTCTGATTTGTGGTTCAACTGTGCCTAAAATTATTAACACTTTTTTGGATTTTCACATATTTACAATTCACATAATGATCTAATTTAATTCTATCACAAAACCTTAGTAACTCTCACGTTAACCTCATCAATTTATTTTTTTGTTGACAAATGTTTTTTATTTACTTCGAAATGTGACGTATTCTCTGATAACATGTGGTAATATTCAACAAAAGTCTCCATAATTTATATATTTCTACCAAAACAGTTGCATTTAGAGGATCATGTGGATACAAACAACGAAGAACCAGCGGAAGTCGACTTCTTCACTGAACACGAAACCTTCGAGGATGCAAGATCGACCCCAGTGACCCCAGCCCAGCCCAAAGTGGCTGCTCTCACCGCACAATCTCTCCTAAACGATAACCCACCTAAAAATAAGACAGAATCGAATACAGATTCGCTTACGAGTAACGTGGGGCCCTCTGTGAAGCTCTCAGACTCAGCCCCGAGTGTTCAGCCCGACAGGAAACCCACAATAGGGGGTAGGAAGGTGCAGGCCAGGCGTCCAGGACTTGGAAAGAAGACTGGAGGTCTTGGAGCTCAGCGAGTAACGACTAATTTCGATGAACTTGAGAAAAACATCGCCGACGCGAGTGTCCAGGAGCCCGGGGAGGTCCCGGAACGTGGGAAGCAGGAGCAAGCAGAGATTGATAGTCGTTTGGCTTATAAATATGAGCAGAATCTCACGGAGCAGGCGAAACTCGTCAAGGAGAGGACCAAAATGTTGGATCCGAAGAAAGCATCACAGGCTGAACGTCTTGGAATGGGAATCAATGCCAGGAGGTAAATAATTATTCAGATTTGAAGTAGTTATAAGACTCGATAACAGTATCGTCTGTTACTGACGGCTGTTCAAGTTTTGCTTCCGAATGGAAGCAATGAAATCGTTCTATTTTTAGATTCTCTAATTTTGTTTGGAAATGATGCAAAATGGCCTGAAACGTAAAAATACGAAGTTTGGCGAACCCGTATGTGTGTGGGGATGTCCACCTAGTGGTCAACTTTTAGAAAATTGAAGAATTAAAGGACTAAAATAATTCCAAAATCTGAAATTTTATCAGATTATAGGTTTAATGAGAACTAACTCTGTGCTCAATTTCAGCCCAATCGATCCAGTCGTTTTTGAGAAATCACCATCTGTTTCTATATCGTTTTTCGCAAATATCTCAAAAACTACTCAACCGATTTCAATTTTCTCTTTTTTTCAAAATATTCGTCTCGATGTCTTTTGTCTCAATCGATCAAAATATGCATATCCTTTCATACAAAGCTTCCGAGACCTTTCCATTTTTCGGTTTTTCATTCAAATCCTTGTCAACACTCTCACGTTGACAAAAATCGATATATTAACTTGAAATTTGGCATGAAGTTTCCTCGTTGCACAGGGAATGTTTCGTATTGAAAGATGAGCTGAATCGGATGATTTGTTTAGAAGATATCCAAGTTTGTATCTAAATTTATTTTCTTAAATAACTCAAAAACTACTCAACCGATTTCAATTTTTTTCAAAATATTCGTTTTGATGTCTTCTATCTTAATCAATCCAAATATGTATACCTGTCCATATAAAATTACCGAGATATTTCCATTTTTCCGTTTTTCTTTAATTTGATGTAATGTTTAATTTAATGTAATTTAGGAAAGTAATTTGGGAGTCTCCGAAGGGACAACTTTATCTGGTGGTTTTCTCCTAGCTTAGGTTTTCCTCAACCCCTTAGCAAATGCGATACAGGAGGTTGGAAAAAGTTTATAAGGCGCGGGGGGGAGGAGGCCCAACTTGCGAAAATAGGACGAAAGATCCGAGAGTGAAAAATACTTATTTATATGTGAAAAATATATACACATATACATAAATATATACATATATTTTCCATTATATTTATTCAAGTTTAGAAACTTAATAACGTAAAAATTGATCTTGAAAAGCCCAATAGGCCTTGAAAGGTCAGCATAGGCTTAGCGAAATAGATTGCTGGACGAAAATATTTATTTACCTACTTTTTAATAGAGGATTGACATGAAAATTGGTGGACAGTTTTTCGCAAAAGCTTACATTTTCATACTTGGAAAATGGGACCGATTTCGCTGTTAGATGCACCTCATTTCATAAACCTTACAAAGTGATTTTTTCATCGTGAAAATTGGTAAAAATCATTTCTCAAATTTTTTCTCAAATCCAACTATAATAAAAGCGGATATTAACTCTTTTTAGTGAATAAATGAATACATAATAATAAAAAATGAATACGCGATGATAAAAAATAATATGCATACTAGTGAATGAAAATTTAGGAAAAATCAATTTAAAAAATGATCTGTTTACAGTGGGGCCAGTCACTCAGCGTTCAGTGACATGAAGGTAATAACCCAGGAATCGTCAGGTCGCAAAATCACTGCCAGTGAATCCAGATACAACCCACGAGACGACGCAGAGATCGATACTCCAACAACTAGGGCAGTGCCGGACCTCGATGACTTCTTCTCAGCGATCAGTTCTCCCTATTCAGCGAAATCGAGTTACAAGGCGGGGAACGAGGATGTCGTAGTTATCTCGGAGCCAGAGATGCCGAGGAGGGCTCCGTTGAAGCTCAACGGTGGGCGTGGTGATGTTAAAACGACTTCCAGTGGTAATTCCAATGCTGATGGTGAGGCCCAGAGGAAATTCGGAGGGGCCAAGGCCATCAGCTCTGATCAGTACTTCCGGGATAGTAATAATGATGATTCGGTGAGTTTCTTAATTGTATTCATCATCGCTTGCATTGATTAATTAAAGTACTTCATGAAAATTCAATGAGTCAACTCAATTGTAGAATCTATCCAAGTTAAGAGTTGGACAAGGTACTGTTTGAAATGCTATCTGAAATATTCAGGACTAATTACTATTTTTGAGTTATTGAACATCACAAATCAAATAGTATTTCAATATACTGAGAAAAAAAAATATTTTTGCCAAATTTCATTTACTTGAGAGAAGCATTTATTTTTTCAAAATCGTTTTTTTGCAAGCGGGTCATTCCCAGGCGAGTCTGGTTAGGTTTCAGTTATGACAATCATGTTGCTCTAGAGGATGACTATGTTGCACATGACCTTAGATGAACTCCTCGAATGATTATTCATGTTTCCTGAATTTCGTATTTTTTAGAGGAAAGAATTTCGATTTTTCCTTTTTCATAAAGTTGATTGATAATGAATGATTGTTTTGATTGTTAACTTTTTATTCGCCTTGCGATTGGTTGATGGATCAATCAATGATTTCCATGACTACGAGGATGTTATTGTGCGTTACAGCGCTCACTTGAAGGTGGTCGCGCGCGGCAGCGCGCATGATTGCCTAGTAATTTTTTAATGTTGATAATTATTGAGGGAGTTCACTCAAGGTCATAATGAACATGATCATCTTCTAGAGCAATATAATCGTCATAATTGAAATCCAATGAGGATTGCCTGAGAACGACTCGACTGGAGAAATGCAGTATTGAAAAAATAAATACTTCTCTCAAGTAAATGGATATTTGGCAAAAATAATTTTTTTTCTCAATGTAGCTAGAATCAAAGAAGTACTAATTGAAATAATTTCTATTTTAAACTGACGAACTATGGCAAATATGGAATAGTACTTAAATAATTCCATCAAGGAAAATACTACTTGAAATAATTCCTCGAATTTTCTTGAATTTTATTGTTCGAAATATGTGTCTTTAGCCAGAAATAATTAGAAGAGAAACAGCATGAGAACTATCATCGAAGGGAATAAGAAGGGGAAATAGTTTCAATCTTATTTATGAAAAATGATTACTTCATAGGAAAAGAAAGCAACCATTAATTTTTCATTCTGTTTCAAGCATCAAATATCTCATTTATATCAAGTCCAGAAAGACAAATAATATTTGATCGATGGGAATAGTCAACTCGAAATATCAATTTCAAATGATATTTATATTTGATTTTCCTGAAATAGTGCCCACCTCTGTCTAAATCTAGTGAAGGCAGCTAAATTTTCGTAAGGACTCTTTTGCAGTTATCATTTTCCACAACAAAAAATGTCCTGCCAAATAATTTTACCATTTCTCTCTGATTAAATAACACTAACAATGATAAATGGAATAAACAAGAAAAGAATAAAAACAAATGGAGATGAGTAAAAAAAAATATCTCTAAAATGTATCGAATGTGCGGAGTACACAACTAATTTTCTAAAGCCACAAAATCTTCTCATTTCTTCATTTTCAAATAAGTAAATGATTTATGATAACATCAATATGACTATATGAACTAAGTGTTAATTGAATTTATGTATTAACCTACTGTTAATATCATTGAATACTGATGCTTCCAATTTTGAATTATCCACTCGAAGATATTAATTAGACACTAATTATCTAGTTACATGAATTATTAATTCATGTTGCTCGATAAATCACAACAAATTGTGAAATTATGAATTTTTTATTCATGTATCTATGTATTAAAAGTAATAAATAAATCCATGAATTAATGAGTTACGTGAATTAATTACTTCACGGATTTATTTATTAATTTTAATGAATCGTCTCTCCATTTCTAGTGGGAACGTAAGAGTAATCTACGACGATTCGAGGGTCAATCATCAATATCGTCGGCTGATTACTTCGGCACAGGTACCACATCGCCAACAGCATCATCACTATCAATGAGCAATATAACGACACGCACCCAATCAGTGGACCTCGAGGATGTACGTGAGAGTGTACGCCAAGGGGTAAATAAAGTTGCTGGGAGATTAAGTTCCCTGGCAAATGCAGCAGTTTCGTCAATTCAAGATCGTTATGGGCTTTAACAGTAATAATACTTTAATATCATCGAATTAATTGCTCCTTCATCTTAAATACAGAATGAATGCCCCCAATGGTACCTTGGACGAATGAAGCGTCCATTGTTCAACGGTTTTCCATATTTTTTTTCTCTTTTTAGACATCAAGTTGTGAGAACAAACTTAAGGACAGTGTATCGTTGAAAATCTTGTATTCTATCAATTGTTAATTGAATACACATTATTATTATATACAAGTTGTTAAGATTACTCTTCTGTTGCGGGAGTGAACCCCTCAGTGATGTAGAAAATTTCGTACACGATCATTTTGCATTTAATGGGAGGAATAGTTATTTTTTTGTCGGATCAGGCCAGAGATTACTCAGGATCTTCTCGACCAATCTTTCACCTGTTGAATTCTTCTGTTCGCTTTTATCACTATTAGCACTCTCTTCTTCCTCACTGTTCTCTTCATTCTCTTCTAATTTATCGATATTATCGTTCTCTGCGTCTGATGAACTGCCAGAGAGGTGATTTCTATTTCTCAATCTGAAAGGATAAAATTGATTGAGATCTAACTCTTCTTTTTATATAGTTATTATCATTTTTTTTTTCATCTGCAATCGTATTCATCTTGAAAGCTAATGATTTAAGGGAAAATATCAAATCACGTTTATTTTTTTATAAAGTCACTTGTAATGCGGATGATTTGATATTTAAAGAAATTAATTTACTGAAGTTATTCTCTCTTTATATCATTCAGGATGAAGAGAGTGAATTGTTTATTCATCTTAAAGACGAGTGATTTCAGATAAAAATGTTAAAATTGTTGAGAACATCAAAATGCCTGATTATGTTTTTTTTTCTTTTGACATTCGTAATCATTGACAGATGTATTTTTTCAACTAAAATAACTAAATACATATAATTGATAAACTATCAATTGTGGTTCTGGATTTATATAGAAATCTCAACAAAAATACTTTTCTGAAGCTGAAGAAATTTCCAGAGAAAAATCTCTGCAAACCTTTTATTTATCTAGAAAGCCAGTGATTTTTAGCACAGAATGTCTTTCAACATTTTTCTTAAACAACTTGTTGTGAAGGTAATTTGATTTTCCACACCTCGAATTAATCACTATCTTTCTTTTTTATTTGGAAAATATGAAATGGTAATCGTTTATTCATCACAAAAAAAATTATTTAAAAAAACTATCAATAGTCCTTGGTTGTAACCAAGAAAATTCTTGAAAAAAAACGTCTTGGCATTTTGGTCAAAAAATTGGCTTGTTTTGTTCTGTTCTGATTTTCACTTTCCATTTTGTTGGATCTCTATTCGTAGAAAATGAACCGATAATTGTTCATTTATCTGAAAAAATGAGTAATTTTAGGAGGTAATGTCACAACACCGTTTTGTAACTGAGAAAATTCTAAAAAAAAAACTCGTCTTTTGGAATTTTCCCCCGAAATCACCCATTGAGACATGTTCATCATTCAACATGACGTGAAAAATTGACTTTTTTATTCTCTGCTGGTCTGTACAGTTACGTTATTCCTCCAGTGACTTGGCTTTCTTCCTCACTCACTGATTCTTTGGACGATCTGCACTTGTTCTCGGGACACGTTGGCACTGTAGCTCCAGGTGTAACGACGGTTTCTCATGGAGGAGGCATACCAAAACTATTGTCATATTGTCACAGCCAGTGCCCATCAGTGCATCTGGAGCTAGACACCGATTTATAAGCTCTTCGCATATCTCTTCAGGGTAAACAGCTTCTGCATCTGGCAGGAGGTCTGGATCATTTTGTCTAGCAGTTGCTATGGATTCTCTCAGGAATTCGACGACTTCTTCACTGCTCATCACATCCCATATCCCATCACAGGCGAGGATTACGAACTCCCAGTCATCGGTTATTTCGAATTTCTGAACTTCAGGAAAAGCTACAGAATGAAATAAAAAAAGAAAATAAATTGATTATTCAATCATCGAATTGATTGATCGATGGAATAATTTCCGGATTCGTTGATTGAATGTCAATCAATTGAACAAATGACCGATTAATTTGAAGAAAATTTTCTTTTTAAGGCTGGATGGTTTATCTTTCGACCGTTACCTCGAGTGTTTTCCATCTTCATAATCTAAAATATATCACAATTTCCACGGAATTTGACGTCACGTAGGTGTCCTTAAAGATTATGATTGCACAACCAAAAAAAGTAGAAAAGAAACTGAACATTTTCAAGGAGCATTTTTAATAAAGATTAGGAAATGAGTCCGACAGAGAGGATATTGTTAATGGATAATTTATCATGGCAACTAACGATCTGATGGCATTGGCTACTGAGACAAATGGCGATTGAACAGCTATTAGATACTGTAAATTATTAATTTGCAATTCCCTCCCTATTGGGTTTCTTTCCTCCCTATTTGGGTTTATTTACTAGGGGTATACGCCTCCTGCTCGCTCCGCTCGCCAACCCCCATGTGACTTACATATGACCCTCATATGACCCCCATATAGCCCCATATAATCCCCATGACCCTTGTTTTGACCCACATGACCCGTAATCTGACCCTCGTGACCCTTATTCTGACCCTCATTATAACTCTCGTGACCCTTATTTTCACCTTTATAACCCTTAGTTCCTTATCCTCAATTTTGGGGCCTCAATTTCGAGTACCAAATTTCCATCACCAGAAGTCATTTCTAACCCTTATTTTGACCCCCATGACCCTTATTTGGACACTTATTCTGACCATTGTGACCCTTAATCTGACCCCCCTGACCCCCATTATAACCCTCGTGACCTTTACTTTGACCCTTGTGACCCTTAGTTTCTGACCCCCATGATCTTTATTTGTGATCCTCAACCTGACCCTTGTGAGCTTTATTTGGATCCTTGATCTGATCCTTATTATCATCCTCGTGACCCTTATTTTGACCTTGGTGACCTTTAGTTTCTGACCCTTGGCTTTTAACCCCCATGACCTTTATCTGGACCCTTACACTGACCCTTGTGACCCTTATTTGGACTCTTAATCCGTCCCTTGTGATCCCTATTTGGACTGTTAATCTGACCACTGTGACCCTTAATCTTACTTATATGACCTGTAATCTGACCCTTGTGACCTTTATTGTAACCCTGGTGACGTTTAGTTTCTGACCTTTGGTTTTTGACTGCCATGACCTTGATGTGGACGCTTACTCTGACCCTTGTGCCCCTTAACCTGAACCTTGTCACCCTTAATCTGACCCATATGACACATAATCTAACCCTTTTGACCCTTGTTGTGATCCTTATTCTGACCCTTGTGACCCTTCATTTTAGAGTCTTAATTTTGAGTACCAAATCTTCATCACCAGAAGTCGATTTGGATTTTTATGATATAGAGAGATTATTATTCAAAAACGCTCTTTTCAACGTTTTTTTGATTGTACAATCGTAATTTTCGAAGACTCCAGGACTGTGGAAAACTAAATGGCAATTGAAGAACATTTCACATTATGAAAATAAAAAACCACCAAGATCACGTTCGAAAGATAATACACGCGGGCCTTAATTCACCTGTTACAATTTGTTCCTCAGCAGATTTATGATTGTTCCACTTGAATTTGAAATCCCCAAGAGCTCTGGAGAGTGCCAGGTGTCCATTAACACGATTGAACTCAACCCATCCACCAGCGGCTTCGATTCTCTTCCTCTCGTCCTCGAGGAAGGGCTTGTGATCACGACTCAAGGACACTGCTTCTCCGTGGACACTCGCCACTGCTCGACTGTCCCCTGCATTTGCCTGAAATTCCACAGTATTTTCTTTATTTTGGACGTTGAGGGAAAAAGGCAAGAGTACTTTATCGAATGTAGAGCACTTACACAATATAATATGTTATCTTTGATCAATACTGCGATGACGGTGGTCCCTGCCCTGTCAGCCCTCAACGCAGCGTCTGCCTGCATGGCTTTATCCAACTCGAGGAATCCCTGTTCCATTGCCTCGACGATTCTCCCTTCCTTGTACTCAGGTGTCCTCGTTATGTATTCGTGAAGATGCTTTCCAGCGTGCAGAGACATCGTAGCTCCTGAGGAAAATTCATTAGCGACTCGGTACTCCACGTCTCGCTAATTATGAAAGTGATGAGGGAATTGAGCGGAAAATATTGGAATAACTTTCTTACAGGAAATTTTCTCAACTTTATACTAGGTCTTTGGGGTGTTCTCCTGGAATGAGTCATCACCAACATAATGTCATATGAAATAAATGCAAAATTTATCGCAAAGTCACTGAATTCTAGAATTTCTTATGGAATAATTTTATTTCGAAACTGCTGGGTTTGGAGAACAATATTTAAGAATTTTTTTTTCGTGGGCCGCGAAATCCTTTACAGAAATCGCATTCTAAAATTTTTCAGAGACCACATCGAGATAGTGCGATTTGTTAACGGAAAGCTATTGAATTTTTCGGTAAAGGGTTTCATCCAAAAATTCCATTGAAACCACTAGATTCAGCAAGAAAATATTAAATAATTTTTCTTTAACCCATGAAATTTTGTACCAGAGAGGTGTTCCGACATTTCCTTCTAAAACAGAGATAGCCATATCCATAAATTATAATCACTGTGAAAGTATCATGTAAACAATTAGTTAATCTCACTCTTAAATTTTAATTATTGACGGAATCATCAATTTAAATCGTCAAATTTCGAATTATTCAATAATCAGTAATTGAGTTAGGAAGATTGACGATTATTTGCATAATCGGAAATCCCTTATAGGAAATTTAGCATTATCTACTTAATAGAAAATTTATAGTTCCATATTTTAAAATATTTAATTCATCATCAATTGGAAATTTAGATTATCAAATGTATTACTATTTTTTAATTTCGAGTAGTATATTTAAACCCTAATCAATGTAAGTCGGAAAGTGTTTTAATATTCAAGAATCGGAAGATTGATGGTCATTCCTGTTCTAAAACCATTCATCATTAAGATAATAAATGGTATAGTGCTTGCCTCTCCAATAGTTAGAGGATATAACCAAAACGATCAGAAGAAAAAGGATTAAGGTAATTACACGTTTAACAGAAAAAAAATCTACTGAATGTCGTCATGCAGTAGTTGAGTTGAAGAATTTCATATTGATTATTTCTATTTTAAAAGTATTTCTATTTCTGAGAGTCACAAAATCCTTTACACGAATGTTTTCTTACATGTCCTGCTGAAACCATTTGTTATCGGAACAATCTCATATGTATAATTAAAATACTACAGATTTTTGTCAGTCAAGTGTGAGAATTCGAAGATATCTTTGAAGTTATCAGGTTCAGGGAAAGCCATAAAATAGTGGATTTCGTTATAAGGCTGAAAAAACTTTTCTAGCTCATATGATTTTTTAGGCCTTATGTCGAAATACATTTTTTTGTCATAAGGGCCATAGGAAACTCTATCTTACGGTCAGAATGATAGAAATTCTCTTTCGCAGGTCCCAAAATTCCTTTTAGAAGAAAAAGAAAAGAAGTTGTTTAGCATCTACTCCTAAAACTATTCATTTCCAAAATACCTTCCAATTAGAGAAAGATATCATCGAATTTCTTTACAAAAAAAACTGAAGTCCCAAAATTACTTAATTACAAACTGCTAATTTTAGAGAAAAAAAAAGATAAAAACGCCTACGAAAAATCACTCTCTTGAAATTTTCCCTTAAAGTTCTTCCCTCTGAAAGTATTCGTTACAACATGATAGCCAACAAACATGAGATTTCTCTTTAATACCAATTTTACCCCATTTCCCCATCGCTTCCTCGTTAAAAATATCCAAGTACTTTGTCCAGTTTTTATTGACATTCTATTTGTACATTTATAGTAGAACATCAGAGTTTTCATTGGAGCCCTATTCAACAAAAATTTTTGGATATTGCAATATTCTTTTATAAAAACTTTGGAGCTCCAAATTTCATTCTTCATTTCAAACCGCTGGGAAACATTTAAAAAATCATAAAATAACAATCAGAAACTTTCCTGTGGAAGGGAGATTCATAAAATACTTGAAAAAATGGCACCTTTTAAAGATTAACACCGTTTTTCATGAATCATTCATAAACAATTAATTTTCTGTTCCAAAAGCACTTCTTTGAAATAAAAACGAATTTTTTCATGTTTAAAATTTTACCAGAAGTAGATTCCACACCAAAAAGGGAGGATTCCAAAAGTTTAAACAATCCCAATTATAAAAAGAAAATTTTTTAAATTACATTTGCTTGCAATAGGTAACTTAATTAAACTTTTAAGAAATTAATTTCAAATTTTCTCACGTGAGTAATTGCCATATTTGACAATGAAAAATGTTAAAAATTTATACTGCGGTCTGCATTGAACAGTAAAAGGTACCCGGATTTCCTTAACTTATTAAAAAAGAAGGAATAACGATTCAATACCTCCATGTCCATCATAAACCGCGAAAAATGAAGCCTCAGGATCATCGGGCAGTGCTAGTATGTGAACATGACAGTCTTCCATTTTGATCCTCCATCCCTGCATGCAGGAGCTCCCAACGAGGAAATTCGAGTCCCTACAGCAGGCTGAGGTTTTCGTGGTCACCGGTTCACTCAGTGTCTGCCCCATCTTCCTCACAATCTTCCTGGAATAATCGTCAATCTCATCAGTCCCCACTTTCCTCTCCAAAATCAACAAATCAAGGTGAGTGGGTTGAAATGAAGCCTTTCAACTTCTCTCAACATTTTCAGAAACAAATTATTAATCAATTCAGACTTTTCACGAAGACCAAGATGTGGCTTTTCAGGGGAAAAACATTTGATTTCATCAACACCCCAATGTTTCGAGTTAGTAACATTTTTTTTAAAGCGAAAAAATTTGCTCTATTGGATTTCCATTGAAAATTCAATAAGTTTTTGGCCGATTCTATCCAGAAATTTTGAAGCTTTTCCGCGCGTTTTTTTCAATAGAAATATTCAGTGGTAAATATTTTGTACCAAAAAATCGATAAATTTTGAACTTTCTCCAAAAATTATTCTATGAATATCTTTTCTATAGAAGTCTCGGGTTGAATTTTCTAAGTTTTTTTGCTTAAAGGGAGGTTATCCCGCACGATTAAAATGTTAAAAATAGTCGAGGGCCTCCAATTTTTGAGCTACAGAGGTTTCTTTTTTTTCAAATTTTTTGAAAAAATGTGTACAATAACAATGACGAATTAGTTTTTTAAAATTCGACTCCTACACAGTTAATTTCGTTTTGTTTAACATAAAAATTTGCGCCATTCATGTACAATCCTCTCCATTGAAAAATAGGTGAAACATTTTTGGTCAGCAATCTATTTCGCCAAGCATCTGCTACACTTAAGAATATTTTAAGTTTATCTCAGCTTATATCAATAAAAAATACTAATTCACATATAATATGAATATATATAATACAAATATAAAAATATACAATATAAAATGTATAAAATCATAATAATGTTATTAATAATAATAAAATTTATATATAAATAAGTATTTTTTATTCATAAACTAAAATAAACTTGAAATATTCCTATAGTCTACTATAGACTTGACGAAATAGATTGCCGACCGAAAATATTTCACCCATTTTTTAATAGAGGATTGACATGATAATTGGTGGACAGTTCTTCGCAAAAGCTTACATTTTCATACTTGGCAAATACTTGTACCTGATTTCATAAGCAACGTGAATTTTTCGTCGTAAACGTTTTTTAAATATCATTTTCTCAAATCCGAACATAGTAAAAGCAAACATTAACTCCTCTTCAATGAATAAATAAATATATGATGATAAAAAAAATATGCAGAAATGAGTAGCCATAAACATGCGCGCGCCCCCGTTGCTATTAGCCAAAAAAATTATCCTTAAAATGTTTAAAATATATTTTCGATTCTTTCAGAAACATTTTTTGGGCTATTTTACATGAATAGTGCATTTTTCTAATTAAAAACAAAACGAAATTAGCTATGTAGGAGATGAATTTTTTAAAAACTCATAATTTTTATTGCAGACTTTTTTTTAATTGTGAAAAAAAACTTCTGTAGCTCAAAAATTGGAGGTTCTGGCCTATTCTTAACATTTCAAAATTAATAACTAATTATTAATTTTTAAACATATATAATCGATTTTCAATGCGTGCGTAATCTCATTCTAATCCCCCGCGATTTTTGAAAATCATAGTAGTCTCCTCTTAAATTTTTTAATGAGAAAAGGAGTAAAATGCAACTAAAAAGGAAATTAGCGATGAAGAATTTCTCTAGAAAATGCCTCATTAGAATAATTTCTATAGAAAGTTCAAAACCTAACGATTTCCATAAAATATTTTCTATTATTAATATTATTTATTGCCTTTCGTACATGAATTTATTTTTTGTTCTCAACTTTCATACATCTATAAACATATTTCGAGAAAAACCGGGAACAGTGAAGTTGACAAGCTCAGCTTAAAAATCAGGGATACTCATTGTAATTCATTTTGAAAGAAAAGGAAACTGAAATTTCCATAAATTGACTGCCTTAAATGAAAAAATTTCACGTTGAAGAATTTCTATAGAAAATTCTTCAATAGAATAATTTCTATAGAAGTGTCAAAACCTAAAGATTTCTATAAAATATTTTGCTTTTATCAACATTATTTATCGCCTTTCGTACATGAATTTATTTTTTGTCCTCAACTTTCATACACCTCTACACATATTTCAAGAAAAACTAGACCCGAACACTGAAGTTGACAAGTTCAACTTGAAAATACTCATTGAAATTCAGTTTGAAAAAAAGAAAACGGCAATAGCCACAAATTGCGTCTCAGTTGATTCGATTGCCTCAAATTGAATTTAATCACTGAATGAACAACATGAGAACAAGAGATGAAAAATAAGATCTATTAAGTAAAACTGGCAGAAAAGCTGTGGAAAGTTTCGATAGAATCAGCGAAAAACATTGAAATTTTCAATAGAATTTCGCTACAATTTTCAAGCCAATGCCCTCGATTTTCCTGGGAAATTTTTGATCGTACATGTCTCCCCTCAACATCTCAACGAAAAACGAAAAGGAAGGATAAATAATGGATGGGAGGACCTGGGTTTCCATTTGGACGCACAATTCTTCAATTCTCTCCTCCGAAAGCAGAACAGTCTTCTAATCACCCTCGGCATATCTCAAAACCTCAAAATGATCACGTCTTACCTGTCATCGATGAACAGAACAACGTGAAAGTTCTCCAAACGTTGGAAAACTCCCAGCAGGTTAAATGGAAAATTATCACGTCTATTTTTAACTCACTTTCCTCCAATTATTTTTATTTTCCAATGCTATGGACAAGTTTCACACAGGTTATGTCCCACAAGACTTTTACAAAATTCAGCCGTAGATAAATTATTAAATTTTCAGCAATGAGTTTGAATTGTTTATGATTTATTGGAGCAACTGGAGACGATTTTATCGGATGATTTATATTATTTCACATTGATGATTCTATGTTTACTCAGTCCCAAACGTGTGATGTGTATTTTGTTTTGTTCTGTTGAATTTCTCACTAAATTTCAAAGGTGATTTAAATAGCTTACTTCAGTGTACTCATGGAGTGGGCAGGGTAGTGGCCCGAACAGCTGATCGCTTGACCTACTTCGCGGAAATTTAAATGCCAGAGTGACTTCAACTCAACAACGATACAGCAATTAGTGGAGAGAAATAATCAATACATGATTTTATTTTTAACAATGTTTTATTTCATCATGATTAATTAAAAATTATTTGCGTCATTGGAGCGGCATTGTGTCGTGGGAGGGCGGGGCAAAATGGACACTTGGGAGTTTTTCCTCGAATGTTAAGGTGTTTCGTATACGGAAAAGATAAATAATGACATTCATCTGGAATTCATATAGAATGTTTGAAATCACAATTCAATTATCTATGAATTTTCCTAGATTTTTTTTCAGATTTCCTTTTTAAGTTATTGATGATTGAAGTCGCTTCTTATTTCTCTGATCTGAGCTGATAATATAGTTTATTAATGTTATAATATTAATATAGTTCCGTGCTAAACAGAAAAGTCTCTATAACTTGAACACGTTAATAACGTGAAAAGGAAAGCTGAAAAAATTCTAGGAAAATTCATAGAAAATTCAATTGTGATTATAAACATTCTACATGAAATAGCGAACGGGCGCGAAGCGCCCGTCGCTGGATTAATTTATGCTATGTTACTGTATTTTATTTTCTTTCCATTTCCATCTTCACAATTAGACTAATTTAATTTCATTCATTCTTGTTATTATAAATATTTTTGTTCCTCAATTCACAAGTTACAACATTGAATGAAGAGAAATTCCCCATAAATCACGTGAGAATACAGATCGACAAACAATTTCCGATAATCATACCTAAAATTTTTCATTTCTTTCTTTTTCTTTAAATTAATTAGTATCAATGATCTGAAAATGTGGACGAATATGAACATTTTACATCCCTTTGATCTCATTTCAATGGAACCGAAGAAGGAAATTGCAAAGAGAGATCCATCATGATCAATCAGTATCAATAAAATGGAAAAATCTATTTTTCTGTCTTTTCGAAATTTTTCAAATTGTTTTTTTCTTCTTAAAAAATGAAGGGAGATTAACATTTTTTATTTCTGTGATCGTATTCCGTTCACAGAAACAGGAAATACGGAAAATGTGAGGAAGGAAAATCAGAAATAAATTTTAAAAATCGATTTTTCAATCTTGAAAATTTCAAAACTTTTTTTTTAATAATGAAGAAAAACCAATGTATTTTCTTTCTATTATCTCATTCTGATGGAAGAAAGTGAAAAGAGGAAGAGAAACGGGATCAACACGAAAACAGAATTTTATAATTTTTCAATGTCTAGGGAAAATTTTAAAATTTATATATTTTCTTGAATAATGAACCAATACCCATAAATTCAATTCCCATCCTCACATTTTCACAGAATACATTTAAGAAATTGCAAAGAATTCAAATCGGCGATGAAAAATTTTATCGGATTATTATTACGTAATAATTCTAGATGAATGTTATTATTTACCTTTTTTGCACGAAACACCTTAATAACTCATTAAATATTTCATGGAAAGGGATTTTTTCAAATCTAGGCTGGGTTCAATTGATTAATTTTTTTCGGAGGTACGAATATTTCGGACAGCAAAGCGTCTTTATGCTCCGCTTTCTTCGGATTTAATTGATCATTCATTCTCGTGTGAACAACAGTTTTTTTCTGGATGCATTTGAAAAGTTGGGTAACGATCACAATTTTCCAAAATCGCATTTTACTTTTTTATTTTGCGAGTGAAATTGGGCAGGTCATTTTGAATTATTTTGTATTTATGTCTAGAGCTGTTCGATTTTTTTCATTTTTTATGCCTCCGAGTTGATAAAGGTAGGATATTTCTCCAAATAATGATAAAAATCTAGATCTATGAATTTATATCATTCATCCTGATGGAATGGGGTGAAATAAAAAGAAAGGAAATTGAATGACAGAGGTAAAAAAATAGAAAAAAGATAGCAAAAAATTATTATTACCTTTTACGACTCGGGTTCAATTTACTTCGCAGGAAATTGTAGAGGAATCTGATTGAATTTTCAGTTGCATTCCGTTCTGTTCTCCTTGTTCAATTTTTAATATTTTTTTACCACAATTTTGTAAGAATTATTTAAGCCATATCGAAGAACACAACCCGAAAGACACGATCTTGTTAATATTGCTCAAGATTTCCGATTATCCAGGCACCAATTTTTTTGCGATTGTATTGATATAATTAATGATTTATTTTCACTTCGAAAATTATTTGTTTGAATTCTCCAAAATCTTGACCAATGACGATAGCTTGTTGGTAAATTATCATGCCATTCTCATTTCTTGAAAATCAAATCTATTAATAACAAATACTAATTGCAAGAAGTGTCTACAATCTATAAATTACTCAAATTCGATTCTAATTTTTACTGATTTTTGGGCCAATTTATTTCCTTCTCCTTCATTTCTTATCTAATTACTATCTTTAGATGACAAACAAAATTATGGATATCATGTTTTCTGGGTGAATTAATTTGTGGATTCTCCTTACCTTCCAAGTCTTGGGATTATTTTTGTTTCGCTGGGGATTGCAGGGCTCTTCGAGAGGACCTCAAAAATAATTTCGTACTCACCAATTTTTTATTTTTATCAAAGTTTTATTTCATCATGACTGATTAAGAATTATTTACGTAATCAAAGAACACATAGTATCGATCCAATTGCTCATTCACTCGGTATTCAATTCATTCGTTATCTCTAATTATCTTCTAGGTCTTACAGCTACTGTTGTTTCGCAGGGAACAGCAGGAATTTTTGAGTTTTGTGAAATTGAATTTCGTTTTGTTCTGACTTCGGAGTTACTCCAAAATAAGTTGAGCTTTTCTTCCGTTGATCTCTGTAGACAATCCATGACGGAGTGCCAGCTCTCTTTTAACACTAGCGAACAGTATATCTGTCAGTAGAAATATTTGAGCGATGGCGAATGCTAGAGTGACACCGAAATAAAAATTGGCATTTGCTGATCTCGAGTAGATCCACTGGTGCCAGACTGTTGGAGCAAATACTGTGCAGAAGAGCATGAAACAGCCGACGAGGAAGCCTTGCTGCATGTCTACAACATCCAAAGAACACTTGATGTAATTAATACAGTGCATTAAGTCGGTGATGAAGAGAAGAGTTGCAACAGGATAAGTCAATTTTACTTGAAATTGTCGAACTTGAGTTCGATCTCAAGTGCAGGGATAACTATATCTATCAATTATAATCACTGTTAAATTGAAAAGTAGTCCATTAGTTAATATCACTTTTAAATTTTAATTATTGAAGTAATTATCAATTTAAATCTTCAAATTTTGAATTATACATTAATCAGTAATTGAGGTAGGAAGATAAACGATTATTTGGATAATCGGAAATCCCTTATAAGAAATTAAGTATTATCAACTTAAGGCCCGGATGGATTATCTATCGAACATTATCTCGATTGTTTTTCCATCTTCATTATGTAAAATATATCACAATTTCCATTGGATTTTACATCGCGTAGGAATCCCTAAAAATTATGATTCCACAACAAAAAAAAATAGAAAAAAACTGAACATTTTCAAAGAGTGTTTTTAATATAGATTAACAAATAAGTTCGATAGAGAAAAACGTAACGGATAGGAAATCGTGAATTTGGAAAATGTATCTGATTTACGGTGACAAATGGCGGCTAATATCATGCGGGGGGAAGACTGATTTCGTAAATCTTTTCCTACACTGCACAGAGACATTTATTTCGGAAAAGGCTTTTTGAAAAAAGTTGTTATATTTCGGAGAATTTTTTAATCACACTCTTATCACATAAAAATGGCAGATGACTACATACCACAGTTTTGAAAATTGAGCTACCTAGCTGTCACTTCCCATGAGGAGGTAGTGTTTTGTTATCCATGGAAAATGACAGCTAATAGATAATTTGCCACAGCGAATCAGATATTTGTAATTTCCACTTTTTTCAACTCATTCTGAATGTCAATTAAAAACCTCTTTGAAAAAGTTCAGAATTTTTGCTATTTTTTTTTTCTTATTCTGTCATAATTTTTGGGAATTCCTACATGATGTACCACTCAATTAACAATTTTGGATTACGAAAGATTAAAAAAAAATCCCGATAATATTCGAAAGATAGTACACCCGGGCCTTAAACTGAAAATGCATCGAGTTGAAAGCGCAAAAAAGATTCAACTACGTAACTTTTCTAAATCGAATTCTATCTACAACTGAATGTGCGTAAAGAATCGTCTCTTTTGTGATTTCACTCTAAAAACAATAATAATGAAAGAGTCTTCGAAAATGTCTTACGTTTGAACAAATGTTGCCACAGAGGCAGCAAAGCCATGTAGAATCCAACGTCTCCAATGCAGGGATACGACTTGAAGATCGCTTCAATAGCTAAATAAGCGAATGCAAGGAGCATGGGATCCTTCCTGAGCCTCAGAGCGAGAGGAACAATGTACAAAATGCCGACATTTATTTGGAACGAGGCGATGAAGAGCCACCTGAAATGTTCGAACATCTCCGTAAAGAAGTACCAGTACAATCCGATGTTGGGTCGGAGATCAGGAACTGTCAGGATGAAGCCCATGGTATTTCCAATGAAGTTCCAGTTCCCCATGATGAGGAACGACAGGTAAAAGAGGCTTCCAATGAAGAATGAGAACAAGAGGACCATCTGCGTTATTGGGAGGAGCCTCTTGCCCTCGGGGAGGTCCTTGGCGATGTAGATCGTCGCTGGGACCATGAGGGCCATGGGGTATAGCCCCTGGAGGGTGACCAGGGCTATCAGGAAGCAACTGCCCACTTTCGACTTCTTTATCATTGAGAGCAACGTCGCTGAGAAGAGCAGGTTCGTAAATACTGTTGTGGTAAGCCCCACGCAGTTCAGGACGATGAAGGGATTGAAGAGGTAGGCCGCTGGCACGTACAGTACTGATGTTCTCGCGATCTTCGAGATAGGGGTGTAGCAAATCTCAGCGTCCTTCGATTCTGTCCTTGAGTTTTCTCTCTCGTGTTTCGCCTGAGAATGTCAATTCATTGTCAGTTTATACGAACGTAGAAAGAAATGAAAAATTGAAATAAACAAGTGGAAAATTGCTCTTGTATTCTATATAGTAGAGTTATTTTTGCTAATAAATTTGCAATATGCTTCCGAACGATTATTTTGTATATTATTTCCTTCCATCGTGTACAAGTCATTGTTTATTTTTCCATTTTTTTAAATTGAATGAGATTTCCTTTTACCTAAGGTTGTCAGATTGTCAACTTAGTTGAATGTTATCAGTATCATTATTCTTATTATTCTTTTTCATCTACACAACCGACTGTCTTTTTTACAATTCTATCTCTCCCCTCAGCTCTTCGATAAGAAAAATTTTATTTACGCGTACTTGAATGAATTTAAAACTTCACATTTGAAGAAACCACCAGAAAGCTCACTTTCAGACAAATTCATGAAAAATTCAAAATTTTCAACAATCATGATAAAAATCAAATCAACCAATATAGCTATCGTCATCATGTTTTAAATTCGACTTGATGCCATTAAAACAAACATTTTAAACTATAATTGAATTAATTGAAGTCATCATTCAATCGATTCAGAACATTTTTTTAGCTATCGTGGGACAACCAATTTTCGAAAAAAGTCAAAAACTAAAAAAAACTAATCGATAAATTAAATTTTAATGAATGGCAATCGATCGGACTAACAATACCTATATTTAAAAAAAAGATTCCATCAATTCATAAGCGAACAATTCAAAAAAAATGTTGTCACACACATAGGTACGGACACGGTCTAAAACTTGCATCTTCGAACTTTTTGGATCTCAATGGGTCGGCATAACACAAAAAATCCGAAACTTAAATTCGAACGAGGTTGTCTCTAGTTAAGGGGAGACTACTATGAGTTTTAAAAGCCGCCCGCTATTGGAATGAGATTAGTCATACATTGAAGATCGATTATATATATGTCTAAAAATGAATAATTAGTGCAAAAAAATTAATTGTTCATTGTTCGCTTGCCCCGCAAACGCTTCAAATGTTCAAAAAGTCCTTGGCCTCCAATTTTTGACCTATAGAGATTTTTTTTCCATTTAAAATTTTTGAAAAAATGTGTGCAATAACAATGACGAATTAGTTATATGAAATTCGACTCCTACATAGCTAATTTCGATTTTTTTAATAAAAAATTTCACCACTGATGTAAGATAGCCCAAGAATGTTTCTGAAAGAATCGAGAATATATTTTAAATATTTTAATGATAATTTTTCTGCCTATTTTATATTAAACATTTATTTTATATTAAACAAAACGAAATTAGCTGTGTAGGAGTCGAATTAAAAAAAACTGAAACAAAAAACAAAAATATATTTTTTCAAAAATGTTGAATGAATACAAAATCTCTGTAGCTGAAAAATTGGAGGCTTCGGACGACTTTTAACACTTTAAGCGTCTGCGGGGCAAACGAACAATGAAAAATGAACAATTAATTTTTTTGCACAAATTATTCATTTTTAGACGTGTACACAATCGACCTTCAATGCATGAGAAATCTCAATAGCCCACGACTTTAAAATCTCATAGTAGGATGAACAGGCCAATTGCTGGACGGTTACGGGAAATTCGAGTTTCGTGGTAGGATCTAAAATAGAAGAATCACCTGAATGGGGATATGATGGCTTCCATACATTCAAGAATGTTTTAGTTAGCAGAAAAGTTATTCGAAGTGAAAGTAATAAAACAAAGAATAATTAAATTAATAAATAGTTGAATGCAGCCGAAACCCCTAATTTCTGGATGACTGGGCCATATTTTTTTTCATTTATTAAATGTCGATCAATACAAAAAATTGATCACATGATTATACACGAGTAATATTATTGAAAGGTGAATTAATCAGTAGAATTTTCATTTTATTTACGGAATAGTCAATGCAAATTACAATCGTCCGGAAATTGATCTGTTTACCCTAGTCTCCCCTCACACGCATGAAAAAATTTAATAGAAAAACTTAGCGAATTCGTTAGAAAATTCTATTGGATTTCTATTGAACTTCCTATTAGTTTTTGGTCGATTCTATTGAAATATTCAATAAACAATATTCAATAGAAAAAGTCAATAGAACTCGATTTTTCTACATAACTTATTCTCTTCAGATTTTTTCTATAGAGTTTCATTGGCTCAAATTTTCTAAATTTTTTTCATTCTTCTTTTCTTTTCTTCTCATCAAAATAATCAACCAAAAAAAACTTCGCAAATTTGGGCCGAGGAAATTGTATAGAAAATATCTCAACAGAATAAGTTGTATAGAAAAATCGAATTCTTCCGAACCGTTTCTATAGAATATTTTCTATTCAACATTACAATGGAATCGGCCAAAAACTAATAGAAAGTTCAATAGAAATCCAATGTTGCTGTGGAGAATGAAAATGACTGGATCAATTTTCATCATTTGGACATAATAGATTCCTTCACGTCGAATCAGCTAATGACCGCAGAGGCCAATAACTAAAATACAAGATAGAAATCCAATAGAATTTTCTAGCGAATTCGCTAGGTTTTTCTATTTTTCTGATTTTTAACGGAATTCGTCGCACGAAACTTGCGACTGGCCATCGCCCGAGGGCCTTCAGCCTGGTATTTACAAGTTACATATGTACAATGTGTAGAACGCAGAAAATAAGCGAAAAGATAAGAATAAGTAATTCAGTATTCAATTGGTTGTTAGCATTATATGCTTAAGATGGAAAAATAAATGTTTGACATTGTCTTGGATGAGATGAGCGTGAAACAGTTTGGAAAATGTGGTGATGGTGAAGAAAATAGAGAGCTAATTGAGAGAGCTATTGTAATTATTGCTATGGAGTAGTGTTATTGAGAGAGAATTATGCCTCCCCAAGCGTCGTTACCGTATTCTGCTATGCGAATAGCTTTCAGGCTTTCTAGTTTGGGTTTAGGGTTTGTTGCGGGGGTTTTTCTTTTAATTTTTTTCATTCGTGTAACCCCATCCTGAATAAATCCCAATCACTTACAAGTTCCACGACATAATGCCGGGCAGTAGCGAACAGACACCAGGCAGTAATCAAGTCGGCGAGCACGAAGAGACACTTGACACCCCAGATTGATAAATACTCGTGGATGTAGGTGAATGCCAAGAGACCCACCGGTGTCTCGTGAAACAAATCACCTGTGTAGGGGTCGATGTTGGAGTTTCTCAAGTGAACACCCTCTGTCACTCGTTTCCACGAGTTCAGGGCGGTGGAGACCTCGACCCTGTCGCTGATGATTTTTTGAAACTCCGAGTTCATCAGCAACAGGCGAATTGCACCTGCCAGGGCGCAGTACGACACTCTTTCTATTGTTCTCATTTTTCCCGAATTATTTTGGTAATGACAAAGTCACTGTCATCGAGTACAGACCGACCACAAAATTAAAAATAAACGTCAGTTCTACGGATTTCCTGTGCTGGGTATCGGATGATCTACTAGGAGTGGTTAGCAGTCTTCCCTCATCGCTTTTCACTAATTATCAGGTTCTAAAGAGCAAATTATTATTTATATTAATTACTCATGATGATTTATCACTATTATCCCGGTGAGTATGATTTTCCATCAACATTTTCATGATTTTGAACTGATTTTCAATATTCGGAGTAATCACTCCACCCGCGGCGATGATTGCTGCTCCGATTATCAGTTTCTAGGTTAGGAAATGCTGTTTGATGCAGTTTGATGTTTCGAGACATAACCTGTTTCGCTGCTTCGTCGTTCATGGCTCCAGTGTTGAAATAATCATGAAATAAAACGTAATTAGTCGATTAGGAAGGAAACATTGAAAATACGCAGGTAATGAAATTCATTGATACATAATATGCAATTTAATTCATGTTTTTATATTTCGTAATGTTATGAAAACTTAGCGCTCTCTCTACGAAATTTCAACGAATTTCTATATATATATTCTATGAGGTTTCTATTCAATTCAATTCATTTCCTTGATGTTACAAAAGTTTTTCTTTGTTTTAGATCTCCACAAGCCTCCTCCTCCTCTATTTTATTAAACATTTTACTAACATAGTGCTGTGCACATAACTAACATATACTATAATATAATATATTTTTCTTTATTTTTAACCTTTCCTTTTTTATTTACACCCCATTCCCCCCTTCCACCACTGCTCCTCCATCCTTTTTTGGCTCTTCTCCACCGTTCTGCTTCCATCCCTCTCTTTGGTTGCGTTTCGCTTTGTCTACTCCTCTCTTAGCGCCTTCTCTATCCTTCCAAACTTATCATAGTTTCTCTTCGTAGCGTGATCTCTGAGCTCCTCTATTATCCTTTCTCTCCAATGTCTTCGATTACTTTTCTGTCTCCATCTCTTCCACCATCTTTCATCATCTGGTCCTACTCTCCTCATTATCTCCTTGCAGCCGGCCACGTGCTCCAGTGACTCCTTCTCTTTCTCACATGCCCGGCATCTGTCATCCTCAAAGCCTTTCTTCCCTCCTTTTATTGCATTTCCACATCTCCATCTTGCCCAAGCCATTTTCTGTTCCACGTTTAATTTTCTATCCGTCCAGTACTCACTCATCTCCGTGTTCTCCTTTATCTCTCCGTAGTAGTCACAGTATTTCGATTTTTCTATTCTCTCCCAATCCTTCTGCTTTTCTTGATCCTCCACTATATCCTTCAGCCTTTTTTCTGCTTCTTCCTTCCTCCCCTCTCGCAGATGTTCCAGGAACTCTCCATCTCCTACTTCTCTGAGTCTCTCTATCACCCCTTTCCCCCAACTGGACGGTTGTCCATTCTTATAATTCCCCTCAATTCCTCTTTCAAGCATTTTCTTGGCCATCTACTTTCTTCCATTCTGCTCAATTTTATTAGAAAAGCCGCTGCCCTTCTGACTGCTTCTACTTCTACACTGCTTACTCCTGCCTCCATTCTCCATATGTAGTCTGGTGTGTTTCTCGCCAGTCCCATGCTAGCCTTTGTATATTTCTTCTGTATCCTTTCTATGTTTTCCTGCCTTCTCCATCCCCACAGTTCTACTCCATATAGCGCCGCTGCCTTCACCGTTACTCCCATGAAATACAGCCTCTTCCTCAGTCCTCTTATCTTGCCTCTCCTCATTTCTCCCCAGGTTTTGTTCACCAGCGTCTGAGCTTTCCCTGTCAGTTTCTTGGCATGTCTCGAGTATGTGTTTTTGGTCGTGAACCAGAAGCCTAAATACTTGAATTCATTCACCACCTCCAGTTTCTTGCCTTTGTACTCCCAACTTTCTTTCCTCCTTCTTCCTCCGTTCCTGAACACCATTATCTTTGTTTTTTCCACACTCACCTCCATTTCATTTCCATCTGCCCACTTCTCCAATGTCTTTAACATCCTTTTCAACTCAGATCCCTCCTCTGCCACAATCGCTGCATCATCTGCATACATCAGGGTGAATATCTTCACCCCTGCCCCTGGTCCGATAGGCGTGCCTCCGTCTCCTCTCTTTTCCATCGCCTCTATCAGGTCTTGTATGAAGATATTAAATAGTATTGGGCTCAGTGGGCAACCCTGCCTCACTCCTCTGCCCGTCTGGAACTCCTCTGTCAATCCTGTCCCCGCTATCACCCTGTTTCTGGTGCCCTCATAAATTCTCTGTGCCATCCTCAAGAACTTTCCTACTATCCCTATCTCCTCCATCTTGTTCCAGAGTTTCCTTCTGTCCACCTTGTCGAATGCCGCTTTGAAGTCAATAAACGCTACATATAATTTCCCTCCTTTCTTCTTGAGTCTCTTCCCGATCAGCGTATTCAGTACAAACACCTGCTCCATTGTTCCTCTCCTTCTCCTGAATCCTGCCTGTGCCTCTGATAGTTTTTCCTCTTCCTCTAGCCACTTACCCAGTCTGCGTGCCATTATCGACGAGAGNCCATTATCGACGAGAGGATTTTATATCCTATGTCCAGCACTGACTCTATGAGGTTTCTATAGGATTTCTATTGGAATTCCATTGAAAAATTCTATTTGTCTTTTGCACGGATTCTATCGGACATTCCATAAGAAAAAGTCAATAGATTTGGAATTTCTGTTTGAATTTTTCGTTTGAGATTTTTTCTATAAGGAGGCTTAGACATCAATTTTCCAAGTTTTTTCTACTCGGATTCTATAATGCAAAACGAAACAAAATCCAACGGAAAAAACTTGGAAAATTTATGCCCAATAATTCTAATAGAAAGAATCTCAATGGAACAAGCAAATTCTATTGAAAATTATGTAATTACCCGGTGCGTTTCCCAATAGATATTTTTATCATAGAAAAGATCCTATAGAAGTTGAGGTTTTTGCCAGTTTGTTCCATTGGAATTTTTTTCTGTGAGAAATTTTGCGGCATGAATTTTTCAAGTTGTTGGTTCTAGAATGTTAAGCGTGGTTGCACCAAGCCCAGTTAAGAAAATCCTCAGTTGGGTGTCGGAATAAATAAAAATAATCTGCCGATCAATTTGGATCAAAGGTTCATCGAAAATATTTTCACTAAAAAACGTGGTGTGTCGATGTGCCATCAAGATTTGCCAATAGTGCCACTAATTTGAAGTATTTAGTGGACATTCCCGACCAAATGGCTGAATTAAAGTACTCTACGACGAATTTCTAAAATGTCTAGACGTATGAAAAAATTCAATAAAAAATTTACCGAATTTGCTAGAAAACTCTATTGGAATTCTACAGGAATTCTGTGGGGTTTCGATAGGATTTCTATTGGAATTCAATGGAAAAGTTCTATTTGTTTTTTTGCACAGATTCTGTTGGACATTTCATAAGAAAAAGCCAATAGATTTCGAATTTCTGTTTGAATTATTCTGTTGAGATTTTTTCCGCCGGATTTTGTTTCGTCTTGCACTATAGAATTCCTGTAAAATTCCAATAGAATGTTCTAGCGAATTTGCTAGGTTTTCTATTGAATTTTTTCATGCGTACATCTGTGGAATAAATTTACTCTGGGCATGAATTCATTCTGACGATTTATTTGGCTAACAGGGCTTGGTGCAACCGATCCGTATTTCTTTTAAGAATTTCCAAAAAAAACGTCCGTAGCTTAAGCATTAGAGGCTCTGGATTATTTTTAACGTGTCAACCGTCAGCGGGGCAAGCGAACAATAAATAATTAATTTTTTTGTGCTAATTATTCATTTTTATTCAATAGTCTCCCTTTAAGCAAATAAACCCTGAGGTAAAATTTATTCTCTGGGTGAATTATATCCTGAAGGACATAATGCTTGAATGTTTAATCCGAAAAGTATTTTTTTATTTATCCTCCAGCCTCATTTGAGTTAAAACTGCCCTAACCCTGGGATTATTTTGTTTGTTCCTGGGATAAACTTCAGATACTCCCCCTGGTAAAATAATCCATCGAATGCTAACAGGGCTTGGTGCAACCGGCCCTGGATCCAATAGACTTTTTATAATATTTCGAATAGATACTCCATAGTATTGCCTTGGAAAAATGGCAAGATTTTTTTATTGAATTTTTTCATGTGATATTCTTCTTCCAGTCCCAGTTTCAACTCACACTTCGGTTGTGACCTCGAAATAAATAATGAATGAAGAAAAGGGAGAATCTCCTCTGAAAAAAATTCGTTGGTCAAGAAAAGCTGCAACGAAGAAATTTGCTATGTTATTCTTTGGACTATTTGGTATGGTTGGACTCTCATTCAGCCCGACAATCTTTGCTATGACGTTCCCTGATATTTTCAGTAAGCACAATTAATCCACAAAAGTATCCATTCAATTCTATCGATGTATCGCTGATTTAAAATATTTTTCTAGAGGAGTATAGAAGAGAACTCACCTCACATATACCCCCAGGCAAACGAGTAGATTAGTAAACTAAAGTAAGCAATCGTCTTAAATCATTTATATTTATTTTAAAAAAAATTATGTACACAGAATAAATGATTTAACATTGTCGCACGCTCGATTAGTGTCTGTACAATCTTCAAACAGTTCAACGTATTAATGAGTAGTTCTTTGTTATTTTCAAAATAAAGTGAAATAAAAAAGAGGATCTAGAGTTTTTTGTGGGGATGTCAAAAGTCGTCGTCATCGCAGACGTCGAGGAAAACGTCGAAGGCTTCACGATTGCAGTTTCCTTCGGACGTAAAGACGTATTTGTGGAAGGTTCCGTCCATGCAGACAGCTGAAATGTACAGGTATCTATTGAAACTTTCATATATTGTATACTTCAACACCGACAGAGCATTCTCTCGATTAAATGATCTGTTACAAGCAATGGAACTCTAAATTTTTGACACATGTCATATTTTGAATTCATACTTTGTGTACGGAAGCTGTAATCCTGACATTCTAATTAAGCTATGCACATATTGAATTCTACTAAAGGGAAATGTACGAAATCAGTTACAGATTATGCCATTTGACTTTCATACATTGTATAATTCGAACTTATAAGAGTTTAATTGGTTGTGGGCAATTGGACAAGTATAATTTGAGCATGTGGAACTAAAAAAAAAACGTTTTCCACCAATTCAGGCCTGAGTTTCTGGGATCTTCAATTTTTGCTTCCGAACGGAAGAATTGCATTCGTAAAATCCGAAATTTTCAATTTTTTTGCGCCAGGATAACTAATTTTGACCTCAAAAGTTTTAATAAGTAAATTCCATCATTAGGCCGAAAAAAAAAATTCTGGGTCCTATGATTGCAAACTCATATTGGCCAGAAAAATTTCTTTCGGCCTAGTGATGAAATAGTACATTATGTCATCAGGTGATAAAAGTATTATCTGATTCATGTGATTATAATCCTCACCTTCGGCTAAGATCATAAAGTCACATTCGTTAGATAATACTTTTATCGTCGTGTGGCAGACAATATTTTATGTCACTGGGCCCAAAAATCTAGTTTATTAGGCGAAGTGTCATAAAAAACAATTTCGTCATAACGAAATGCTATTTTTAGCCCATGTCCAGATGTCACGTCCAAAATGAAAAATGGTCGTATAAATCTAGTCTAGGGAACATAAAACCTGGACGATTTGGGCTCTTTAGAATCATTTTAACCCAACTTTTAAAAACATTTTTATCACGCTGTGCGAAAAAGTAACTTTTTAGGCACGCTTCGCGTGCTTAAAACGCCCCTTTTCCACACATTGTGATGAAAAATATCGTTCGATACTCGTGGGAAGTGTTTTAAATTATAATTAATTGAATTATAAAACGAACAGAAAATGATTATTCCCATCAGTGGTCCCAATAATAAAAAGTTGATAAACAAAAGTTGATAAAAGAAATATTTCTTACTCGAATTGCGTTAAATAGTCGTTTTTCAGCTATTTCATTTTGCCCGACTCTCCCAAAAAAATGAAAATACTGATTTAATTATGTTTGTCTACATATTGTATATTATGGATGTGTGAACCAAAATTTGAGTCAATTAGATGAGAATTCGGTCATGAGGACGCCTTTGAAGATTTTAGTCCTCTCATTAGGCCCTCATTGATCAATAAAAAAAATCAAGACCCAAATTCTGTAGCGAAGTGGTAAACTACGATAAGTGCAAAAATGGAACTTTTTCAGGAGACTTTTTCAGGAGAGTTAAAAAATTTGACCATGTTTGAGAGAATTTTCGATTCAAGCAATAGAAAATTTTGCAAAAAAATTGCACTTATTCTAGTTTACCACTTCACTACAGAATTTTTCTTATTGCTTCCGAATGGAAGCATTGTAATCGTTCAAATTTAAGTTTTGGATTTTTCGTCTTATATCGACCCATTATGATCTAAAAAATCTGCAAATGCAATTTTTAGACCGAGTCCGTAGGTATGTAAACAAATTTTTCTTCGATTGTTCGCTAATGAATCGATGGAATTGAATCTTTTTCTCCTCAAGTGTAGATATTGTTAAGCCCTATTTTTATATTAAACCTGCAGTAGTAAGCTCATCAGAATGATAAATGAAGGCACCAGCGATTTCGAAGTTTCAGTGCGGTCTCCGCTTAATGCAATGGAGCGAATCCATTGTATATAATAGATCGTTTTGTCAAGAAAATGCTGTATCGGTGTTAAAGTATGCCGATTTTTTTAATGGGTATTTTTTTAATGGTGTTGAAGTATGCTGATTTTTTTAACGACGGGTTGCTGAAAACCCAAAGAAAATTTGGAGGAAAACAAATCAGTTCGAGTCTTTTCCATCTGGGCTGATGAGATAATTCGATAGAGAATTTTTTAATTTAATGTGGACTCTCGTGCGGTTCTGAGACGAAAAAGTAAAGAACAGCTTGAAACTTTACAAACTATCATTCCAATGCTATATCAACATATTTTGAATTCAAAAAATGTTGTGTGAAATTTTTGCTTACCAATAACTGAATTATGAGATCCAAACGCACATACACAGGCACACTCCGGGGGTACCGTGAATGTAGCAAGGGCCCATTGACTCTCGATATAATTACCAAGAAAACCCATCTTTGAAAATCTAAAAACACGAGTAATTGAAAATGACACCATCAATCTCATTGAAAAATTATCATTTGATGTGAGAAATTGTCTTACGTGGATCTCCTGTTGAGACGAGTGTCTTTGAGGGCCCATATATGAACAGTGCCCTTATCACTGGACGCACAGAGGAATTCGGAGTCTCTACTGAACGTTATGCTGCAAATTGGAACAATTGGTACAAATTTTTGTGATGAGAAAATTTAACTCATTTTAAATACCAGTAGAGGGTAGCTGGATCTGCCCCACGTCGTAATTCAACTAGGAGTTGCCGCCTGATGCTGTCCCACACTCTGACGAGTGTTCCTTGTGCTGAAGCTGTTGCAACCATTGTTCCATTCGAATTGACGGCGAGACAAGCCAGTGCTCCCTGAAAAGGAAAAATTGATACGGAGAAAACTATCAGAAATACACGAGAAGTCAAGCCATATTGATTGTTTTGAAAATATCTCAAAAACTACTAGGTTTGAAGAAAAACATCGCAAGACCTCTTTGTAGCTCGATCGAAAAGTTCTTTTGACATTTTGCTGTGAATTTAGTATACAAACAAGTTTTACTTGCTGAAAATTACCAAAAAAGAAATTGTTTCATTCGAATTTGAAAATTTCAAACATAAATAACACGGTTCAACAAAATTCGGACGTATTCGACCTCGAAACTGAAACCGATCCCATCTTATAGATATTTTAATGCCGATTTTTAATTTCTTTTGAGAAATCTTTCTAGCACGTGTAGTTTTCGAGAAAAAAAATATTGAAACGTTGAAAAATGGCTAAAATAAACAATTTGGAAAATTAGTAAAAAAAAGAATTTGGACGTAGTTTTTTAATTTTGGACGTAGTTACAAGATTGCTATCATATGTTCATTATTATTTCATTCGGGGATTCATTTCTTATCTGTAAAAACGAGCATTTCTCAGGAGCAAAATACGCATAGGAGTATCGAATAAGAAAGAAACAGTGCTAGAAATGACATTTCTTGCTTGCACAGAGGATTCAAATTTTGTGGAATCATTACATCTATTTTTGCGCCAAAAATTTCCATTTCAGGACAGTCTTCACTAGATATTATTTTTTTGGTAATTTTCGAGTGATGAAATAATTTCATTAGATTCTGGTTTTTCAATGAATATCTAGGAATTGAAGGGGAGATGGCCAAATTTCTCTCAAGATTTCTCTACAAGAAAGTCTTTTCAAATATAATTTCTATCTACTAGAAAGTTTTATTTAAAAATTGCAAGGAATTATCAGTAACCTTGATTACATTCTGAGTCGTAATTTTATCCCAATTCAATAATCATGCTACATTTGCCCATAACAAATTTGGAATAATTTTGTTTCCCACAAAGTCGTATGAGAAAATTGATCGTAAATCAGTTTGCAAATTTTGCATTGCAAATAAAGTTTAAAATCAGATAATTTTTTTATATCGAATGTGAAAAAAATGAAATTTCTTTGGCACATAATAGAAAATTATCATTTGTTCTCAATAAAGTTTCATTATTTGTCTATGAAGAGAGAATGCTAAAAAAAGTCCTCACATTGTGCAATTGTAATTTATGCCACTCATGCCTGAAACCGGCTGGATTACACACTCGACGCTTCGCGTCTCGTGTCTAATTCAGCCGGTTTCAGGCTTCGTGACATAAAATTTTGTTCAATACTTGTGGGGAAATTTCGTCCTTAACGTGTGTGGTTACATCACTCGCCTTCGGCTCATGCTGTAAACCCCACACACGTTAAAGACGAAATTGCCCCACACGTGCTGAAATATACTATTTGCCAATACTGAGTAGGTATGCATTTTTTTCAAATTTTTCTCGCTGAATTTCGTTGCAAAGTTCGAAAACTGAAAATATCGAAATCTATAATGCATTTCGTAACATTCTGGAACAGTTATAGGAAATAGAAAACCTTGAGATTTCAAGCTATTCATCAAAAGTTAATTCTGAAAGCAAGATCACTCATCTGGTTTCATCATTTCACTCCTGAATTTGTTATTCATTGGCTACATAATATTCTGTAGAATTTACCTGATGAGCAGAAATCGTTGCTGGTGCAGAGGAACTACCAGTTTCAGTAGCAGCAAGATCAACAAGCTGAACACTTCCAATCTTGTGTCCAGGAAACGCCAACAATTGTTTGTGCGCACTGGCCAGTGTTGCTACCTCCACCAGTCCTTTGGGATTATCTCTCGTCTCGAGGGTCAGTAATCTCCTAGTGGGAAAGGGGAACGAGAATACGTGGATTTCCCTCTGAAGTGCTACAATCAATCTGGAATGAGTTAAAATAATAACAAATGTCATCAGAGTTCAGTAATCAAGTAGTGTGATGAGATAAATTTATCTCAGAGTTTAGTTTTCGCTGCATATTCTGGAATTCGACAGAAATAGATGAATTTTTGTGGCACTAGGAAATGCACCGGGTATGAATTGGCTAGTGGTCTACGCATATCATTTATGATCGTTATGTATACATTCATTCATTAAAAAAGGAGTGAATTCGCTCTCGCTGTGTTTGGATTTGAGAAAAAAATTAGCAGGTGATTTTTAGAAATTATCAAGATTAATTTTCACCCCTTTCTAGGAAACCTGAGAGCCATCCATTATGACTCTCTCCCAATAACATTATTTCATAACAATAGTGACAATAATAACTCTTCTTTCTTCACCATTACCACAACATTACTAGTTGGAAATTATTATGGAATGACAGTTCAACTGTCAACAAAAATTTCAAGTAATTTCGTTACTGCAAGTTCACTATTTGATCAAAAAATCTATAGAAAGTGTACATTTCAGTGCAATTATTCCCTGAAAATAAATAGAAATCAGGAAAATTCAGGTAAATATATTCTTGAATTTCCAATTAATTGAGCGCAATTTAGTATTGAATATATCTAGGATTTGATTTAAAATTCAAATGAATTGAGGAAATATCCCCCTCCCCGTCTTCCTGCTGCTCATAAATGTGGAATGCCATTGAATTTTCAATGAAATTCCGAATTCGATGATTTTTCCCCCGGTTTGTCCATGAAATCTCGATTTTCTTTTCAATAGTGTAAATGTGATGAAATAATTCCGGTTCGTTTGGAAACCGATTTTTGGAGGTTTACCAAATTGAGAAGAGAGTGCAATTTTCGTAAAGAGATTTCTTGTAGCTCCCCATAATCTTTAAAAAAGGGTTTTTCAAAGTGAAAATCATTGTCATCGTTTTCCTTAAATTCAATAGCGAAGCGATAAAATGGTTCAAGTCGACTCAGCTCCTAGCTGAGTTTTTGAGGAATATCTCCGAATCTAAGAAAGATAACGAAATTTTCGTGAAGACCTTTTTCGTAGAGCGCTCGGAGGACTACAAAGAAATACTAGAAATTTTGCTATCCCCCTTAGATTCCGAGATACTCCATGAAATCTGGCCAAAAGTCAAAATCGACTTGAACCATTTAACGCTTCATTACTGAATTCTTGAATAAAGAGGACTAAAAGTCATGAAAGTTGATCTTAAAAATATCCTCAAACTCACTTGTCCCTCCTGAGTCTCACAGCCTTGATGGTACTGGTGAAAGTAATCTCCAGGACGAATTTCTTGGCAATGTCATCATAAATCAGAACGGTATTATCGGCAAATTTTGGTCGAACTCCACCGCCCACGAGGGCAATGAGATTCGTCCTCCAGAGCATTTCACCAATGGCAATGCTGCCCATGAGATCACTGTCGAAGTGGGCCTTCTCCACCAGTGGCTCAACGTTGTAGATCCTCAGTCCCGACTCCATGCAACACGTGAAACATCCTGCAAACCCACCCAATAAACAATAACTGTCCAATGCCTTCGGTGCTTCCTTCACCCTCACGTGACACCGTCGATCTTTTCCCAAATGGAAAAATTAATTTTCAACCGTGGAAAAGGTGAATGAACGAGATTGTGCCTTTGTTCTATTCTCAAAACACTCACCCTGATCTTGGTTGAACCTCAGGCTCAATATCCCACGTCCAGCAGCCATTTTAGACGTTCTAATCGTCGAACATCTAACTACGATGCAATTTTCGAATTATCACATTGCTTTATTGATGAGTGAATCCTTTTTGTTTACTGTTTACGTACTCCACTCGAGTGGAGGACAAGAAATGTCGTCGCAACGTGGGTAAAACAGAGTACATGGTGGGGGTAAAAATACTGAATCATCGGCGGTGGAGTGGGGGTACAAAACAAACTTCAGTACGATGTAGTCGGTTTTCCCCTTCCCCGGTAACTTCACATTTGCTTGTGGCTTCCCCACTGTTTGTTGTCGAAGATGGCCGAGGATTTCCGAAGGGGAGTGATAAAACGCCAGGCGTGTTGGAGTTGTTGTGATTTTTGAGCAGACGTGTTTGCAGGTTTTTTGACGTCTACGAAAGCTCGCGATAGACAGGTTTTTTGTTTTTAAAGGGAAGTTTGAACATTTTTCGTCATGTCTTATATGCTTTCACATCTGCATAATGGCTGGCAGGTCGACCAAGCCATCCTGTCCGAGGAGGATCGGGTTGTGGTGAGTATTTGAGGGATTCATAACCTTAAAGGAAACGTTGATAATTGTTTTAGAGAAGTTTTTAGAGTTGCGAGAATTTTTCTATGGAGTTTCGTTAATCGCTGGATTTAGAGAATGTTACGCTAAGAAAAAAAAATAGAGGAGGGTTCGGCAATATCGACACCAGATTTAAAGAATGAGTTGAATTGGATCAAATCTACTGTTTCGGACTTCATTTGACGGTTATAAAAACAAACACATTGTCATAAGACTGCGTCGTAGGAGTTGTAAGGTTAAGCAAAAAAGGGGAAAAATGAACACTTCGATTTCTTCCTCAATTTTTTACGTTTCAACAATGTATTCAATTTCTGAAACACCAGTCATGACTGCGATTTTCGAATTAAAAAAAAAATCATTTTTTATTTTCGTCGTGAGGGGTGGTAAACCAAATTTTTCTTTGCTCATTTATCCTCCCCTCCCTCACTTAGTTTATGGTGGTTTCTTTTGTGAGTAGTAAAAGTAGAGTAAAACTAGCCATCTTACAAATTTCGCAAATGGGCAAAGGTCAATTGTATAGGGCGTGCAATTGTTCATTAAAAAAAATAATTTCAAAGTTATTTCAACAGTAAAACAGCAAATCCAATGCTACTTTATATTTCAAACTTCAATGTAAAATTTAATTGAGTTAAAGTTTATTTGTTAATATCTCTTCCACCACTAATTTCTCTCTACAAAAACACACCGTTATGATTCTATTGGAAAATGTCTGCTGAAAATTTTCTTGATTAAAAGTTAAATTCGACCAAATTTTTCGGGTATCCATTTTACCCCACTCTTGAATAATTTTTCGGGTGTGGACCTTCCCAAGCAATTGTTTTAAATTCGATTATTGAAAATGTGTTGAAAATTTTTTGAGCGTCCATTTTAGTCCATCCTAGACGGATTTATCAGGTGTCCATATTGCCCAATGAAACAATTTTCAAAACTTTCGATTTTGAAAAAAAAAAATTCGCAAATTTTTGAAGTGTCTATTTTACCCTAGATATCCATATTGCCCCACCCTTTCCTATTTTTGCCAAATATCAATTTACTTGAGAGAAGTATTTATTTTTTCAATACCGTATTTCTCCAATCGAGTCATTCGCAGGCAATCCTCTTTAGGTTTCAAGTATGATAATTATATTGCTCTAGAAGATGGTCATGTTAGCTATGACAAAATAATTTAAATTTAGCTTATGTTAACCGCTAATATTATCCAACAATTTTCAATTACCGAATTAGTTATCAATCGAATATTCAACTTTCGAAATAATCTATCAGCCAGTAATCGTGTTACAAGTTTGACCATTACATGTCTAATCGAAAAATCCTTTTATGAAATTTAGAATTATTTACTCAATAGTTACTAGAAAATTTAAAATATGAATTATTCTATCATTTTCAAATTTCGATTATGATTAAAAAAACCATCGTAATAGAAAGGTGCAAATTCTGATAATATTACAAAATATTACAAATGTAATGATCGACCGATCGCTGATCTCAAGAAATCACTCGAAAAATCATGATTTCGGGCCAAAGTGGGGCATTGGCCGATAACCGTATATGGATAAGATTCGGAGAACCAAAGAGTTTAGAAAGGCCTTATGGATGTGATAGTAAGAATCAAATGACATTGAGACCGGCCTTTTAAATTTTCTTCTCGTATATCCTTTCGAGTCTTTATGATTTGCTCCCTTCCCGCCCCCAACCCCCTGTACTGCATTCGCCGAAGGACAAGGGAAAACCTCATTTGAGGGAAAAACCTGCCCAGGTACAGTCGCCTCTTGCGAGACTCCCGCTCGACAATGAAACCGTCAGATTTAGAGTGTCACAAATTTTGGCCCCCCCAGCCGGGAATCGAACCCGGGTCTCCCGCATGCCAATCCCACACTCTAACCACACAGCCACCGCCGTCGGTGACCGGCCTTTTATTTTATAATAAATATTCGACTGGATTAATATAAGTTTCACTGCAATAAATAAATTGGCTGAAGCCCTACACCTGGCGCGGCCTGGGTCAAGGGCTGCCAGGGCTCAAGTCCTTTTTATAATTCAACTCGACAAAATAATTAGTTCACTCGGCGCCAGTTAGTTTTTCGACAACTAACGTTTTCTCGACTTACCTCAGGGAGTGGAAGTTGGAAGACCTAAGAGTAATAAAAATTGACAGAGAGAGAGAGGAATAAATTATAGGCAAGAACATTTTGAATTAATAATTACTCACTTGTTATGTCGACAATTCACTCAATTTATTTCTGAAGTTTTTAAACGTTCTCGAGTATCGACTCTTACCACACAGTATGAAATTTTTTAAAAAATAAATAAGACAATACAAAATACATAGACAATGTATACAGTTTCGGCGCCGGACGAAAAGTGATACAATGGGCCTTAGACAACTTGTTGCGCGATAGACAATCAATAATTTGGCGATTGCGCCCTAAATCTCGTCTAGATTCCAATAGAGCGTTGTAATTCAAATTCGACAATGAACTTATGGCTAATATCTCATACGGCAACTTACGAGATCCCCGAGAACAAGAAAAAATTGTATCGACGAGAAGGGAAAAACAATGTCTCCTGTCACAACATATGCAAAAGAAAGTCATGATGGTCAGATGATTGATTGATTGATTAACCGATGATTTCCAGAAGTCATTATAAATCATTACCAGAAATGGAAATCACTTGATTTCCAGTGATTTCTTCCTTAACCCCTCGCGTACGGGACCTTTTTGTTAGGAAGCCTGACGTGCGCTTAATATCACTGAGATTCGATAAATTCTGATGCACGAAAAATTATAAAATGCATTAAAACTTGAAGCTACCCTATCCATCTTTCGAATGGCGTTGGCGGAATTAGATTCTCTGTCACAGTTTTGAAATTATCCAGTTTTTAACAAAGTCATGCGTTTTTGCTTGGGTCCACACTGAGAAAAACAATTTCTAAGAAATAGAAATTCTATGATTGATCCAAATCGTTCATCGATTGAATAGTCGCAAAAGAAAATGCTATTGTAAGACACAAACATCGATTTAATTTTAATGTTTTCGATTGAAAAAGAATGAGATCAGTTATCTAAACTTTTGTTTTGTTACTATCTACTTTTCAGTACATAGAAATCAATGTCTGTATTATCAAATATCTTCTTCGAATAAAGCATATAATTATCCAATATATCAGCGTCACGATATCCCGCAAAAGAATATCTGTTCGATTGAAAGCAGAATTCATAGATGCAATAAAATATTCATTTGGTCTATGAGGAACATATTGTTGGATACTCATTGATGCGAGACTTTCACGATGAGCCGTTTCTTGTTTACGACAAACAATTCTTCATCATTTGAACTGATTATTTTTCCATTGCAATTGTGAAAAACAAATTATTTGCGCCAAACCCGAAGCGTTTGAACTAAACCAAAATTGAATTGTATGAAATCGATTTTGTCGCAAAAACATGTATTTTCTAAATTCGATAGAATAAACAAAATATACTATATTATAACAAAATCGATTTCATACAATCCAATTTTGGTTTTGTTCAAATCGATATTTATGTCTTACAATAGCATTTACTTTTTCTTTTCTTTTTCTTAGAAATTTTTTTCTCAGTGTAGGGACAGGGACGAGCATACGTGCATTTACCTTATAACGAAAATTTTGCTATCAGCCTTCCGAGATATTCATTGAAAACTGATCAATAGTCAGATCGAATTAAGGCCCGGTTGCACCAAGCCCTGTTATCCAAATAAACCCCAGGGTAAAATTTATCCTCGGGGTCAATTATATCGTAGGGGTCATAATTTCTCAATATTTGACACGAAGAATAATTTTTTATTTATCCTGTAGCTCCATTTGAATTAACACTGATTTAAGCTTGGGATTCAATTTTTTTTTTGTTCCTGAGATAAATTTGAGATACTTTCCCGGGTAAAATAATCCATCAAACATCCAAATTTACTTTTTTTCTTATCTGACGTTTTTGTTACCCGGAGCTGGTGCAACCAGACCTAAACTGTTTTACCACTCCGCTATTGATGTCTTCAGGGATTTAATCGTGTAAATCCCTCTTTCAACTTCAGGTAATTCGTTTCGGTCACGATTGGGACCCCATGTGCATGAAAATGGACGAAGTTCTCTACAACATAGCCGAGAAGGTGAAAAACTTCGCAGTTATTTACCTGGTGGACATCACAGAGGTCCCAGACTTCAATAAAATGTATGAGCTTTACGACCCCTGCACTGTCATGTTTTTCTTCAGGAACAAGCACATAATGATTGATCTTGGCACTGGCAACAACAACAAAATCAACTGGACCCTGGAGGACAAGCAGGAAATGATTGACATCATCGAAACAGTGTACAGAGGGGCCAGGAAGGGACGAGGTCTCGTCGTTTCTCCAAAGGACTACTCCACGAAGTATCGATATTAATTTTATCATCTTAGTTCATTTATTACATATAAATTATGTTTTACATTAAAACAATATAATCATGAGATCGGAATGAGTGAGAATTTGTTGGTTCAATAATTTTTGTCTAGTTATAGTCACGAATGAAATTATTCATCATATTCTCCATTTGGTGACTGATCAAGAGCATGATGATGATTATTGTAATTATCCTAGTGTAGTATTTACAATTTTTAATACAAGAGTAATAACTATATAATTTATGAAATTGTGAAAGACTCAATGGCTTTGGTCCATCATCACTGCTGTTTTCAGAAAAATAATTTTTGAGGTAATTAACAGCCAGTTGAACAGTTCTGGGTTAGAGTGATGTGTCGAGTAGTTCTGAAACAGTAAATGAATCATTATTTTTGGAGCTTGGATTGTGAAACCATTATTTCGGCGTATGCACGTATGGAAAAATTTAATAGAAAAACCTAGTGAATTCCCTAGACAATTCTATTGAGCTTTCTGTTAGTTTTTAGCTGGTTCTATTGAAATGTTTAATAGAAAATATTCTATAGAAAAAGTCAATAGAATTGCATTTTTGTTCACAACTTATTCTATTGAAATATTTTTTATAGAATTTCTTCGGCCCAAATTTTCCAAGTTTTTTCGTTTGATTCTTTTGACCAACAAGAAAGAAAAATAGTATGAAAAAACTTGAAAAATTTGAGTCGAGGAAATTCTACAGAAATTATTTCAATAGAATAAATTTTATAAAAAATCGAATTTTGTAGGATATTTACTATTGAACATTTCAATAGACTCAACCAAGAACTAATAGAAAGTTCAATAGAATTGTCTAGCGAATTTGGTAGGTTTTTCTATGAAATTTTTTTGTGTGTGTGGGGTAGATTTCACTCACTCTCAGTCACAGTTGGATCTTCATTAACGAAATGCGCAGATTTGGATCGATGCATCGGCTGAAGATTCTCGTAAAACGAATTACTTGATTCGTCAGAGTCGTCGAGACTACTTGTACTGGATTTACCTTCCTTTTCGATGTCGTGGACGGGGTAATCCAATGTGTTGTATCTCACTGGAAGGAAGAAACGGTTTACCAAATGTTAGTCATTTTTTATTGAACAGAATTCATGAGAGTAGAAAATTTAAAAGGATGGATTTGCAAAAATCGTTGGAAACGAAAGTTTTGAAGGGAAATGTCATAGAATTCTCCACAAGATAATACATTATGTCATCAGGCGATAATACTTTTATCGCCGTGTGACATAAAAGCTTCTTTCATAATTTTTTCGAGACATCTTCGTTTTCCAGGCCTTACTTGTTCGAACTTGTCGATTCCCAAAATTTTTAGGACATAATTCTGTGAAAATGTCTGAAACTATTGGATTCAGAGAAAAATGTCTAAATTCCTCAGCAAATTCTCAAAAAAATGGGCCTTCTAATTTGAGATGCAAAATGACTGAGATGCAAATGACTTTTGATAGCGCGTCATGTGCCCAAAAAATGACGGTCTTGTGACGTCTATATGACACAAATTTTTCAACTAAAAATGATGATCACAAATAATTTGGAAGCAATTTGTTGTCAAAATATCTATTATATATAGATGCATAATGACGGTTATAACTAATTTCTAATTTGTGACAGTCATACATAATGAAATAGTTTCATCTATATTTCCGTTTCAAAATGCGCATTAGGCTAATACGAAATGAATTCAAATAAAAATTGATACAGAAAAAATGAAGTTGCATCTATATAGATAGAAAATGACTGTCATATTTTTTTTTTGGCAAATTGTGACGGTCATAGAGGAGAGGGGGAGGAATTGTGACGGGCGTCATAAATGCCTCGTCATGTGACTGTCAATGTCGGTCACATAACCGTCATATGACGAGTCATGTGACACATTTGCATCTCTACTTCTAATGTATTATCTTCCTTCCCTTCAGTATGTAATTATTGTACTAAAAGTATGGGAGAATAAACTATGGAGAACGACTCAGAAGTTCTCACATCGATTCTCTGCCACTAATGGGTTGAGAAGGAAATGTCAAAATCATTGTTTACGCTATCGAATTCTCCACAAAAAACTTTTTAAAAATAAATGCATGGGAAAATCTTCCCTTCAGAGATATTTGATAAAAATAGAAAAAGAATTGGTTATGAACTTCTCATGTTTGCAGAAAAACTCATGGAGTTCGATCTGCAGATGTCTTTGCAATTGTCAGATAAAAAAACTGTCGAGACTTTTCCTGTAGAATGGTTTCTTGCTAATTTTTTGGAAACCTTTTGCCTTTAAAGATAATCGAAAAATTCGCTTTGAACTATTTTTTATTTTTAGAAAGAATCTCATCGAGATCATTCTGCAGATATCTGTAAAATTGTCAGGTATAATATCAAATGTTTGAAAACCTTTCTGGTAGGCCATGAAATTCTCTCTACAAAGGTTCTCGAGTAAATCCTCCACCAATGAGATAATTACCTATTTGATTGCTGAATGGCTTTGAACAGATTTCCGACGTCGATTTCGAGTATTTAATCCCCAGCGACAAACAATTTCGTGATTTCGGACTCGATGATGTGGACGATGATGAATGGAAGATTTGCTCGGCTGATTCTACTGACGTTGACAAACTGCTCTTCCTCACTAGGAAAAATAAGAGAAAAAATCGTTTTTTAATTGGTTTACAAATTTTCATACACAAATTACGTTTTGAAACGTAAAGCAGGAAAAGCCGGTGCGGACGATCGACTAGAGCTTCAGAGACCAAATACATAAGCAAAGCGTGACACTGATTTTTCTTGTCAATTATTTTTCTGTCAGCATACCTCGTTGCTGTTTCAGATTGCCATTTCGTTCTCACTCTGCGATAAAGAAACTCATGTTACTTCTACCGGGTTAAGTTATCTAGATTTTCATTGAGTTCTGGTTAATTATTATTTTTGATAGGAATAATGTTCTATGAATAGTAAATAGGATAATAATTTTTCTTTGTGGCGTAGTTTTTGGCGTGGTAATTTTTGTTACATACGAGTCTCGAGACTGCTGACTAGATTTGTTATTGCTGGTTCCTTCTTCTTGCCGTTTACGTTGGTTATTGGATCTACTGATGGAGGTTTATCTGAAAAAAAATTATTAATTCGTTAGAAGAGTAATTTCTTGAGCCAGGTGTGAAGTAGTATAACAGTCCAAGGATATCCGAGGACCTTTCTATAGATTTGGAAATCGAATTACGTGAGAACAATTTGGAAAAATTAATTGATAATCAGCGATATTGAAATTCCGTTTTACAAGAGATTCCTTTTCCTCTAAATTTTTATTATAAATAAATAGGGGAGAGTGGGGCAAAATGAAATAGCTGAAAAACATCTGGTTGACGGAATTCAAATTAAAAAAAAAATTTTTTATCAACTTTTGTTAATTAACTTTTCTTATTATTGGGAGTACTGATGAGAATAATAATTTTCTATTCGTCTTATAATTCAATTGATTTGATTAGGCCGATTACACTTTTCTTTCTTTCAAATTTCTATTCAACCGTTTCATTTCTTACTAATTGATTATTCGGCCATAATACGGTCATACATATATATACATGTTATGAAGGAGGGATGCTGAATGCTAGTCTTCACTTTTCTTTTTTCATTCGATTGAAATTCAGCATCACATTTTCCTTTTCCCCCCTTTGGGTCTCCCCCTGGACCTTACTCTGGACTTTGTATTTTACTGTTTTATTTTCTTCTCAATTAATCCATTGACAAAATCTTCACCTGAATGGAAAATTATTATTCTCATCAGTACTCCCAAGAATAAACAAAAGTTAATAAAAAACAATTTGATGAAAAAAATTTTTTTGTTTGAATTGCGTCAAACAGTCGTTTTTCGACTGTTTCATTTTGTTGCACTCTCCTCTACAATCAGAATGTTCACGGAATCCTACGTGATGTAAAATCCAATGGGAATTGTCATATATTTTAGATTCCGAAGTCAGAAAAACTATCGAGATAACGTTTGAAAGATAATCCATCAGGCCTTGACTTGAAATTTTGGCATGAAGTTTCTTCTTAGCACTGCAACGTTTCGAATTGAAGATGGGCTGGATCGAATGGTTATTTTACAAGATATTCAACTCCGTAACTAAGTCTGTTTGTTTTTGTTTCTCCTTCTAGAGATACTTACAGGTTTTCGAAAAATAGGGGTTCTTCAGTACTTGTCGAATGCAGTTATAAATATATGCATATTGACTCTGAAAAGATAAGAAATACCAATTGAGTATTCACATAGATATAATAGCATTGGATTCAATTCAGAGAATCTGTTAAATTTCAATAACTCACTTCTCTCTGCACCATATTAATCCTATGATGCCTTAGTCTATAAACCGTGCCAAAGACATCGAGTTTCCTATTCTCCTTAATGTGCTGAAGGAGAATGTCAATGGCAATAAGAGTTCCGGTTCGTCCAATGCCAGCACTGTAGGAAGCATAATAAAAATAATCCAGTTATCTAAAGCCATGCGTTCGTTATCCTGAATTATGTGCTCATTACGAATGTTGTTTACCTGCAGTGAATCACAGCAAGGCCAGGATTGGCTGTTATGTAACGTCTAATTATTTGACAGAAGTTTATCATTGGGTCAAAGTCCTCAGGTACGTCGTGGTCTGGCCAGTCTTTGAAGTGGAGATGAGTAATCGTTCTCTTTTCATTTTCCTGGAATGAAGAAAAAAATCAAATCATTTCAATTGTGCATGAAAAAAGGTTAAGGTTGTTAATACAAAGATCAGGGGATCATGAATTTTATGGGTCACAACAAAGGTGTTTTTAGATTTTTCGAGACATCTGCCAGATTTAGAGATATTTATGAAATAATGTGAATTGAATTCCCGTAGTTATTTTAGCTTTAATCAGGGATAACCATATTCATAAATCATAATTACCGTTAAATTTTGAAGCCGTCATTTCGTGAATATTACTCTTAAATTTTTTATTATTTAAGTAATCATCAATTAAATATTCAAATTTTAAAATATTTTATCAATCAATAATTTAGGTAGGAAGATTCCCGATTACTCGGTCATTCGATAATCCTTTCTAAGTAGAATTATTTAATTAATGGAAAATTTACAGCTCCATATTATCAATATTATATTTAATTCATCATTAATCAGAAATTTAAATTATCAATATTATACTATTTTATAATTTTGATGAGTATATTTAAACCTTTATTAATGTAAGTCGCAAATCCTTTTAATATTGACGAATTTTAATATTGATGGCTATCCCTGGTTACAATCACTAAAATGTTAGTCATTTTTTTCAATTTGCGTTATAGTTTTATTTGAATTTTGAATGTTGTGAACTTCAATTCAAATTTTATATTGAATTAATTATTAATAATATTAATGAGAGTTTGAATTCTCAAATAATAGTAAAATTTAAATATCGCATTGACTTGAATTATCTGTCGTTTTAAAATTCAGAGCCGTAGTCGCCTGAATGTTAATAACTTTCATTGACGTATAGATCTGAAAAATGCAATTTAATCTAATATTCCAAAGATTAACTGCTTTGACAATAACAACATGCATAAAATAATATGAATTAACCATTGGAAATTTTGCAAAATTTCAGTTGAAATTTCAGGCGTAATTTTATAACATGGATTGGCTTGATTATACTGGCAAAGCCTTGAAAAAAATGAAGCTTTGAAATTTAAAATGAAGACATGGCTAGGAGTCGGATACCAGTTGGGAGAAAATCCGATGCATAACTGGAAGGTCCTGGGTTCAAATCCCGGTCTGGACTATCCATTTTTTCGGTAAAAAAAATTCTATTGAGTTATTTATATTGAGAGAACAATCCCGGTATCCCTCCTGCCTCATCCAAATCCCATCCAATCATTTCCCATGACGTCACAAAGTTGTGGCACGCTGAATAAATTCCCTTCTTTAATGTAAAAATACGTAGAGCTCTTACTTTTTGCAAGACTAGAGTCCTCTGAGTGTACGTCCTGTAATCGAACTCAGTGGTACACCTGATAGACATATTTTCGTACGTAAAAGTCTCCTTCATGGTAGGGAAGTACTGATGACACTTCTCCTTGTTCTTCTCCACGAGCTGCGTCAGCATGACGATGAGCTTAACGTCGTATTGATCGACCATCCTCCAGAAGTCGTAGGTCGTCTCCTCCTTGGGCCCCTGGCAGGCAATGTACTCCTCCTCCCCACTGCAGCCTTTTATGAACGACGCATTTATGTAGTCGCTGTTGGGATCAGTGTCGATTTGCTCTAATTTCACTCTGGAGAAATCATCTAGGGGAAAAATCCAACGAAATCGTTAAAGACAATTAGAGGGTATTAATGAAGCGTCAGGAGAGTGGAAAAACACAGATAAAATGTCTTACATGGTAGAATATCAGTGTAACGATTTTTCTTTCTATTCGCCTGGAGACATGCGGCGTTTGTCGGCATCTGAAGGTCGACGCTGAGGGTCTGGAGCAACTGGAACTCATTACTGAGCTTACCGGGGTTATCCGCGAGCTGTTGACAGTGAGTGATGAATTTTCGTCTCGTGAATGGCGCAGGGACCGGTGATCCTGGCATGTCCGAGTGGAGAAATCTCCTCAAGACCCTAAAATCCGAGAAATAATTCATTTCACCATTTTCATATTTGTGTCATTTTCTACCAATTATTCCGGAAATCTGGGAAGAGATATTCCAGGAGCCCACGACACGTTTCTTTTTCTACTCATCCAATACAAAATTCCACTTCCACTTTCTCATGTCAATCGTTATCATGTCAATTTTTAATCATTTTTTTGTTTTTTATCTCATGAAGGAATGCATCATTCATTTGACTTAAGACCCTGAAATTCGAGAAATTACTAATTTTACTATTTTCACAATTGTGTCATTTTCTCATTTTGTTCCTCAATGTTGTCATTTTCAATTATTTCAGAAATGTGGAAAGAGATATTCGAGGAGCCCACGACACATTTCTTTTCCACTCATCCAATATGAAATTCCACTTCCTCAAATTGTGATTATCACTCTTGTTATCATATCAATTTTTAATCTTTTTCTCGTTTTTTTCTCATGAACGAATGAATCATTCATTCGATTTAAGACCCTAAAATCCGAGAAATAATTAATTTCACAATTTTCCCAATTGTGTCGTTTTCAACCAATTATTTCGAAAATTTGGGAATAGATATTCGTGGAGTCCACGACACATTTCTTTTCTACTCATCCAATACGAATTCCGACTTCCTCCAATTGTGATTATCACTCCTCCTGTTATCATGTCAATTTTTAATCTTTTTTTTGTTTTTTTTCTCATGAACCAATGAATCATCATTTGGTTTAATTCCATAAAATCCGAGATAGTAATTAATTTCACCATTTTCACATTTGTGTAATTTTCTACCAATTATTTCGGCAATGTGGAAAGAGATATTTGAGAAGTCCACGGCACATTTCTTTTCTACTCATGTAATAAAAAAATCCACTTCCTCAAATTGGGATTATCACCCCTGTTATCATGGCGATTTTTAATCTTTTTCTTGTTTTTTTTTCTTCATGAACGAATGAATCATTCATTCGGTTTAAAACCCTAAAATCTGAGAAATAATTAATTTCACTATTTTCACATTTGTATCATTTTCTACCAATTATTTCGGAAAACTGGGAAAAGATATGCGAGGAGTCCGCGACACATTTCTTTTCAACTCATCCAATACGAAACTCAAATTGTGATTATCACTCCTTGTGATTACCACTTCCTCAAATTGTGATTATCACTCTTGTTATCATATCAATTTTTAATCTTTTTCTTGTGTTTTTTCTCATGAAAGAATGAATCATTCATTCGGTTTTAAACCCTAAAATCCGAGATAATAATTAATTTCACTATTTTCACATTTGTGTCATTTTCTACCAATTATTTCGGAAATCTGGGAAAAGATATTCGAGGAGTCCACGACACATTTCTTTTCAACTCATCCAATACGAAATTCCACTTCCTCAAATTGTAATTATCACCTCCTCCTGTTATCATGTCGATTTTTAATCTTTTTTTTTGGCTTCTTTCTCGTGAACGAATGAATCATTCATTTTCATATCACGGTTTATCAATTTTCTTGTGAGCTTGGGAAGAAATATTTTTCAGGTGGATAAAATATTTAGTTTCTACGCATCCAATATGAAATTCCACTTCCCCATATTACCAATCTTTTTATTTTTCGATTTTTTTAATCTTCATTTTTTGAAATCACCAATTTCTATATCACAGTGTATCAATTTTTTCGCGTATTGGGATGAAATAGTTTTCAAGCGCACGACACATTTTGCTTCTACGCATCAAATCCAAAATTCCACTAACGATTTTTCAATCATTTTTCCTCTTTCTTTCGTGTTTTTCCTCATGAACAGATGACAATCATCTTTCACTGCGTTCGTTACATCACATTTTATGAATTTCTCCGTGCATTGTACAGGGAATTATCTGATGAACTCACTGTACGATTCGTTTCTACGCTTCAAATAAGAAATTTCAGTGTTTGAGAATCTGATTTAGTTTTTCATATTTTTTGCTTTTTCTTGTGATAATCAATTTCCGATAGGTTCATTCAATCACATTTCAATAATTTCCCTGAAAATTTGAGAAGAAATACATATTCCATGGAACGTCTACACAATTCATTTCTACGCCTCAAATAGGAAATTCCAGTTGAATAATTAACATCTTTAGTTTCAATTCTTTTTCACAAATTTTTCCTTTTGAACAGATGAAAACAATTTTTCGTTTTGTTCATCACATCACATTTCCGTATTTCTTCACAAATTAGGGAAGAAATATTTCAAAAATTCACCACACAACTTGTTTTCGCGCATCGAAAACAAAACATGTTAAAATTCAAATTTTTCATGTTTCTTCTCATACTTCTGGGTAACTCTTCTTGTAAAAAATGAAAATTATCCTTCAATTCACCACTTGTTGATACGCACTTGTTAACGATGGCGAAAATGGATTCATTGCCGTACTGTTTCTTGGAGTTCATCGTACCCCGAGACTCTTCCAAAGCACCGGTATTAGAAAATGCCGAGTGTTGTCTGAATGACTGACTGCCAGGAAATGACGGAAATAAAAAAGAGGAAGAGGACGATGGAGAAGTTGAATCAGAAAGCGATACACCACCCGAGCATTCGCTGAATATAAGAAGTAACAGGGTCGTGCGCCACTCGTGTGTAGTTGCCGAAAATAGCACCGAAGGGTGTGTTAAAAATAAAAGACAGGATTTCTCTCAGCACACGATTATTGGCTTCTGATAGTAGACGAGACCGGGAAGAGACTGAGGGGATTCGCGGGTCTGCATTCGCACGTGATTTGGAACGCAGTGAGTCGACCTTGCCACCTTTCATCCAATGTGTATGTATGTGATATAGTCTTCCCAGTGAGTCACGTAAAAATATTGATTATTCTCCATAAAACGTACCACGTGGGTATGTAAACAAGTGTGACGAAGTTGTTGAGCTAATCGATTCGATTCCCTCATCTTTCAATGTTGTTTTGCCAATATCATTGCACGAAAATTGTTTACTGTGGTAGTAGTTGTCGGGGAAACACACGACTATTGGAGCGAAGATATTCTTAGAATTGAATTATTTATGCGAATCGATTAGACGTAGAAGGAGGAAAATCATGAAAAATTTATGATGAATGAATTTAGTGACTTGATCGACGCGAGGGTGGGTCTTTGGGAGCGCGGATGAAAACATTTAATAAAAAAAACCTAGCGCTATCTCTGAGAAATTCTAAAGAATTTCTATGGGAATTCTATAAGAATTCTCTTCAAATTTTATTAGAACTCTATTTCTCTCTGCTCCGATTCTGTAGGAGATTATACAACTTTACTGTGTCATTTTATTAAGAGATATTTGATAGCAAATGTCCATAGGTTTTTAGTTTTCTATAGAAAATTCTTGGGCGTAAGTTTTTTCGCTGTATTTTTATTTGTTTCTCATAATAAAATCTAAGGAAAAAAATTATAAAAATTGTATAGAAAAATTAACATTGAAAAATTAACATGAATCAACGGCTAACTCTCGCCATCTTAGAAATTGATCTCGATTTTTTCTACGATTGGGGGAGTAGAAAAACTATCAATTTTTTTCAGATTTTTTTTTCAACCCCTAAGTGCTCATAATACCGAATTTTCGAAAATAAAATGTTGAAAAACTTGAATTTTTTAAATTAGGTTACGTTTTATTTTTCTCATCTTTTTTTCAGTAACTCTTGTAATCAATACAAGTATTTTGAGCTGCCATACAAGTTGGGTTTCGTCCTGGATCTATTTTATTATCATTTTTTTTTTCTTGAAATTCCACGAATTTGGTGAAAATACCCCAAAAAGGCGTTGATTGACTTTGACTATAAACAGTATGAGTGAATTTAAAAGTATACTTATATGTTAGATATTTTTTTGATACATAATCGAAGTCGTGGGGCGTTTTGACCAAATTCGCAAAGTTTCGACAAGAAAAAATGGAAAATAAAATAGATCCAGGAGAAAACCCAACTTGTATAATGGCTCAAAATACTTGTTTTGATTACAAGAGTTACTGAAAAAAGGATGAGAAAAATAAAAGGTGACATAATTCTGAAAATTCAAGATTCAAGATCTTTTTTTTTGAAAATTCGGTATTATGAACATCTAGGGATTGAAAAAAATTACCCAAAATCTTCTTATAGATAGTAGAAAATGGAAAATTTTGAGCCATCATAAATTGAAATCGGCTATCTAAAAAATCTGAAAAAAATTAAGAGATAGTTTTTCTAGCCCCCACAGATGAATCGTAGGTATTCATTTGGCATGAAATATCTCATAGACATCTTTCTATAAACATATCTATTTAAAAAATCGCGAGTACGTTCCATAATCTTTAATAGAATTGGCGCAAAAACCAGTTACAGACTTTTCTAACAGAATTTTTATATAGTTGCATTAGAAATTCATTAGAATTTTCTAGTAAATGCGCAGATATTTCTAAATTAATGCATTTCATTTCAACTAAACTCCAGAATTACAGGAAATTTATAAAATAGAGTACTTACGCTTGAACAGAGCATTTCCGTACCAACAGCATCAACGTCGTCAGAATCCCAAGAAACAAAATTCCGAATATTATTCCAATGACTTCTGCCACTCTCATTTCAGCATCTGGTGGAAAGATATTCTGGTTTCAACATCAATATTCACATGCAAGAGGGATAAATTGGGAATTTATCGATGGGACAATGAACCCACTTGTTTTTACAGTGAATATAGTCGAGTCTTGATATCCGCCGTTGGTGAAGGCCCGCATCCTCACATCGTACCAGGTATCTGGTTCCAGGGGCCCATTGCAGTAGGATCTTTGTTGGCTATTTGACGAGAGCTTCGGGCAATTCTCGGTATCGTCTCCCAGGATGTATTTGACGGCTTTCAAGTTACCGTAGTCGACGATGTAGGCTGGAATAACGTTGGGCATAAGTATTACGTGACTGATAGTTGATTTTGGGAAAGATGTATACGAGGAAATCATAATTTACAAATGAATTATTACATAATAATAATCCGATAAAATTTTTAGTCTCCAATTCTCAATTTCTGTCATTTATGCTATTCATTTTATCAATAGACAAGAATAGAAATCGAATTTATGAGGACTCTGCTATTATTCGAAAAAATATATGAGGTATTCCATGCCAAATGAGTCAACGGTTAACCCTCACCCTCTTGAAAACTGATGGCGATTTTTTCTACGATTAGCAGGCTTGAAAAACTATCTCTCAAATTTTTCAGATTTTTTTGACAGCCCAGTTTGGAAATATGTTTTTTTTTCAAATTGTTCGGTTTTTTTACAATAACTCGAGTTCTACTCATCCGATTTCGATTTATTAGGGGGCAAAATTTTCCATTTTTCATCACCTATGACAAGGTTTTTTTCCAATTTTTTCCAATCTTCAGATGCTCGAAATAACGAATTTTCGAAAACAAGAGTTGAAAAACTAGAATTTTGTCAATTACGTCACGGTCGATTTATTAATTTTGTTTTCAGTAATTTTTATAATAAAGACGAAAATTTTGAGCCATCATACATGTTGGGTTCCATCCAGGATCTATTTTTTTTCAATTTTTTCTTTTTAAAATTGCGAAAATTTGGTGAAAACACCTTAAAACGACTTTAATTATGTATCGAAAAAATATATAATATATAGGTATATGTTTAAATTTACTTCATACTGTTTATAATCAAAGTCAACAAATGACATTTTGGGGTATTTTGACCGAATTCGCGGAATTTTGAGAATAACAAAATTGAAAATAAAATAGATCTAAGACGAAACCCAACATGTATGACGGCTCAAAATTTTTGTTTTGATTATAGGAATTACTAAAAAAAGGAATTAAAATAACCAACCGTGACGTAATTAGCCAAATTCAACTTTTTTTTGCGAAAATTCGTTATTTCGAGCATCTAGAGGTTGGAAAAAATTTGGACAAAAAAACATTCTTATAGGTGGTGAAAAACGGAAAATTTTGATCCCTAATAAATCAAAATCGGATGAGTAGAACTCGAGTTATTGTAAAAAAATGAACAATTTGAAAAAAACAAATATCTCCGAACTGGACTGTCAAAAAAATCTTAAAAAATTTAAGAGATAGTTTTTCAAGCCCCCCAATCGTAGAAAAAATCGCCATAAATTTTCAAGAGGGTGAGGTTCAACCGTTGACTCATTTGGCATGGAATACCTCATATCGATTTTAAAACTTTCCGGCGACATTGAAAAATTAATTTTGTTAGTTCTTGCCGCCCACTGTTTTTTGCATTTTTTGAATTTCTTCTCGCTGAAATATTGATATTTTTTTAATACTTGAAGAAAAAAGTGATTCGAAGTTCCCGCCGACGTAATAAAAGGAGAAAAAATCAATTTTCTAGCCGATTATCCCTTTATAATTCTTTTTTTATTTCCTTTTGCATAATAATAATTGAAATCCGACCATAGGAATGAGGAGTACCGATATCCCTTTATCATATGATTGGAAAATACATTTCCAAAATTTTCAAGAATACATGGAGAGATTTTTCTATTATCCGAATGAGATTTTGAATAACTTTTGTTTTGTGTTTTTTTACCACAAAAAGACATTTTTCATTGATCTTTAACATATGGGACATTCCATGTCAACTCAGCCACACCGGATTTTTTTTTGTCTGGGAATCATTGAGGAGGTGCATTTTGAACTACTACATATAGCCAGTGATCATGCAAAATTTCATTGCCCTGCCACTTTTTGTTTCTGAGATAATAATTACGAAACTTGAAATTAAAAAAAAATCATTACTTCTGAATGGAGCATCCGATTTTGATAAATAAAAAAAAAAAATTCGTTTAAAAATATTTCAGAGCCGTCAATAAGCTCCTAGACCGGTTTTTCGAGAATTTTTCGCGTTTTCATTTTTTTTTCACTCTAGGGCCGCTCGATATTCGATCGAAATATTTTTTTTATGATAGAGGATGACCTTATATGATATGAAAAAAATACGCCATAATGGAAGAGCGAAGCAATGCACCGGAAATTTTTTTTTTTAATTTTCGGGTTTTTCAGTTTTTAGGGGAGATCCATCGGTTTTTTTCAAAGAAATCAGTCTGTCAACTATTATTCTTTGTTCATATATGATGGCAAAAGAGTACGCCATCATGTAAGAGTGAAAGAATGCTCCGAAAGAAAATTTTCTTCGAAATTTTTACGTTTGTCTATTGTTTAGGAGAGTCGCATTATTGTTACTGAAAAAGGGGTTTGTCAATAGACATTTTCTGTTCTGCTGGATAGAATAGACTATTGATACGACTATAAATCTTTTCTCAACAACACACTGTGCTTTCCACTAACGAAAAAGTATGGGAAAAAAACAATTTTTATTCTTCTATAACGACAAAATTTTATATTTTCACATTTTTACATTTTTACAATATGGAGAAATTCTCCACTCTCTTCGACGAGAAGTTCTAACATGCACTGATGAATTATTTACATCGCGATTACTGTCTTCTGCGGGTTTTTCGTTTTGTTGTTGTTTGTTTTTGCTTTGGGAAAACCTCCTCGTTAGCCGAAGCCGAATATCGTTTAATTAACATTGGCTCTCCCGGTATCGGAATAAAACAATGGTGTTTTTGAATGGCTGGAATAGCTTTGGCACTATCAAATCTCTCGCTCAACTCAGTTTTGATATTCTCGTGTTCTGCCTTGGTGAAAAAAAACATCAATTCCTTCAAAATTCTCTTTTGACCATCGAAACAAAGCATCTGACGTGAAGATTGGTTCACCATGAACGATTGGCAAGCTCTTACGTCTCGCTTCTCTCTTAAAGACAGCTCCTACTCCCTCACAAGCTCCTTTACCGTGCGCAGTTGCATGAAAATGGGCTTCCGCATCTATGCCAAAATCAGTCTTGTGATGCAAGAGATTCGTGATCTGAAAACGATTCTTGTAATGTTGTGCAGCTCCATCGGTGACATGGATAATTTTTTCCACGCTTTCACAGTTGTCTTTCACATGCTGTATTAAAATCTTCTGTATCAAATAAACAGCGGCAATATCATGAGTCGTACTATCCGACAAAACGACTACACTCCGATGTTGGATTTCATTTTTTTCGCGATAGTAGTAAACAACGGGTTGAACTGTACACTGGTCATTATTGTAGTGGAAGGATTGAGCAGCATCTTGAGCCACAAAAGCGTAATTTTCCGAAAAATCACAATGCACTAGTACTTCTCCATTATCCAAATTCTCTTTTCGCGGTTTGACAAAAGCCCATTGTTCTTTAGCGATGAAGTGATGGGGCTTCAATACTATCAATCGTTCCATTAGAAGATCAATGAATTCATCCATCGGGAGGGTCTGTGTCTGCAAGGTACACCTGTCAGTACTTTGCCACACGCGTAATTCGACCATTTCCACGACAGAATCAGAGAGAAGTTTCTTCAGTTCACATGATAATGATTTCACTCCAGGACAATCGTTACATTCATCCAGATGACAGGCCGGGGTTGGATTTGTACATATCAATTATGCTACACAATCTTTGTAATCTCTGAGTAGACAGGGGGAATCTTGAGTTAGAGTCGCAATATTAATTGCCTCTAGCATCAATTTGCAATTTTGATGATACGTACAAACACATACCACGTGAGTGCCATTTGCTCCCGCCACTAGACATTGTTTAGGTCTCAGCTCGGCAAACTTACTGAAACCGACCTTAGCATCTTCATTCGCATGTTTGTACTTCCGATGAAGGACTTTTAGATTTTCGAGTATCATTCGCTTTTGCTCTACTTTCTTCTCTCCATTGATCTTGATGGATATTTTATCTTTCATTCCTGGCATGACGCGACTGTGCTCTAGGTAAAAATTGTGTACCTTCTCGACGGTTGTGCTGGGTAGTGAATGACCTGCTTTCGCAATTGGTGAAGCAAACACTCCTTTAATTTTTCTCAATTTTTTCGCTCTTGACGCCATGTATCTGGTAGTTACAAATTCAGAAGTAATTTTCCGCTCACTTCACGACTGTGGATGAACCGTCAAGATTTGCAGGCGCTCACGGTAGTTTTTCAGATCTTTGAATTTCTGCTTCAAACCATCCAACATTTCTTCTAATTCTATTTCTCTCGCAGATCGATACTGCTTAGATGAAGATGGATCAATGTCACTTTGGTCATCTTCCGAATCATAATCCATGGAAGAACTGTCGAATTCAGCTTCATCGTCTGGTTCGTCGTCGATTGATATGCCGGAATCATCAAGATGGAAAGATCGACCTGATCTCAGAGAACTGTTCATCACATCCAGACTTGGGTCACATGTTTCGGCTTGGAGCATTGATATATCGGGTGGAGTTTCCGAACGCTGAAGATGTGTAGCATTAAGTTTAACCGTGGGGACAGATGGAGGAATGACATAAGTTGGAGCTCTCGTTCGGCATTGACCACAGATTTTCGCAGATAATGGTAAAAAAGGAAATTTCTTGTGTGGTGTCAAGGAAATCGGTAGTAAATAATAACCGAGGTGTCCCTTCTCACCAGGAGCCCACATTGGATTTGCAGATCTATCACTCCGCGGCATTCTATGAAATCCGAAGATATCAATTCCGAGAAGAAAGATTATTTCTATATAATCAACATGAAAATTCCTTACTTCGTTGCAAGAATAGACTAAGATAGGAGCTCGGTAATCCATCCACAGAGAATCGTATGGTGATAAAAAATCAATCGAGAAATTGAGGTTTTTTTCTAGAATTAAAGCCTTGGAACCGACTGATGATGATAATAGTATATTTCAGCACGTGTGGGGCAATTTCGTCTTTAACGTGTGTGGGGTTTACAGCATGAGCCGAAGGCGAGTGATATAACCACACACGTTAAGGACGAAATTTCCCCACAAGTACTGAACAAAATTTTATGTCACGAAGCCTGAAACCTAGGAGACGCGAAGCGTCGAGTGTGTAATCCAGCCGGTTTCAGGCATGAGTGGCATAAATCAATTAATTGATTCCGTTTGTTGCTTCCTCTCATTTGTTTGATCATAATTTAGCAAACTTCCGATGATGATAATGTTCAATTCAATTATCTACCCTTCCAGTAAAAATTTCGACGAAAATTTTTTTTTTCGGCGCACGCTTTCTCCGTTACATGATGGTGTAGTCTTATGTCATCATATATGAAAGAAGAATAATGGTTGACAGACTCATTTCTTTAAAAAAAAACCGACGGATCTCCCCTAAAAACTAAAAAACCCAAAAATTTCAAAAAAAAATTTTTTTTTCCGGAGCATTGCTTCGCTCTTCCATTATGGTGTATTTTTTTCATATTATATAAGGACAGCCTCTATGATAAAAAAAATATTTCGATCGAATATTGAGCGGCCCTAGAGTGAAAAAAAAATGAAAACCCGAAAAATTCTCGAAAAACCGGTCTAGGAGCTTCTTGACGGCTCTGAAGTATTCTTTATCTTGAAGTACAAGAAAAAACAAAAATTTTCTTTTTTTATTTATCAAAATCGGATGCTCCATTCAGAAGTAATGATTTTTTGAAAATTTCAAGTTTCGTAATGATTATCTCAGAAACAAAAAGTGGCGGGGCAATGAAATTTTGCATGATCACTGTCTATATGTAGTAGTTCAAAATGCACCTACTCAATGATTTTTCCCAGACAAAAAAAAATCCGGTGTGGCTCAGTTGACATGGGATGTCCCATATGTCCTCTTCATTCAATGTTTCAACTTGCGAATTAAGGCAAAAATATATATAATAAGAATAAGAATGGATACAATTAAATTAATCTAATTAAGAAGATAGAAATGGAAAGAAAATAAATTAAAATAAAGTCAGTAGCGAAGTGGTCAAACGGTTTAAGTCAATTTAGTTTTTGGTTGAGTTTTCCAAAAATATTTCTGAATTTAAGGGAGACAGCGAAATTGTCATAACAACCTTTTTTGTAGAGCGAATTGAGTGCTACTAAAAAGATTGTGCGAAAAATTTTGCTATCTCCCTTAGATTTCGTGATATTCATTAAAAACTGGCCAATAACCAAAATCGACTTGAACCGTTTGACCACTTCGCTACTGAAATAGTATAAGTTAATCTAGCAACAGGCGCGATGCCCGATAGTTAATTAATTGGAAGGAATAGTATATTTCTAACCTAGGGAGGCGAAATAAAGGATCCTCAGCCGCCAGTGCAATTACCAGGCGAGCCGAAGGCGAGGTTGGTAAGCACGCGGCTGAGGGTCCTTTATTTTACTTCCCGTGGTTAGAACGCGATTTTCCATCTCGGCGTAGGCGCAAAGTCAGAGTTCCCTCCCGCAAAGCGGGAGGGAAATGTAACTTTGCGCCCGCCGGGACGGAAATATTTTTTCGCCCCGGCGAGCGCAAAGTATGCATTTTGCTCCCGCTTCACAGGTCTGCTTCCTTCTAAGGGAAATCTGACGTTACGTCTGCACCGAAGTGAAAAATACACCAAGAAAAAAATACGTTTGCCAAGGAATCGCTTTCTTGGACGAAGAATTTATTTTCTCGCGAGCGTATTTCTCCAGACAGTCATTCCCAAGTGGTCGAAGTCCATCGCAAAACATGCAACATAAGCATTCCATAATTCAACATAATTGTAATATTTGGAGATGGACTTGGATCACCTGGGAATGTCTTCCCTGAAGAAATACGCTCCTAAAAAAATAAATTCTTCCAAGAAAATTATTTCTTGGCAAAAGTAATTTTTTTCTCAGTGTACGGTTCCAACCACGGGAGGTAAAATAAAGGACTCTTACCCGCATGCACACCTCCTTTATATATTTATGATTTCTCTCCGAAGAAAAAAACAGAAAATGTGTCGAATTTCAATAGAATCAAACTAATAGAATTTTCAGTAGGAATGGATGATTTTTTTAATTTCATTTCATGATAGGACAATCGATTCCATTTTCAACATCGTGCATTCCTATCAGAAGCCTCTAAAATGTTCTAAGGAATGCAGTAGGTTTTTTTTATGAAATTTTCTTATGAAATTTTGTTTGCAATTTTCTCTACAAAAGTTTGCTCTCTTAGATTTCGACGATGCTCTGAGAATAGATCCTCCGAATTCTTCACTGAATGGAGTGTAATAATTTGTTTAATGAGTGATTTCAGGTGGAAATGCCAAAAAACCTCTCCATACTAGCTAACAAAATTTTCAGTAAAAATGTTTCCTGATGTTTTTGCCCAATATAAGATTTTGTTGAGATAATTCCCTGATTATTTAAACTCCAGATTCATCAATTGAACCAGTTTATCTTTATCAACGGAACATGATTCATTCTGTATCCATTCCACTCGGTGATAAATCCCAAAAGAGCGATAACTCTTGGTGATAACTGTCAGAAATAGAATTATTAAAAACTCATACATACAGGGATCGCCATCACAGAATTTAATCGCTTGATACGGTATCTTAAAATCCTCGGACTTGGATTCCAACCACGAGGGCGTATCAGGCCACTCTCCGTTGATGCGATCATTCCTTGCATGGGTCATGTTATTGTATCCAGATTTGGCAACGATAATTGCGTAGCAGCGGATTTTTCCGTAGGTGTCTGGAAACACTGGCAGAAGGATCGCCGCTGTGGTTGTTGTCCTACGAGCCTTGTACGGATCAATTGTTATCTGAGCGGTGTAATTCGCCTCTGGGAGTGGAGGGACTAGAACACACAAATTAAAAATATTTCATAATGAAAGAATTTTGCATGAAACAAATCCACTATGCGAACAATTAGTGCAACGTTTTCTGTCATCAATCGGTTTTTTCTTACGGCCCAGGTTGATTATCTTTGGAATCTGATCTTAGTTTTTTTTATTTTGATAATCTGCAATGAGGACCAGGCTCGCTAGCCACAGATTCCAACTTTACACTTTTAAAGGCATTTCTCATAGAATTTCACCCTCGAGTTTGTGCGACGTCTGTAATGAAAAAGACTTAGAGACTGTTGCCCACATCTTTACTAAATGCCCTCGCTACATTACTCCGAGAAGTTTTTGGTTGCCTGAATTAACTGAGTCTAACAATAACGAAAACGCAGACTCCCTGATGCTTGATCTCCAAAATTCCTTAACCATTATGTTATGTTGCAATGCCAACCCGAAACACACAGTTACAAGGATTCATCACTTTCTAGGCAATGCCGTGAAGCTTCGCCAGTTTCATAAAGAAACTTAGATTCTTTTTTCTTTTATTGTATAATAAAGTTTGGATTGGGAGTCATGCATACGCCTGTGCCATTACGGATTGTTTGATTATAAATAAATATGAATAGAAATTGGAGGTAAATTGTGGCAATATTATTGATAAGGAATGAATAATTGAATGAGAGTGGTATAGAGATAGAGGGATGATTTGTTTTGTTTAGCATCGCAGTGTTAACGCTTTTTACTTTTTCACTTTTGTCACCAAACTATTGACCCGAATGCTCTCTAATACGAATGCCGTAAATGATTAATCAATCTAATTCACGTCTGTTTTGCGTATGTTCTGATATAAAAGGAGAAATAATGTATTCCACATTGCTATGGGGCATAGACCCTGAAGGACAGTTAATGTAATAAATGAATAAATAAGTAATAAATAATCTGCAATGATCTCCAATGGCTATTCAGTTTTACATAGCCCTGGAGTCTCCTAAAAGTATGATTGTACAATAAAAAAAACGTTGAAAAAAAGCTGAACATTTTCAAAGAGCGTTTTTGAGTAATGATGGGAAATAAAACCAATAAGGAGGAAATTGCAAATTAATAATTTGATGTATCTAATGGCTGTTAGGTCGTCATTTGTCAGTAGTCAATGGCTGTCAGATCGTCAGTTACCATGATAAATTCACTATTTCGTCTCGATCGGACTTATTTCTTAATCGTTATTAAAAACGCTCTTTGAAAATGTTCAATTTTTTTCTACTTTTTTTTTATTGTACAATCATAATTTTTAGGGACTCCCGCGTGATGTAAAATCCAGTGGAAATTGTGATATATTTTACATTATGAAGATGGAAAAACAATCGAGATAACGTTCGAAAGATAGTCCACCCGGGCCTTAAATGGTAATCCTGATGCCTTCATTTTTGTTTATTCCATTTCACCGTATACCTTTCGGTTTTTACGGTTTATTATTCCTTCATCACGTTTTATCTGCATATTTGTTTTCCCAAATGCTCTTTCCAGTTTTTCCAAACAATGTTACTTTCCTGAGGTGTTCCCGCGCGGTCACCCATCCATCTAGTGACCACGCTCAGCGCTGTTTAGCTTCTCAAAGCTAAGCCTGCCCACCACCGCAGTGCGCTAACCCCGTAGGGCGCCTTTATTTTTTGAAAACATACATTGGGATTCATTCGGAAGCCTACTACTAATAAAATTGGTAGAAATGAAAATAGGAGAAAAAAATACGTGGAGAGTAGCATTTCAATTGATGATAGTACTATGACATGAAAAAATAGAAGAGAATAGTGGGATAAGAATGAAAAAAAAGAATCTATTCGGAAGCAAAATGCAACTTGATTAGCGGCAATAACCGTACTCATTTATAACAACTGCAATTATTCACTTATTTTTCAATTTCTCATCATTATACCAATATTTTTCTAATGAAGTCGCACTCTAATCGGGAGCGAGCGACCGACCCTATGGAAGTGATTCAAGAGTAGAATGTCAAAACATCTTTCTTGCAGTCGATAAAATTTAATTAAAAAATATAGTTCTTTGTGTAGCTATCATTTATCATTAGAGCCATTAGAAAAAATTTGCTCCATTTGGTTCATCATAATATAATTGTTTTCTGTAATTAGTTGAATAGGATTATGGAAAGATCATAATGACTTACTTCCCGCAGGGAACATTTTCGAAACAGAATTTGGTTCTCCAAGCTTTGAGTAATCCTTTCCCTTTCCAGTTATGTTGAAGATGTAGGTATATTCCTCCCATAATTTCAATCTCTTCGTGCAGATATCGTTCTTGCATTCATGTAAACTGCTCTCCACTTTTTCTACAAAATTGTGAGGCTTGTAATTCTTCCTCTCACCGATAACTGTGATGTTGTAGTACTCGATTCGCTCTCCATGGATTGAGCAAGGTTTACCCCAAAATAGGGTAAACTCTAAGATATCTGGATCGTTGATATTTGGAACTATTGAGTAGTTGAGGAACGAAACTGGCCCAGGTGCTGCAAATATTGTCATAAATAGCATCGGTAAGGTTTTCATGCAGAGAAAAAATTTCATAGACAAATTAAGTGCATTCCATACAAAATTCTATTGGGCTTCTGCAGAACTTCGATTGGAATTTCTATTAATTTTAATAGAAAATATGTTATAGAAAAATTTACTAGAACCTGATTTTCATATACAACTTAGCCTATTGCGATATTTTTGAAAGTTCTGCGGACTAAATTCCACAACAAACCCAGAGTTGAGTTGAGTATTTTTGAGTTTTATTGTTTGATGTTTCCAATGAGCGGAGAAAAAAAGCTTAGAAAAGATATGATGAAGAATTTATATAGAAAATATCCCAATAGAATAGGCCGTATAGAAAGCCACGATCTATTCAAAGAAAAGTCCAGAATTTCCAACTGAAATCAAATAGAATTTTCTAATAAGGGTGGTGCTTATGTATGCTTTTCTATGAAATTTTTTTATGCGTCTTAATGAATAGAAAAAACTTCCACAGAAAAATCTGGCGCATTTGCTATAAAATCCTATTCGGTTTCTATAGCACTTCAATTGGAAACTCTATTAATTTTAATAGAAAATATTGTATAAAAAAATTTAATGGAACTTGATTTTTATATACAACTTACTCTATTGAGATATTTTTTAAAAAAGTTCTGTGGCCTAAATTTTTCAAATTTTTTTGTTTGATTTCTCCAATGGGAGGAGAAAAAAAAGCTCAGAAAAGATATAATAAGGAATTTATATAGAAAATAAACCGTGATTGTATAGAAAGTCACGATCTATCGAAAAAAAAGTCCAGAATTTCGAATAGAAATCCAATAGAATTTGAAGCTTTTCCATGAAATTTTTTTATGCGTCTTGAAGAGTAGATCGAAAAGAAGGCACAAAACAATAATTTAAGCAACAACAACATACCTCCAGGTCTTGTTTCTACGAAAACCTCTTCACTCCAATTACCCCATCCTGCATTGGTTTTCGCTCTAATCTTCGTTTTGTGCATTGAAAATGGAGTAGCGTTTTGATATTTGTACGAGAACACGTTCCCACCGATCTTCGAAATAGTCTCACTGGTTTCTTTTTGTTCTTCACACCAAGAAGGTAATGTATTATTTGGAGACCAGGCAATGAGTTTTATTTCGAAATCTAGTAAGGTACCAGGGAGCTTCGTCGGTGCTTTCCAATTCAGCACGAATTCGGTATCTTTAAGGTCATTTGATGATAAATTCATTGGTGATGAAGGAACTGAAATTGATGAAATGAAATTTCAAATTACTGTCAATGTTCAATGTGTTATTGCCACTTAAATCCTACTGCGCTGTGTTTAAGGGATAACAGAATGCCCCTAATTTCCCAAATTTTTTAACAAATTTCTTGTCAAAAGTTATGGATAGTTTTATAAATCGAAACACATTAATCTCCAGGAGATGATGATGAAGATCTATGGACTTTGGGTTCGAGAAATAATAATTTTGGGCAAGAAATTGTTTTCAAAATTTCGAGGTAATGGTGACCTATTCTGTTATGCACCTCTTAAGGGTCTAATAAATGCATTTTCTCAATAACGAATCACTTCAAGATACGAAATCGCTATTTCAGAGTGACTTTCAGCATTCACAAGTTGCATTTTTCCATAAAACAAGCTCAATAAATTAATATCTTCTGAAATAAGACAAATTTATATGTGCCAGCTTCTGCCACTTGAATCAAACTAAAAAAATTGAGGAAAGTGGGGCAAAATGAAACAGTCAAAAAAATGACTGACGCAATTCAAGCAAAAAAAATTTTCATTACATTTTTTCCATTCAGTAGAATGGAAAATTATTGACAAGTTTTGACAGGCGAAGATTTTGTCAATGAATTAATTGAAAAGAAACTGAAACAGCAAAATCCAAAGTCTAGAGCAAGGCTCAAGGGGAGACCCAGAGGGGGAAAAAGGAAAATGTGTTGCTGAATTTCAATCGAATAATTCATTGACAAAATTTTCGCTCATCAAAATTACTCAATAATTTTCCATTCTACAGAATGGGAAATTATGATTCTCATCAGTATTCCCAAGAATAAAGAAAAGTTGACGAATAATAATTCATAGAAAATTTTTTTTTGTTTGAATTGCGTCAAACATTCGTTTTTTGACTGTTTCATTTTGCCCCACTCTCCCCTACGTGTTCCAATTATTGCCACTCTTCGGAGCTAGTTTATGCCACGTAGGAAAAGAACTCGCAAGAGTAATATCAACAGAAATTTGTTTGCTTGAATTGAGCCAAATAGTCGTTTTCTGGCTGATTTATTTTGCCTCATGTTTCATTTTGCCCCACTCTCCCCTCATTTATTCATTTAGCCACTATCCTGTAAGTATTTGGTCAAATTAAGTAAATATTGGGCGCAGCTATAGTATAGACACTTTTTCACTCCATTACGAAATTCCTGAAGAACAAATTTGATAATTATTACCTTCTTCCTTAGTTTCTACAGACACTTCTGAGCTCTCGCCACTCATCCCCTGAGAGTTTCCAGCAGAAGCGTAGCAACTATACAGCGTGAAGGGGGACAAATCCTCTATTTGAACCCTTTCAAGGACACTTTTTGTTCCATTTTTTATTACTTTCTCGGTAGTTCCATTCAACCCGTCATACCCATGTCCCCGTACCTGGGTAAAGTTGCATCGAAAGATTAATATTGTATCTTCACAGTTATTGTCCTCGTTTGTGTAAACTCGCCACTGCATCGATATTGCGTGATTTGTGATGATAGGGTCATGGGGGAGTCCTGGTGGATTTAAGACTGCTGGAAATGTTCGGTTGGATTGAAACACCTCGGGGGTACTCTCGTTGTAGCTGGTCACTGGAATGATGGTGACTTCGTACACTCGGCATGATTCCAGCTTGTGAAATATCGTTTCGTTCCCTGTGACGGTCTGAGTAATTTTGGAACTGCCATTCAGGGATAATGTCACTCTGTAGTGATTTACGCAGGTGGTGCCGACTGGAGATGTCCAGAAGACCTGCAGAGACTGCTTCCCTGCTTCTGACCATGCTGGAGATGGTTGCCCAGGTTCTGCGCGACATATTTTTGTGGATTAATTCATTTCAGCGAATTTCATGAAATTCATTCATTATCGAGATAATATCGCAGGTGATGAAAACGTTAAAATCTCTTGTTGAGTTTGAAAGGAGGCGTCGAAAGGCTTTTTTTCATAAAAGTTTTTCTGGTAACATCTCTCATTATGGAGATAATTTCATATTCAACAGAAATTATGAATGGCAATTTTGGGATTCTTTGTTAAAGATGATGAGTATTTATCACAACAAGTCATTTTAGAAAACATGTAGAAATTTTTCTACAACAAAGTTCTCTTAAGGGGAGACGGAACCCCTTTGTCTACATCAAATCTTAGAATTGTGTTTTCTCCTACAATTATTAACTTCTATCTATGAAATTACTTTATCGACTCGATTATCACATTGTTGAGTCAATTAAGTAGTTGAATAAATAAAAAATAATAAGTACAGGAGAAAACACAATTCTAAAGATTCATATAAACGCAGGGGTTCCGTTTCCCCTTATAGAGCTGCGGGACACCCCCAAAAAAGCGCTTCTAAATCGACCAATCGACCACTCGCGTACTAATGTGTAATTTTTTTTTAATCAATAGAATATGACCACGGAACGTTAGCTAAGCAATTTTTAATTGATTTTAAGCATTGGAACCCTTCTAAACATCATCCAATGAGGTGGGGTATGCACCGTAGTCTGTAGGCTGGAACTAATGATCCCGCATCAATTTCGGAATCGCCGAGTTTCATGAAATTTATGTTTTTTGGGTCAAGGATTCCAAATTTATCGGTTATTTAAAAAGAAAACAAGCGTTCTATTTGTTATTAACAATTTAATTGTTCAAATCGTCCTATCACCCAAACTATGGGAGATATACGAAAATTTCCAAATCATAAATTATCTAGAATTGAATAAGGAATAATCTTTGTTTATTGTCAATTTTACGTATCTCTTTTAGCTTCTGAGATATGAGCAATAAAGTAGTTGCGCGACCCGACACAGCGCTCTTACGCAACTCTTTCATTACTCATATCTCGAAATCTAAAGGAGATATGTGAAATTGACAGAAAACCAAAATTATTCTTTATTAAATTCTAGATAATTTATGATTTGGAAATTTTCGTCTACCTCCCATAGTTTGGGTGACAGGACGACTTGAACAATTAAATTGTTAATAACAAATGGATTCCAATGCCTAAAATCAATTAAAAATTGCTTAGTTAACGTTCCGTGATCATATTCTATTGATTGAAAAAAGAATTACGCATTAATACGCGAGTGGTCGGCACATGTCTGAAAATCGGGAGTGTCCCGCAGCTCTATTAACGCAACCTCCCAAATTTTGCCATTATTGAGAGCATCACGAATTCAATCGTAATGTTGACGAAAAGGAACTGTTGAGATTTTTTTCTTGAAGATCATCGACATTTAAGACTTTTTGATTTACACTGTTAAAAATTTTTGTCTGAAATTTTCAGTGCAGTTTGTGGAAATTTTTATCGAATTTAATTATCACAGAAATTTCAAGAAATTTCGTCATTGAAAATTCAGAATTTAGTGGAAAAATCAAAGAGAACTGTAGATTTCACTTCTACAGGTCCTCGTGCTGCGCACCCGGGATTTTTAGCCTGCAAAACTTGACACTTTCATTTGTTTGCAACGAAGCTATCGGAAAATATTCCGATAATTTTGAAGGTCTCGGGGTATTATAACTGAGAATTGCCTAGAATTTTAGTAGAATCCCAATAGAATTTCTAGAGAAATCCAATAGAATGTTTTAGCGAATTCGCTAAGTTTTTCGGTCGAATTTTTTAATCATTAAAAACCTATTAATCGGGTTGAAAAGTATAGGCCCTAAGCTTTTTGTCGCAGAACATTTCTGAACATCGGTAACAATTTTTCCCCTCAGAAATGCATTCTAGAAACCCCAAATAATCATAGGAAAGATAAAGTGAATGCGTTGGGTTATAATCTTACGTAAGAAATTAGTTTCAGAATCGATACTGGTGCTTCCATACTCCACAGCCTTTCCATGCACTGAAACAGTGAAATTATACTTTCTGCATGGAAGTAGCTCAGAGGCATTGTACGAAGTCTCGGTGACGTCCACTGACGTGCAGTTGTTGGAATCACATCGGCCAACAATGTACTTGTCTACGCAATCATTGTTGGGCAAATTCCATCCGATTTTTAGCCAGTCAGTGCCCCTGGCTGATACCTTGAGATTCAGGGAGTCATTTTCCACTGAAATGAACGACCGAAGTCAACGAGATTATCAATGATGAAAATCAACAAAACAAATTCCAATATTTCTTATCTAGAGATACTATCGATTGATCGATCAATTTACCTTTCAATCTAGTGGAATCAGAGACTACCCGTTGCTGCTCTTTGCCGTTCTCTGTGTAAGGTGTTACCCTGACGTCGTACTTGGTGCAGGGCTGAAGGTCAACGATGGTGTGATTGAATGTCTCGTTGGAGCTTCGACAGGCTATTTCTCCAGAGGCGCCACTGCGACTCCATGCAATGATGTAGAACAAAACAGTGATGTTGCTGGTTGGTGGCTTCCAGGCGACTGTTAAAGATGTTTCGGTCGAGTCTGTGATGGTGGGGTCACTCGAGCCATCATCTGTGCAAGTAAAATCAATTGAGATTATGAAATTCGGGAATATGATTTTAACGGAGGAACGGAGTACATAAAAAATTCGATAGAAACTTTTATTGAAAATTTTAGTAGGTTTTTTACGGATTTCTCTTGCAGTTCTGCAGCTTCCCCATGGGTTCTTTTCAAGGTAATACAATTGTTCTATTCAATTCAAGAATATTAAATAAGGGAAAAATCAATCAATTGTCACTGAACTTGAAATCAATTGATTGTTTGCTTCCGAATGGAAACTTTGCAATCCTTCAAATTTAAGTTTTGGATTTTTCTTGTTATATCGATCCATAATGATCCAAAAATTCAGAAAATTGAATTTTTAGACCGTGTCCGTACGTACGTATATGCGTACGCATGTAAACAAATTTTTCTTCGATTGTTCGCTAATGAATCGATGGAATTGAATCTTTTTTTTCCTCAAATGTAGGTATCGTTGAGCCCTACCAATCGCCATTAATTCAAATTTAATTCATTTATTAATTTTTAAAATTTTTCCGAAATTGTTTTTTTTCACGATAACTAGAAAAAATGTTTTGAATTGATTGAATGGTGGCTTAAAAAATTCGTTTGGATGTCCTTTTGAGCGAGTTAGAAGATGAAGGTGACAGCAATAATCGTTATTTTGATTTATTTGAAAATTGGTAAAAATCCTGTATTTTTTGAAAATCTGAATTCCCGGGATATCTTTGAATCTCAAGCTTCAAATGAATGCAATCATTGCTTAAAATGTTTGTTTTAATGCCATTAATTCAAAGGGATAATAAGAATAATGGCTGATAACATTCGACTAAGTTGAAAATCTGACAAAATTAGGTAAAAGGAAATTTATACAATTTATTTAAATGAAATAAACAATGTATTATACATAATAGACGGAAATGATGTGCAAAATAACCATTCGGAAGCATATTGCTAATTGATTAGCAAAAATAACTATACTATATGCACTACAAGAGCAATTTCCCACTTGTTTTTTTATTGAATAAAAAAACCGTGCGGAAAACTCTAGAATTTTTAACGAAAATCAACAAGAAATTCGGAATTTGCGATAGAATTCTCTAACGAATGCACTTGAATTTTCTGTCGGATGTTTATATTCATGAAAGGACGGATGAATTCTCGAATTTATGAAATTAGTAGATTCAGAGGTAAAAATGAAATAATCTCTTTGTGGACCTTCAAATTCGTTACAAAACACCTCTTCTTCTAGGTATTTGCGCGTAATAATTTGCGAATGTTTACCTCATAAATTCGTGATTGAGTAATTGATCAATTTATAGAACGGTGAAGGAAAATTCATTTCGCAATTATCTCTGAAATTTATAGGTTACAGAAAATATTAAAACACGCTTCTTGTACCTTGAAATTCTGTTCGAAGAAGGTCTCTCAATAAGTTCTTTGAACCATTCCCATTCGCAGATATTTTCGGAGTAATGCACAAATTTTGAATCACTTTCGAAAACTACAATCCGGGAAGTATGGATGGGGAAATTATTCTACAAATATATCTGAAATTAGTAGATTCAGTACAGGGAAAATTCCGGAGACCTTTTGTGCGGCTCTTGAAATACTCTGCAAAAAACTCTGCAGGCCTTTTGAAATTTTCATTTCATTTCGTTTCTCTTCTAACTGTTTAGGAATACATTTCCAAAATGTTTGAAAAAAAATGTTGAAAATCTGACAAAATTTGGTAAAAGGAAATCTTATTCAATTTAATAAGATGAAATAAACAATGTATTATACATGATAGAAGGAAATTACAGTAGACGCTTCGTATAAGAGGCCTACCCCCACTCTCGGTACTTTTATCCCCTCCCGAATGTATATGTTCCGTGGGCTTCTTCTAACATACCTATGGTCCCGGTCATTTTTCAATGGGAAGAGAGTAGTTAGAAGGATCAAACGGTGTTAACCCTCTAACGTGAAAAGTGTAGTAAAGCGTAGTAGAACGCTCGAATGGAGACGCTGGTATTCCGCTTTGGCGGCCATAGAGTGGGGATATTGAAATTTACTTTATACGGTTAAGAGTCGAACGGGAGGGACGAACGAAGTGATCATGAGGGTCTAATGACCTTAAGGGGGGGGGGGGGGTCACACCACTTTTCTCAAGTAATGGAAATATACATCGATTTTTTTTCACTTTTCCCATCGACAAATTGTAATTTTTCGTCTGTGATTATTCTCGAGTCCACACAGAAAAAAAAAGTAACTTCACGATTTTTTTTTTCTAGATTCTAGAATCTGCAGTTTAGAACTTGCATTTGGCTAAAATCTAGAAGAGAAAAAAACAATTTTAGAAAATAAATAAATGAAATTAATCAACCAAAAAATGATGGTTTTAAGGCAAAAATATTCTGGAATCTATTGAATTACGGGATTAAGTTCCCCTCATTAGCACATTTTCAAAATGAAAGGCATTTTGGAAATTTTGAATTGAACCTTTGGAAAAAAGGAAAAAAATTGTCCTAAAAGGTTAGGCTCAGACGATTCAGCATCATCTGAAACGTGCAGATTCATACTTCCTTAAAGAAACATTTTTTTTACTTTTTATTTTTACCCAATTTCAAATTTCCAAATTCCCTTTAAAAAATAAAAAAAAAATATCCTCAAAAGTTGGGCTCAGATGATTCAGAATCATCTGAAACGTGCAGATTCACTATCCCCTAAAGTGGACAATTCTTCCTAGAAAGAAAAATATTTCAAAAAATGCAAGTTTAGAATCGAAGTTTCTAGAATCTAGTAAAAAGAGACATGGAATTTATCGGAAGAATTTCAGATTCAAGAAAAAAATGGATGGGAATAAGAATAATACGGATTATTTTTAGAATTTTTTCTATAAAAATAATTCGATATGATGGTTGAGTTTATTATTCTTCGAAGGATAAATTCAACCATGATGAATTGATCCATTTCATGATTTTTGCTTCCGAATGGAAGCTATGTAATTGTAATTTTTTTCATTTCCTAATTTTGGGTGGAAATGCCTAGAAATGTCATGAAACGTGAAGAAATGATGTTTTTAAAAAATGTCTGTATGTATGTATGTATGTATGTCTGTGGTCATGTGTGTGCGTATGTCCCCAATTTCCCCCATAACTCGAGAACGGTTGGCGTAACTAACTTGAAATTTTGGTTGCTATCTGGTACTATTGATACTCAAAACTGGGCTAAATTTCAGCTCGATCGGTTGAGCGGTTCCTGAGATACAACAATTCCTCAAAAATCGTTTTTTGCCGATATCTCCTGAACTAGTCGACCGATTCGATTTTTTTTTCAAAATACTCGTCGTGATGATACCTATCTAAATGGATCGAAAAAAGACCATTACACTCCAAGCAATGTAGTTTTATTCTCGTTTTTTCATTTTTTCGCTGAAATTGCTTGTAAACATGCTAACTTAGAAAATAATCGAAATAGAAACTTCAAACTTGGTAGGATTTCAGGTCTTGTGATAACAAAGTTTGATATTTTGGATGAGCAAAATCGGATCGGTAGTTTCGGAGATATTCAACTTTTTATGTGCAACTGTTTTGCTCAATATCTCAAAAACTATACAACTGATTTCAATTTTTTTTTTTCAAAATGTTCGTCTTGATGTCATCTATCTGCATCAATCAAAATATGTATACCCCTCTATAGAAAGTTTTCAAGATATTGCCGTTTTTGTATGTTTTTGTATTTTTTTGGTCAGAATTCACTCTTGAACACTATAACATGGATTAAAATCAGGGAAACCTTTTGAAACATCGACTACTAGTTAGGATTGTTAAATAACATTCCTATATCCAATTTTAGGTCAATATATTCAATAGTTACTGAGATAGAACAATTTATCAAAGATTCTTAAGAAGAAACGGATCAACGCATCTATATTTAGCTGTTCATTTTCACTCTAGGCTGACTTAGAAAGATCATATCACATAAAAAAAAAAAATTTCAGAAGAATGAACGTTTAAAAGAGAGTATTATTATATAATAATAGAGTAAGAAATCATAGTCTCATTATGTAATTTTAAGGAATAATTACTGAATTATATGAAGAATCGTAAGAACGAAACAAAAAAAAAGTCATGGTTGAAAATTGAAGAAAAAAAATTTACACAAAAAGTAACAGTCATGAGTGATCTGTCAAATAGCTTCCGTCATACTGCTTGTTTTTTCTCTGTGCACCACCATTCCTCCAACATCAGCTGCCATTCTATCACGCGGGGTTATGCTTAGAGAGAAAAGGGAATGCGAGCAATACAAATTCAACACATATAAATTGATTAGTTATCGATAAAAAAAAAAGAGCAATGGAATATTTTTACTGAATGAGTTTTCATTAAAAATGAAAATTTCATTGAATTCAGGCGCAACGATCGAGGTATCTTATTTGAAACCCGCTGATCCGTATCTTTCTCCCCTCTATGGGCGCGCGTAGTGAGGGCATCGAGGGGCTATTCACAGGCGAATTGGGTGACACCGCGATTACAAAATGTAATCGATCACCCAGGATTACGGGACTGATTACACTAATTACCATTACCTATGTGATAACCTTGATTACCAAGAGCACAAAATGTGATTACACAATTACAAATGATTTCATCGATTACAGTCTGTGATTACCAAACATCTGTAATCATTGAAATCACAAAAAATGGCCTCTTATTAAATATGAATTGATGGAATAATTAATTATTAGGACCTGCAAAGAAATGAGGAAGGAGGGGCGGGGATTAGAACAGAGGAATGCAGTCCCAATCACTCCATCTAAAAATTTGGGCATTTATAAGTGCTATCAACAAAATAAATTTACTGAATATCTACCATTGATGGGAAATGAAATTTATCAGCAGATAATTCAGAGATAATTCAGTCGTTGGTTCTCCAGAATAATAAGAAATTTCAACTCTGTTGAATCAATTTTCTACGGACGAATTCTCTGTGTAAAACGCATTGGCTATGCAAGGTTCTGAATCATAAACATCTGGGATTCCAAGAAAAATTGGTCCAGGGATCTCTGAGACTTACCGTTGGTAGAAATGACGCGATCGAAAATTCAAAAACAAAATTCACGGCCTCACTAGGAGTAACTACGAAAGATTACACTGATTACAAATGATTACCACTTGATTACCAAAACTTCATTACAAATACGGTAATTATGTGATTACAATAATTACATTGATTTCACTGGGATTACAAGTGATTACATCAGCGAGTGACATCTCGCGATTACGCCTGTGAATTATCCCTCGGGGGGCATAGGGGTTCCCGAAATTCCACTGTCCTATTGTCTCTAAGGTATCTTATACGAAGCCTTTCCTGTATGTGCAAAATAACCATTGGGAAGCATATTGCTAATTTATTACCAAAAATAACTATATTCAATACAACAGCAATTTTCCACATGTTTTATTAAAAAAAAGAACCGGTAATTTTTTTCGTGCGTGTGGACAAGGTCTCTTACCTGCTCTCTCAATAGTCATCGAGAAATCCCGAGCGTCGTTGTAGTCCTCATGTTCTGAGGGAACGGAGGGTTTGCATAGTTGAATTTTCGCCGGATCGGTTTCGTCTGTTCCCTCAAATGTTTTAGTCTTCTTCTCCATCACATTCGTAACAACCTGGTGGTAAGTTGAAGGGACAGTCGTTTTTCCGATTTCGGAGAGGAAGTCTTTGCTGTCGATCGAGGGAGGAGTAACTGAGGGCGTCGTATGCCAGGGTGATTCAGTGGTTGAAGTCGATGCACTTGTCGACGAAGGCATTTCTTCTGACACTTCCTTCTTCGACTTCACCGCAGTTATCAGCATGTCTTCAGCATTTAAGAATGTTGTGACGTCCCAGGGAATTGATGTCGTTGTGTAATCCGTTGTTAATGAAGTTCCTGAGGTGTCCGGTATTCTTTCACTTGTCGATGCGAGGGACGTTTCATCACCGATTGTTCCTTCTGGTTCTGGAGTGGAGATGAATTCTTTTGTTTCATTGACAGCGATCAGTTCTTCGGTTGTGGATTCTATCGCGTTCTCCCATTTCTGAGCCGTTGGTAATCCAGAGGAAATTGAAATAATCAGGGTTAGTTGGAGAAGGAAGAGTCGGAGGCCGGATGACATGATTGTTGTGTCAGTAAATCCTATTGAAGAGAAAAAAAAGGAATTAAAATGGGGAACTAAATCAATAGCCAAGTGGTGATAGGAGAATTGCACTGGAGAGCAGTTCTGCAGAGCGAAAGAAGAGGTCTGAATGTAGAGATATCTTTGAAAAATTAATCGTACAATTATTCGTAAAGTGGATTTCACAAAGCTTCTCTTGTAGAGCGGAGTTGAATCAGCATGGGACGCTGCTAATTTTTTTTATTGTTATGCTGCTAGTCGGAAAATAATTCAAATTTCATGGACAATGGGGCAGTAATTTTCATAAGAATGATATTGAATTTGATTTTTAAAAAAGATGATTATGAAATTTCAAGTTTTTGGTAACGTTCAAGGAATCTATAAGTTTTTATAGGAACTAAGATGGAAGTTTTACCATTTGCTTCCATTTTCCATTGAACACGAACATCTAAAACTACAATGGCCGAAATTTTAAATTTTGGTCTGCATTTGCCTCTTTTTTGCGAATTTTTTCAGTATAATTAAGCTGCATTAAATTCATATTTCCCATAGAGAATTAAGAAAAAAACAGGTTTAACCGTGTAGCGAAAATTGTGTACACTGATAGAATGATTCATTTATTTCAAACGAGATTCGTTAACTATTAACGAATGGTAGAGTTGAATATGACCAAATGAATATTTGTTAATAGTTAACGAATGGTTCACTTGAATGGCGAAAGTCAAGTCAAACAAGGCTCCTCAAATATACATTCGTTAACTATTAACGAATGAACATTTGGTGGGATCGAATAGACCCTAACCTCCAACCAAAATCCATTCGATAACAATAACTAATCCATTCTATCAGTGTAATCTTCTTTTCTTTTTCTTCTGTCAATTTTGGGATTATCAGCAAAAAAGTATTGTTGAAATGAACTTGAGTCGTTACATTTTAGAGTTCTACGGCTGCTTATTCTCCAGCTATCTAACATTGAGAAAGCAATATAATTTTGCCAATTAAATTTATTTCAGGCAAGAAGTTATAATGCAATTTTGTAGGGAAATTACGCGCATTCGTTTGAAACAAATTTTATTGGCAGAATTATATTGTTTTTCTCAGTGTAGCAACCAAAAACTTTGGGAGAAATTCCCACATTTTTAAAAATTTGATGTTGAAATTTGAGGGAAAAAGTCTTTAGATTCACAACAAGGACTAATTTACCTGAAATGTATACATATATGTTATTTTAGGAAATTTTCAAAATAACAAAATAACTATTCAAAATAACATTCAGTGTTACGTTGAATTATCACAATGAGTGCGAAAATTAAAAGTTTCGTTGAAACATCAATCGTCGCTGAACATGAAAAAACACTTTTTTTTTAATTTCCAAGATACATGAGGGAGTTCATGAACTATTTGATCTTATATTGAATTCAATTTTACACCATTGAAAATTCTCATACAACTGTTACATGAATTTCAGAAAAATTCTAAATTAGAAATAGAACAAATCGTGTGAAATTGTATAAAAATAACTTTTATCTCGATGAATAATACAAAATTCATGAGTGATGGACCATTGAAAACACTTGCATTACGACATCACGTCAGAACGCCCATATAAAAAGTTCACTGACGTCATAATAGCAGACATCTCCCCAAATAGTTGCTTGATTGTTCATGACTTTTTGAAACAAAAGAAATACATATCTAATATTTTCCATTCAAATTTTATATTTCATAATTCTGTTTAATAAAAAAAATCATTCTACAACCTAATTGAGAGATAAATCGACGAGCTACTCACTCCTGAAATCACGGCGCCACTCTGGCATGAAATCATTCTGAAATCACGTGAAATCACAAAATTCACTGAAATCAAGTGATTTCAGCTCTCCGAAATCGTTTCTGAAATTATTTCCGAAAATACGCGAAATATCCTGAAATCAATTAAATCACCGAAATCAGTGGCGCACTAGCGTAGTGGGAACCGTGCAAGTAATTCGTGATTTTGAATTTGACACGCCTGCCAACGGTGATAATAAAATGCCGTACTCACGGCCATGCTGGTTTTCCCAGACAAATGTCGTATGAGTTTATTATCGGATGGATCCAGAAAGTCCATTCGTTATAGTTTAAGATACTTCAGGCCAAGAATCAATAGTTCGCAAGTCCTCAATATGTTGGTTATTTAATAAAGACCATTCAAAACTCAGCAGTGATAGACTTCAGCGAGTTAGGGACGAATAAATAACGAGAAGTACTAATCATCGACGTAAGAACCCTTTGCAAAACGAAAAAAAGGATTTTGTGAAAGAATTCAAGGAAATCCATAGGGGTGATTGGTGTTTATTTCAGGAGGAAAAATATCCTACTTCTTGTTCATTGAGATGAATTTCGCTGAATTTCGCTTTTTCAGAGGGGAAAACTCTGCGAAGCAGGGAGTTTTCGAGCGAATATGCTCGTGTCAGTACTAATAGCAAAAATATAGGTATTCTTTACCATTGGTATGTTTTGGATAAAAGTCTGAAGAGTTTAAAGTCGGAGCCAATGAGTTCTCACGGCTACATTAATATAAGCCAATATCGAAGAACGATTTCTCCTCCTCTGATCACTGAGAGTGGAGATTTGAAGCTCCCTGAGAGAATTTTTGATGAAGTTAAAAAATATTTCTAAATGAATGAGTTAATGTTATAATAATCAGTGTATAAAATCATTTATGTAACTTTTGTTTTCTAATATAAAGTTCTGAAATTGATTGGAATTTGTGAATTATTAGTGGAGAGGCTGGGGTAAAATGGACGGCTTTTCATCGTCATTAGCTCAAGATCGGTGGAGTGAAATCAAACGAATTAATTATTATTTGCCAGTTATTATTGCCAGTTTTGATTTTCATAATCTGACATGATCCGTTTTGCCCCACCTCTATTATTTATTAACTTTATTCGTCGTGGTTTCAATGACTTCATCTTTTCTGAAATCACTGATTTCGAATTAATGAAATTATTCGAAATCACGAAATCACCGAAATCTTTTTTTTTTCAAAATCCCGGTATCACTCAATTATGGAGTGAGTAGCTCTCGAGAGAAATCATTTAAAAGAAAAACTCTTATTTCTTGAAGAATAATAATAAAATTTTTTTTACATTCCAAAGCAGGGAACCGTTCCAAAGCTGGTGTACCCACAGTATCGCGGGTACAAAGACTCCAAATAAAAAACTGAACCGTGCGTGGAGGGATCTCGCTCTTTCACTCCATTGCTAGCTTTTGAAAATCTCATTTGCACTTGAAACTAGTTTCCATCGATAAAAAATAACTCCTTAACCACGAGATAATGCGAGATTGACGCAACAATTAATTCGTCATTTCCTCGAGACAACACCGGTTCATCATGTCAATGTCACTGATTTCAATCTAATCAAATGTCACTTCTTCTTAAAATAGTCATGTTCACAATTTTTATTTTCCTCGATCTACGCAATTGCGATGTTGCCCGGTAACTCGAGTATAATAACGCACTCTGTCGAGTGCACAATCTGGCGATTAAAAATTACCGCAGATGTGTGGGCCGTACCGGGAAACCAGCTCTTGCACTATCAGCAACCGAAGGCACTTCCGGTACCGCTTGAATTTTTCGAGGAAGTCGAAGACACTTTTATTCAACAATTATGAATCTTCGTTTTTCAAACTACTTTATTAAACTGAAGATTAATCGCAGTATGAATTGCACTGTTGTGAGTCAGAGGAGATAATGTTATTAATCACGTAAATAATGATAGCATAAAGTGTGGAATTTTTTCAAGTCTTCCAATATTCGTTGATAATAACATTTTAATTGTCATTTTGAGTTAATTGGAGGGAATTTTACGTGACTATCAATTATTTTTCCACTATGATCAATAATTGGCGGAGCTCGTTTCAATTAATTCAATTAATTCAGATCTTAAATGATGAAATAAGGATTAATGTTTTTAATTAGATTTTTCTTCGCGGAATGGTTCAATATTTTAAATCCACAGGGATTTGCGGTTCGGGGGATGATTATTAATGGAAATCTAATGAAGCAATGAAACGTGTCCCGATAAGACTAGAGTCCACCGTCCACTGCTTGAGTTTTCCAGCGAGTGTTTCTCTCCCTCTC